GTGAGGGCGGGGTACGAGATGGAAGGGTGTGTACCTACGCTGCCAAATAAACGGGTGTTTCCATCGACGGCCCTCGTAAAAATTTAATAAGATGAATACATAGTAAGAAGTAGTTATTATCTACTCGTATACATGCATAGATAAATACATCCATATGTACATACACACCTCCCGCTTCTTCTTCTCTTTCGCTCGATCCTTCAAGGAAAAACCCAGAACAAGGGAATGATTTTCGATTCGAATATCGAATAGTAAGCCATGTCCAACCGGCCCCCCTCTTGGCTGTGGAGTATGTAATGTAATGTAATGTACTGTAATAAGCCGGCTTTTTGGCAGTTCCCTTTTTATCTCTTTTGATTCGATTTAATTAATTAATTAATTTTTTTTTTTGTGAAAGGGGTGCTTCCATGTCCTCTAGATCGATATCGAGCCAAGATCTTGCACAACCTGTTATGCATATTTTCACACCCGCATAGATGTACATACACACCTGTCGGGTGTCAGAAACTACGGACGGGATTTTTTTTTCTTGTCTGGATTACCCTGTGAACATCGAAGGGGTGTGGTTATGGTTGTGGTGGTTGTGGTGGTGCCGGAAGCTGAACCTGTGGGTTGTTAATCTATCGCTATAAACCTGCATGTGCTATTGCATGAGAACATCAACAGCCGGCACGTCAAAAGCGCCAGCTAGCTGCTTGATACCGGCCTCGTAAATATTCCGTACGGCACTTTAGAAAGCAAAGGCAGCAAGAATCCCGCTTTGTCACTACTGCAGACACACATTCCTCGGATTTTTTCCTTTCTTGATGCTGCAGCGAGTACTTGCAGCGGCGCTCATGAAACTTTCGAGGGGAGGGGAGGGGGGGCAATTTTCCGATTCAGAAAAAAAAAATATAAAAAAACCTGCGCCGATGTTGCAAATGTTGTAGCCGCCAGCATAAAGCATTGGAGAATTCCTTCACGGCAAATGCTTACGGACGTCGGACGAAAAGGATCAGTGAACCAGTCCGGTTACTGCTCGCGAATGCGCCGTCGCATCGCTTGAGAAGCTTGTCTCTCCCCACGCCGTCGAGCTCCGCAGAGGGCTGGTCGGCTGGCTGGTTGGCTAGCTATATGATTCAGGAATATCGATCATCAGACCAACGCCCATTTGACCAGGCCATTGGGAGGCAGACAGGTATGTAGGTACGGTAGCGATCGATCGCATTGTGCGCACCGATTTCCCACCACCTATTGGCCTATCACACGGCCGGTAGTTAAGTTATCTGGGCGCCAACAAAAGCTATAGACTGGGCTTCTAAGAGAGAAAGGAATGTCAATTATATCCAAGATTGAATTTATCCATTGCATATTATGTCAGAGGGAGGTTTTGTGATTTGTGATGTTTCAGAACGGGGTTTTTCTAAACTAATCATAGTGCGTGTACAGTATACGCATGTATCGGCAGCTTCTAGCTAGCTCGCTGCGACGGAAGGTCAAGATGGCTCGTGCTTTTTGGACTATTAATGTGTGGGGTGATAATAATGAACTTTGAACTAATTAAGCTGTACTGATGGTGGTGGTGCACATGGTGGTGGGCCCCAAAAGCCTGTTCAGGTTCAATTCGAAGGAAAGGTTCTCTAGCATTTGACATCCTTTCGCGCACGCCCGCCCGCCTCCCCCGATTAATAGCCAATGCAATATTAGACGAATCCCGGATTAATAGTATTATTAGCTGGTGGCATATATCAATAAGTATTTCGTACATATTCCGTTTTTGAGTACTGAACAGGAAAGAAAACGGACGAAAAAGTTTCGACTTCCCTTTTGCCTTACGGCCCTCGCATAAGATACATACGACTTTGGTCTGATGGTGTATGTAAGTACTTACCACCCCCACCTACATAGCATGCGCTTTTCTTTTAACTTTCTTGCTTTGTCTGTGATATTCTTTCTTTGTCTCTATATACCCCCTCCATGGGGCGTCTAAATATGTTTCAAGACGCGATTTTTTCAAATACAAAAAAACAATAATTGTAATTAATTTAGGATTTCCCTTCCTCTTCACAGAACCGAGATAAAAATAATAATACTACTTACATATATAGAAGGAAGAGTGATAAAAAAAAGGTTAGATTATAAGTGAATGTGACATCCTACAAGGTTATATCTTGATATATGTTTCTATGACATGAGAATAATACCATTCTCTTCTTATCATTCCCTGCTCTGGAACCTGTCGATCCCGGATCCCCGTTTACGATTTGGGACTAAGTTTTCTTTTTTGTTTGTTCTTCTCATTCTTTTCTGGACTTCTTTTTTCCCTTCTTCTTTCTTCATCAAAGTTCGCAACCGCCACCATGGCCCCCCCATGTTCAACCATAATGTCGGGGCAGCCGCTGCGGCCTCGGCAGAGTCGGCAGTAGTAGTACAAAAAAGGCTAACCTTAGTCCTATCTGTAATCTTCGATCCAGATGGGATACTTTGCCTATTAGACATGGGACGGGGGGGTAACGTAAGTGCGTGTGTGGTGTGGTGTGTGTGGAAACAAATATTAATCCAAAGGGTTCAATTCAGAGATAAATTACAGTGGAACCGGGTTTGGCACAAATTAGTTACGGTATACACACGGCGGACGGCGGAAGCGGGGGGGGGTTTGTATGTCTGGCTGTATGTATGTACGCATGAGTGTGCACATCTGTTGTCATGCTTCCATGTTTTCTATTCGTATGTTTCGTCTTGACGATATTTTTTTTTGGGGGGGATCAATTATCTAGCTATATGTCCAGTTGGATATAGGTTATAACTCGCAATGTGGGATGATATGATGTATACTACACAGTGGAGTATGGGGGGCAGCGCGCGCGCATGCACTGTAAGTATTCCTTATGTAGTATGCGGTCGCAGCAGTGGAGAGATATGGGATGGTTATGGCGAACAGCATGGCTAGTGGGGAACCGGGTTCGATTCTTTTATCCATTGCGAAGCTGGGGCTAGCTTAGCTGCTAGGTAAAGAGTCGTTACGCTTCTCTTCCCTACCCGCCTTGTGTCCCCATTCCCCGAATCATGTAGATTATAATATCAAATATCCTAAAATCTTAACATCTCATATGTATGACTTGGCCGGCTTCACCCCTTCCTTCCGTCACTGTTATGTTTGTTTGTTCGATTTAGTGGCGGCTGTTCTGGTTTAGTCTGCATGGGGGATCTTGGCGGATTTCATCTAATCCAGCGGGAAGAAATGCCAGGGTCCTTTGCCTTCTTTAAGCTCGCTCATTCTCTTGAACAGGGCAGAAAGAAATAAATTTTATTAAAAAATGCTCATGAGGTGTTCTGGTGATATCATGATAATCTTACAAAGCTTGAGGTTTTTTGTAACAAGACATGTCTTGTCCATTGGCTTGGGACAATTACATAGACACAAGCAATCATGAGAGAAAGTCCCGTCTAATATCTCGTTTCATTAAGCCTTTAATGCCTTGTCCGGTTCCTGGGAGGGGCCAGCGGGAATATCGACAGCCGGACCAGCCCGCCCACGCTACCTACTACTTCACATCTGTCAGAGTTAGCTTCGAAACAACCGTTAACCGGGGTGGTAGTTACGAACTCAGATTGACGGTTTCCTCTCTCGGTTCTATTGAAAGTTTGGGGCGAGGGGTGAGGGGAACAGGGTGGGAATCCGGATTATCCTCTCATTTGCTAAAAGCCGGAAGCCTCTTGTGTACTAATTATGGTGGTGGTTTCTTACATCTGATGTTCACGGTCCCTTGAGGACTTTGGATCGTTTGACCGGCCGTTATGCAGTTGAAGTTACACTATCACCGTGCATAGAACCACGGGTCTTTTACCGGTGCCTGTTCATTCATCCATCCATTCATTCAGATTGATTCACTGACGTTGTTTTTCTCTCTTTTTCCCTTGTTAGGGGATCAGAGGCTGGAAATCGCTGGATGAAATAGGTTATACTTAGCATACGCATTTGTCCGTCCCATGGACCCCGTACATACGTGTCCACTGATCTTCCAATGGGTTTTGAAGGATTCGCCATGATGATGGAGAAATAGATGTTACCAGGGGTAATTACGCCTAGCATACTATAGTGTACGTGCGTGCGTGCGTGCCGAGATGCATGTCGTGGTTCTGTCATCATGGTGTTTTCAATTGCGCAAAACTGGAATCTCTTGCGCCAGGAGACCGAAGTCAAAAAAAGCACGGACCCCAAATTTACTTTCTTCACGTTCATGTTCATGCACACCGGAACACAGTCTGCTTCCACTGGCGGTATCCACTTTTTTTCAGCGGGCCGAGCTTAGCTGTCAAAAAAGAATATTGAACTAACAAAGTCAAAGCTTGTTAGTGGTCTTACCATACTCCGCGGCCGTATGTAAAGTACTGTACATACGTTGTACCTACATACGCTATGATCGTATAAACCGGAGAAAGTCAGTAAGTAGGCATTGAAGCTACTGTATGGCATGCATAATCTGTGGAACATGAAAGTTTCACTTTCTCCCGCGGGCACGAATTAATCCAAAATTTCTTAATATAATATAAGGTTCGATCGTTTTCCTTAATGGATGCTGCCGGCGATCTGGATAAATTCGTTTCCTCTCTCCCTCTGACTCTCTGACTCTCTCTCGCCATCCCTCTTACTATTTCCCCTTTTCTCATCTGACCACATGACCAAAAGATTAGATGTTTTGATAATAAGTATGGGGGTCGCAGAGGCGACCAAATACGGGAATGTATAGTTGGGGGTTATATCAAAGGAACACGAAGTTTATGATGACAAGTGCCCGCCACACTTGATGGCGTAGTTTCGATAGATTGCCTCTATTAATTTATTTCTTTCGACAATTGATAACAGGAGGCAAAAAACGGGATGGGAGGATCAAGCATTGACGCTCGACGGGAAATGGTCAAACAATAATAATAATAATAAAAAAAGTAGTTACAAAAAACAATATAGATGTTTTCTGTAATGGGGTTTCCTTTGTTTTTTTTATCATTATTTTTTTGCTTTAATCTTTCTCCGCAATACTCTGCAGGCGCTTATCGATTTCGTCAACCGATAGTTTCCGGAAAAGTGACTGTGGTTCGCCCTGTTCGTCGTCACCCTCCTTCGGTGCACCGACAACTCCAATCTCGATCTCGGTAGCCTTGAAGTCTTGGCTTAGAACCGTAGACAACGTTGTTATCGCCAACTCAACAACTTCCTCCCAGCTTCCCGGCGCAGCATCCTTGTTCTTTAGCTTCTTCTCGAGGAAGTTGATGGCTTCCTGCTGCTTTGGTCCGGATGCCGTGGCCTTGTAGCCCGTGTAGTATCCCGCTGGGTCGACCTTGTATAGAGAAGGTCCGTGCTCGTCGTCCAAAGATATCAGAGTCATGGAAACGCCTAGCGGGCGCATGTATGCCTGTCAACGGCCCGTCACGGAACGAAGCTATTAGCCACGGTCCTTTATCTTGTTCGTAACAAAGAGCATTCATTCGCGAAAACGAGAAAGGGAGTAAAAGAAAATGAAGATAAAAATGGGGCTTCCGTTTCGATATCGTTTAAGTCCGTGCGGGGGGTCTTGGCCCGGCAGGGTGAAACGTAGACAGTATATCCACTTTCCGTAGACAGTTTCGTTTTGGGTATGTCCACCCAGGCTCTTGATTTCGAGATCGACAGCAAGTCTTTCCGGGGTAAACCAAGCAGGAATAGAGAGGCAAAAATAACGGAAAAATTATAAACGACTTACCCTCTGGGTGTAAACTTGGTTGATATTTGCCAGTCGCTTTGACAGAACATCACAGGGCATTTCGTACCCGTACTTGTATCTAAACTCCGCCGCTTCACCCCGTGCTCGTGTAACCGAAGCTCGAGCATCCGCAATTGATCCGGTCATAACGCATCCCAGAGATGGCGAGAGGGAGAATATGTAGGTAACTGAGGCTGGATCCATCAATTTATCCTACAAATGCAATAGTAATACCAGGTGCGATTAGCCAGCTATCTTGCATAACGGGGACCACGGGAAGGCTACACGCCCTGTCGGCGGGTTCGAATAGAATCGAACAAGGGAAGGCGAAGATAGAATGAGCGAAACCTCCCAAAATAGAGGAAGAACCCAGCTACGGGTTTGCCCGTATTCTCTTGTTGCCGGGAAGGGTGGGGTTCATCAAACTTACTGGGACCTTCTTTTGGGAGATCACGACAGCACAGTTTTTGCCTCTGATCCCGACGGTGGTGATATTTGCAGCAGTTATGGCTTTGAAGGCATATTCTATTAAAAAAAGGATATTGTGGAAGTTACTCCGTGCGTCAGCGACAAATGTCCTTTCTAACCGTATATCTGCAAACTTAAAACTCCCAATCATCCATTTCAATGTTCCGAAACCGTATACGAATAGCCGCATATATTGATGATGACTTGAACATCTGATACGAGATAAAGATGCAATAACTCGGAATGATCTGGATATGATTGGAAGTTCTTTTGCGTTTTATCCAGCTGAAAACCAATAGGTCCGTGGGGTGAAATGGAAGAAGGATTTCCCACCAACTTGATAGAGCCGACCCTGCTCAGAGAAGATGGTGATATGACGGTCGAATCCGGCGCTTCCTAATTGTACATACGGAGCCAGTTAGTAAAGATAATAGTCTAAATATCCCACGCCGGGTGTCGTAAGGTCATGTGTGTGGGGTATAACGGCCGGCACAGCGGCATGTCGCTGCTACATACCCGACATTTTGGCGGCGTCGTTTCCTCGTTCAGCTCAAAGGCTAAGAAGCAATGGGTGAGGCTATCGGATCTGTATCGTAACTTCTCCGGAGTGGGATTCTGTGAGGTCTTGGTAACGGACGGTCCGTCGTATGGAGATTGTGCTGATGGGAGGAGGAGAGGTTGACGCGTCGTCGTTGGATGTGGAGGTTGAGCAGTCGAGGGCCTGGAAGCTCCGTGGAAGCTTGAGTTGGCTCTAAGCCAAATCCAGTAAGGCGAGTTCTGCTGCTTTGACGTAGAGCCTCACCAACAAAGAACCACCCCACCAACGCCAGCAATAGCAATCGCACAGCTGTACACTGCCGTCTAGACACCAAGGTTACCTCGGATTATCATCGGAATACGATCGCAAAGACTCCAAGATGGCAGATCTCGACGAGCTAGAGCCCACCCTGCAGAACATCATCGACCAGAAGACGCTGCGATGGATCTTTGTTGGCGGGAAGGGTGGCGTGGGAAAGACTACAACATCGTGCTCCTTGGCAATACAGCTTGCTAGAGCGCGGAAGAGCGTCCTCATCATATCTACTGGTATTTTATACCTGATTCCTTCTATCATAGGAGCTTGACTAATGAGTATTATATAGATCCTGCTCACAACCTGTCAGACGCATTCGGTCAGAAGTTCGGCAAGGAGGCAAGAAAAATCGATGGCTTCGATAACTTGAGCGCCATGGAAATTGATCCATCTGGATCGATGCAAGAGCTACTAGAGTCTAGTAAGCTCTATCAAGAACTGATACCAAAATGACGGATACTAATATGGCCCTGATCGCAGGCGAATCCGGTCAAGGTAATCCACTAGGTGGGATGATGCAGGACTTGGCATTTAGCGTATGATGCTCAATACGATACTACGTGATACTTAAATCTCTAACTAAAAACTGCGCAGATTCCTGGTGTCGACGAAGCCATGTCCTTTGCCGAAGTCCTAAAACAAGTTAAATCGATGTCCTATGATACCATTGTCTTCGACACAGCTCCTACCGGCCACACCCTGAGGTTCCTACAGTTCCCCACTGTCCTCGAAAAGGCCCTTGGGAAGCTTTCTCAGCTATCCGGAAGGTTCGGACCGATGTTGAATGGTATTATGGGGCAGGGTCTTGGTGGCCCTGGTAATGTGGATGAAATGCTTCAGAAGATGGAGAGTATGAGAGAAACCATCAGTGAAGTCAATACGCAGTTCAAGAACCCCGATATGACCACGTATGTCTTCACTATTCAAAATCAAGTTATTGAGAAGAAAAGAGCTAAATGAAACTGAACTAGCTTCGTCTGCGTCTGCATCGCCGAGTTCCTATCGCTATACGAAACCGAACGTATGATCCAAGAACTAACATCCTACGAAATCGACACCCACTGCATTGTCGTCAACCAACTCTTATACCCAAAGAAGGGATCGGAATGCGAACAGTGTAACGCCCGAAGAAAAATGCAGAAGAAGTACCTTGACCAGATGATTGAATTGTATGAAGACTTTAATGTCGTCAAGATGCCACTTTTGACCGAAGAAGTCCGTGGGAAAGATAAACTGGAGAAGTTTAGTGAGATGCTTATTACTCCCTTCGTTCCACCGGATGTAGAATAGATACATACTACACAGGACGGGTAGTTTTGCACAGTACTTTCCCTTCAGTTTTGGTTGGCTTCGTAATAATATAGATCAGATATCATTATTTTATAGCTTTCTATTCTTGTCTAATGCTCTCTTTAATAATAACAAGACTGTCTACAAACTAGAGATTCAATGAATAGTTACATCCTTCTTTTAATCAACTACCTATGATGCTCTGTTAATATTGAGATTAGCCATAACATCGGGCAGCTGGTATCAAGTTCTTGCATCAAGTGCTTCGTCGTCGATACCGAGCTTCTGCGTTGCGTAGCTTAAACGCGTGAAGTTCAAAACAATCCAACATCCCAGTATCCTCCTCTGCAACCTAACCTAGCTCCAATACCTCACCACCATCTCCACATCGCGCTCCCCTCCAACCTGTTTCTGGAGCACCGTACGCCTCATTACCGTCTTTCCGATCAAAAGTCGAATGTAACAGACCTAATTGCGACGGCTCTCTTCCACCGCGCACAATGCCATCCACCCGAAATAACAGAATAGACGAAGGTCTATCCAAACTTATCGAATACATTCTACCCGAACTCGAAGATGAAGATGAAGATGAAGACCTTAAAGCAAATGCCCTTGAGCTGGCTCAGGGCATGATTGATAGGTATATTTATATCTTTCGATTTTCTACAACCTTATCGTCTATAAACTAACAACCTTCCTAGTCATGTAGCTCCCGCCTATGCAGACGATCCAGCTCATATCGCAAACATCATAAAGAACAAATGTATATACACCCACCCTCCCGCATCCAAACAAGCCCTGGCTAAAAAGGGCAAACTCCTCCTATTAGCAGGTGTCTCTGAGAAAGTAAAACCAGCAGGATACAGTTTTAGCTGACTGGTTACGAATTTTAAACAAAAATTGAAGTAATCCGAGACAACCGTACATCCGACAAAGCCCTCCGATTCCACAACCTTTACTCCCGACTTTTGACATTACCGTTGATAAAGCAGAAGGGTGCTATTCTCCATTTATTACACGAACTATCTGAGGAGTCGGAAAGGAATATAGCGAGTAGGGCGTCGGAAAGACCATCTTCTAGCAGGGTTGAGTCTAGAGCACCATCAAGAGCTGAAACAGAGACTACGAGGAGGCCGTCGAAAGCCACGACTATAAGGGATGATGATTTCGATGCCTCTGTGCCGCCAAAGCCGTTTTTGGCACCGGAGCGGGGAGATGGGAAGACTGGTGAACTAACAAAGGCAGCTTTGCTAGCTAATAACAATCCGCCACTAGGTATTTCACCATAATTGTCAGTTTCTATAGCTAAGTACTAACGAATCGACTTTCTAGATCCCTCTGAAGTTGTTCTCCTTAAGGATATGCCCTTTACCCTCCAAGGCGTATCCTCCAAAATACTCACCTTCTCGCCAGAAAACACTCTAAAACTGCCCCCAAACCTTCCAATACCTATAATCTCGCTCCTCCACACCCTCGCGGAGCCCGCATTACTCTACCGCTCTCTCTCAGCTTTCGTCGAAGAATCCGACGCAATAGAAGATAAAGGCGGCCTAGTCGGCCAGAGCTTAAGCGCAGCGATAGGAAACGAACTAAAAGCCTACCTAAGCCTAGTAGCCGGCCTCGAGGGTGAAATCCGACGTGCAACCTCAACACTAGCAGAAGACGACCCGCACGGTCTTGCGGTCCGAAAAGTCGGCGTAACTCTTCGAAGATGCATGATATGGACTAGAGAAGCAACAATGGGTCTCCGTCTCATGGCCGCCATAGTGGGCGAATCAAAGGGGAAAAGAGGCGGCCAATTGATCTCCATAATCCACGGCTTCTCAACCTCCCATGGCGATCCATTTGTCTTCAACTTTGCGAAACGATTGTTAACGTCCGTCACACGACCGTTCTACGATCTCCTCAGAAGATGGGTTTATGACGGTGAACTCACAGACCCTTATCTTGAGTTCTTCGTAATAGAACAATCCGAAGAAGCAATCATGGAAGCAAGTGAAGAACGCCGTGGCCACGCCTCCAGCGTCTGGCAGGATAAATACAAACTCGACAACGAAATGGTCCCCACGATCATGACCCCAGAATTCGCAAACAAAGTCTTCCTCATCGGCAAAAGTTTAAACTTCATCCGTTACGGCTGCGAAGATTCCGAATGGGTTGAAAAATATTCAAAAACGACAAGTAAAGCATTAAGTCACGATGACTACGCCTCATTAGAACAAAACATCGACGAAGCTTACAAAACAACAATGGAGAGGTTAATGCACCTCATGAACACGAAGTTCAACTTATTCGAACACCTCTGCGCACTCAAAAAGTTCTTGTTATTGGGACAAGGTGATTTCATCGCTTTATTGATGGAATCCTTATCTTCGAATTTGGATAGACCGGCGAATACACTGTACAGACATAATCTTACTGCACAGCTCGAACACGCAATTCGCGGCTCAAACGCCCAATTCGAATCCCAAGAAGTCCTCCGCCGTCTAGACGCCCGAATGTTAGAATTAAGCCACGGAGAAATCGGATGGGACGTATTCACCCTCGAATACAAAATCGACCCACCGGTCGACGTGGTAGTAACACCCTACGGCAGTCGAGAATACCTCAAAGTCTTCAACTTCCTATGGAGGATCAAACGTGTGGAATTTGCGTTAGGTAGCGCATGGAAGAAGTATATGACAGGAGCTAGAGGGGTACTAGCCAGTGTTGCAGATAAAGTTGGAAACGACTGGAAAGTAGCACGGTGTTGTATTGCCGAGATGATACATTTTGTAGCTCAGCTACAATATTACATTCTCTTCCAGGTTATCGAACCTTCATGGGAGAAGTTGAAGGGTACAATGGAGAAACAAGGGGTGACGCTCGACGATCTTATCGATGCGCATAAAGTATATCTTAATAGCATTACAAGAAAGGGACTTCTTGGGGGTGGTACGGCGAATTCGAAGTCCAGACAACCCGAGACCTCATTTTTGGCGCAGTTACATGAGATTTTGAAGAATATGTTGGCTTATAAGGATGCTATGGATGGGTTATACAGTTGCTCCGTGGCGGAATTTACAAGACGACAAGCTACCTCCGCGCTAATCGACGCCAGAACCGCAGCCGGGAAATGGGGTGTTACGGAAGCCGATAAACGCTCCCTCAGACATAGGAAAGTCGATATGATGATCTCTGATAGCGACAGTGATTCGGATTCTGACTCTGATGACGGTGATTTACCGGGTGTAAGACAGAGGTTGAAGACTTTGACTATAGAGTTCCAAGCGAGGACTGCAGTTTTATTGGGCGATTTGGCGAATCAGTCAGATATGGATATGAGGTTTTTGGGGGTTATGTTTTCGTTTAATGACTTTTATGTGGTGAAGAAGGGGAAAGGGAAGACGGTTGTGGAGAGGAGGTCTGCGCAGAAGGGAGATGAGACGCCAGCTTGATCGAGGGGATATGTTGAGGGGGGGTTGGTTATGATATTTGTATATAGCCTAGTTTAATTTTCTATATCTTTTTTTTTGTTTAGCGGGTGGTTTTCGATTTGGAGAATAAAGGAAGTTATATCATTCTATCCACACAAGTAGGCAAGCAACAGCTAATCGACAGGAGTAGTTCTCGGATATATAGGTTATGAAAGGAGCTCGAAAAAGAAAGGAAAAAAAAGGAAGAGATTCAAGGGGAAACAGAACCAAGCGCCTATAGCATTTAAGAAAGAAAGAAAGCTACACACGACCGAGGACAAGAACAAAACAGGTTGGGGAGTCGCCCACGATGCACCACCTTTGGGGGAATTCTTATAATTAAGTATGCATGAAACCTGACAAAAAACATAAAACTAAAAAAAGCATTATCCCGACAAAGAAAAACCCCAGCGTTCCCTCGTTGTAAGAACAAAAAGAGAAGAGGAGGGAGAATAAAAAAATTACTTAGTTAGCAAGTAATTGCGTAAGTAAATAGGAGTACAAGGCACCGACATCTGACAATGATATCATAACGTAGAGGTGACGGCAACCGGGGGAAGTTTAACATAAAAAGAGAGAAGGAGGAAAAGCGAGAGTACTTTCTTTGGCCCGCCTTCTTGTGATAGCTAAAATCCACAGGAGAGAACGAGTTGAAGGGAGCACGTGACAAAGGAATGATAAAATCACATTGCCATCTCGGCTCTGAGTTTCTGAAGCTCTGCCTCTTCGTCCTCTTCTTCGATTTGTTTTGCCGTCTGCTTTTGTTTTTCTATGTATACCGAAAAATAGTCTATTAACAACCGTACAATACCATAAAATTGAAATGATCGGATATAACTCACCTGCTCCATTCGGAACGCTGACAGGCGGTGCCCCAGCAGACAGCATCTGTTCGTCCAGTTTCTCCTGCTCCAGGTCTCGTAACTCGTCGAGCAGCTCGGATTCATCGATCTGGTTGTGGGTTTCTCCGATCTGGCCAATACGTTCGGCTATCTGGTTCGAGTTTGTCATCTGTTCGTCCAGCTCGTCGAGGAGGTTGTCGATCTTGTCGATATTGTGCTTCTTGTTCATATCCTTCATGGCCTTGTTGGCCTCCTTCATAGCTTCGAGGGTCTGGTAGTTTATGTTTGCATTTTCGATGGATGCTACCTGAGGATTTGATTTGATGGATGGTTAGAGAAATGAACGGGTTTGAAGAATGGACCCGGGGTTGATAGGACGGGCATACCTGTGTCTCCAGGGTTGCAATCTGTTTCTGTGTTCTCTCTAGTTCACCCTCCAGTGTCTTCTTCTTCCTCAGCGCAGCCAGTGCCACTAGTCGAAAAAGTATTAGCTGACTACCTTTCCAATAGACCATCCTCATCTTCCGATAAAACACAAAAGTATGGTTCAGGTCAAAGGTCTAGACATTAAAAAGCTTACCGTTCTTATTCGCCGTAACATTCTTCTTCGCTTTTTCTTCCTGATCGTGAATTTGAGATTCAAGATAGGCCTCTCGCTTTTCTAGTGTCTCCTTCTGTTCTCGTAGTTTGATAATGGCGCTTTTGGGTCCAGAGTTGCGGGCCGATCCACTGCCGCCACCGAACCAGGCGCTGTTGAACCATCCGCTCATGGTGTCTCGGTGGAGGATTCGTACGGACGTATTTATGTAAAAGTAACTCTCCTCTCCGGGGGACGAGTGACGAGGAAGTGCTTTCACTCGTAGGATCTCTCGTTTATCCTTGTCGGAGATAAGTCAGAGAGAGATAGGTTGATTTTTAAAAAAGAGGTTGCGGGGTTTCCTTTGAAAGAGCACGAGATCGGGTATTCGAGTACTAGCGCTTGCTCCTGGATGAAGTTATTTTGGGGAGTCAGATGGGAAGAGCGGTATCGATGACTTTTCTGGAGGTGACGTTCGGGAGAGGGAGGAAAAGAGGGAGAAGGATGGCAAGCTCTTGAGTGGATGGATGGGATTAATATTTTGGGTGACGTTGGCGGGTGATGGCAGTTTAACGAGTTGGACTTGGCTTGGCCGGAGAGATGAGCATGAGACTAACACAAAAGCTTAGCTTAGCTCTCCCCCTTCAGAGACACAACAACCTCCACAGCTGATAACCCCCCTGGTATGTGTATACACTATTCGATATCCATGATAACTACTGCTGATTACATAATAAGAAGACTAACTGGGTTTTGAATAGATATATATTGTTTGGAAGATATAAACTCCTGGATCCGTATAGGAAGAGAGCTTATTCTTATCTGAACTGAGCAACCATAAGTGCATATTGGCGATAACTTCAAACCGAATACGGATCTCGATATTAGTCGCAGCTTCATACGAATACTACCACGATTCGTAAGATTATTTTTTTTTAAAAAAAAATATAATAATATAAAAATAAAAGATTGAAAGAATGCCAAAACCAGCATCTACAGCTTCCAAGAAAGGCAAAAAGGAAGCTTCCCAAAAGACAGACCCCGGTCCAAGCAATGTTGCTCCAGAGCCTCCCCAATGGCCTCCGTTCAAAGGTCTCCTCCCACCAGAATTGCTCCAACTAGATACGATCCTCTCCCACCAAATACTCACCATTTCTCGTTTCTTCCCATCTTCATTATGTAACACTTACATTCAATTTCTGTCAAACTTGCCATTGACAACCACTCCGAGCAAACCAAAGCGTGGAGAGGCGGTCCGAGTAAATGATAGATTCCAAATACAAGATCCAACGTTTGCGAAAAGGTTATGGCTTGATACTGGTTTAAAAGACCTTTTGGAGAATCAAGAAAGTAGAGAGTTACTTTGGAATACCGATGAATTGGAGTCTGGGGTCAAAGCTTGGGGGTTGAATCCGAATATCAGGATATATCGATATACAAAAGGTATTAACCTATTAACCTATACCCCAGTTTAGCTTCGAGTATCAAGATCTCTATACTGACAAGTAGACCAATCAAGGTCAATTCTTTGATAAGCACTGTAAGTAATTTAGATGCCCTAATTATACCTAGATTCGATTCTAAGTAAGAGACATATAAAAAAGTCGACGACTCAAACACCCTAACCCTCGGCACCCCTCCATCCCCACACCGCACAATCTATACCCTTCTCCTCTACCTAACCGGACCGGCCGACGGAGTCGTAGGCGGTGAAACAGCCTTCTACCGAAACGAGCCCTACATCCCACTTTCCAAGAAGGAACTCAAAGAACTAGTGGCGTCGGGGCAGCCGCAAATTATAGAAGTCCAGCCGGAGAAAGGAATGGCGCTACTGCATCGGCACGGGGATGAATGTCTGCTTCACGAGGGAAAAGAGGTCCTGGCGGGTGTTAAATGGATTATCCGTAGCGACTTGGTACTGGATGTCTAGAATCGCTTCATGAATTTAGTAACAAGTGTGTTGGGTATCCCCGGTTGAAAATGGACCTCGGTCTAAAATAGCCAGGGCGGTAGCGTCGCCAAACCCGGCAGTATCGTTACCCCATAAGCATTGTCGTCCGTCGTCTGTTATAAGAGCGTCGCGGTTCCCGAATATTAATTTTAATCCGATTTTGATCCAATAATTAATAACTGCTTTGGAAACCTATTATCACAACATATCCTATCATCTCATCATATCATATCATATCAAAATGGATAACAAGAGCCTATTTGATGTTAAGGTATCATCTCAGCTAGCAACTTTCTCTCAATATTGTTACCGGCCAGACGTGCTAATACGTAATGTCATCGACAGGGCAAAGTTGCTCTCGTGACCGGTGGCGCCAAAGGTACGGTGAACCTCGCGATACCGTCCCAATAATGCAAGCAGGTACTGACACCCTAACCAGGCATCGGCCGCATGATCTCAGAAGGCCTCGTCGCCAACGGTGCCAAAGTCTACATTTCCAGCCGAGACGAGAAAGCCTGCAAACAAGCCGTTGAAGAACTAAATGCCATCCCTGGTGGTGGTTCGGCACACTACATCACCGCCGACTTTTACAAACTAGAAGCGGTTCAACAGCTTGCAGACGAATTAAAGAAGAAGGAGACAAGTTAGTCCTTTTGCAACCCTAATAACTAAAAATTATTTGGACAAATCGAGCTAACGCAATTGTGATTAGAACTTCACATTCTCGTCAACAACAGCGGTAGCAATTGGGGCGAAACATTCGATAGCTATCCCGACAATGCCTGGGTTCGAGTCATGACCTTGAATGTACAGCGTGTATTCAGCATTACCCAATTAGTCACCCCACTCCTCGAAGCCGCCGCCGAACCACTCAACCCAGCTCGTATCATCAACATTGGAAGCGTTGACGGTATCAGAACACCAAATCTGGAGACATAGTCAGTATTATTTTACATTACCATTATATTAAATATGCTAAATACTAATAATTGATAAAACAGTGCCTACTCCGCTAGCAAAGCCGCTCTTCACCATATGTCCGAGGTCCTAGCCCATCACCTCGGCCAGCGAAACATCACGTACGTTTCTATATAGCCACAATTTTTACCTACTACAGTACTAACAATATTGTGATAACAGCTCCAACACCATTGCATGCGGTCCTTTCCAATCGAAAATGATGGCTGCCACACTAAAGAAATTCCAAAAGGATATCGAAGCCTCAATTCCACTATCCAGAATAGGAACCCCAGAGGATGTTGCCGGAACCGTTCTATTCTTGAGTAGTAGAGCGGGGTCTTATGTCAATGGTGCCACAATAACATTAGAGTAAGTTTACCTCCTCACAAGGAAAAAAAATTATAAACCGCTAACTGTATGGTAAAAATAGTGGAGGAAGTGTCGCTTCGGCGAAATTGTAAAAAAGAAAGTTCGAGGGTTGTGGTTTCCAAACTACGAGGGATCAATGTACGATATTTATAATAGAGAATACGATTTATCTTTTTACACAAGCCAGCCGTCTACTCGGAAGCGTAAAAATTCTAGAGTATTTTATACAGATGCTATCGTCGCTAAGTATCGTGGTTAATTCCAGACACATGGGTGTATAGATCTGACAGAACTTTCAGATATTTTATATATTTACAACTGGAGAGTGAAGTTAGTCCACCCCTTTAGCATATGCTGCACGTGCACGTCGAAATGCTCTACCATCATCACATGTTACTCGATCATTCTAAAGTTCCTGCTTTAAGTTCCGACAATATTAATGATGAAGGTCGTTTAGCGGGGAGAGTAAGTATTAATAAAGTTAAGAATCGAGTCGGTTTTCCCTTCTTCTACGAGTCCCGTATGTCTATAGGCCCGCAGTACTGAATTATATTAGTTCATCGCAGAGATAAATAACAGCCCATCGATGTTTTGTTGAAATCGTGATAACAGTAACCCGTCCAGGGGTCTCTCGAAACTGATCTGGTTTATTCTATAGATTTTTTGGAATGAAATTCCTGGATCAGAACCTATCTAGATCAGTGTAAAATGTGCTTCGCTCTTTTGTCGCAAAATCATGCATGTCAAATTTAATCGTTGTCGATCAGGATCGTCGATGTTCCGAGCAGCGCTATGATTAAGATGTTTAGATATCATATTCTTCTAATCACCCCCAACACACGAATCTACAAAATACAACAGACGTACAGAATTGTCTCCGGTCTCCAAGATCTTCGAAGTATATTAATAGTCAAATCCATATCCAGAAAAAGAAAGAAATAAAGAAAGATGAATACTTCATCTCGTTATCTTAATATCTCCAAAGCATCTACAAATTCAAAAGAATAGCAGCCACTGCACTACATAATTATACATCCCACGCGTCGTTGTTCACGCAATTATATCAGACATCGGCCCGACTCTCCACCGAAATCTCCCCCAACAGTAGTAACTGATCTACCAGATTCATTCTCATATCCCCTCCCCCCAACAATGATGTAGCCTATTAAAGCACTCCCCTCCATCTCCCTCTGTTTTCAGTCCCCCTCCTCCCCCCTTTAAAAAGAAAAACATGACATCTTAATTCTAAATAACCCTCTTTTTTTAATCATCATATTCCTTCTGGCAATATTTATTTTTAGACGTTGTAAAGTTCGGTATATGCCGTCGATCTTCCTGGATCATCGATATATCTAGAATTTCCATTTTTGGAGTGGAAAATATTTGGGTATATATATAAGATCTTTATATGTATCTGACAGGGTACTTCGTCACAATATTTGTCTTTTGTCATTAACTCTCCCTCCAGGACCTCAAAAAGAACTCGAAGTTCCCCATCGTCGCCAGTTTTTTTCTTTCTTCTTTCTTTAAAAAAAGAGAAATTTAAAAAAAAAAGGAATAAAAAAAAGATGTTGAGGTCATCCACCGCCAAAGTCTGGCTCGAGAAGTGTACAGACCCACCCGGCTCCAAAACCAAAGGCCCCCCCACCAGAGGCAGCAAATACAAAAAGACTGCCATCTACTTACCCTCCAAGTCAACCCAACGTTCCTCTCCATCTACCCATCCAAAACCCATAACCTTCAAGACCAACGAAGCATTCGTCGAATCCTCCCCGGAGACCTACTACCGTATCAAACTCTCAATTCCAAGACATCTCAAATCCTACTGCGTCCAAATCATCATCGATGGAGTAGAACAAAACACCTACGTCGAGACTTCACGATACTTCCGTACCGTCAAGTACCCCATCTCGGCGAGAAGGACTAGAAAATACACATACCGTCATTTCCAATTTTCAAAGCTTTCGGTGAAAGACTCCGCCCCCGGTGTTGGGGATTACGTATTCAATGATTCGCAACATTGTGAAAATGGATATATGGGTTGTTTTAAAGCCTCCGGGGATATAAAGTTGATCGATTATATGGTTGGGAAAAAGGCCGTGGGGACTATTAGGGTCAACTTTTATAAAATCAAGAAATGTAGGAAGATGACTCCTGATGAAAATAAAAAGGTGGATGGGAGGGACGATGGGGATGGGGAATGGGTTCCTTGTCAGGCTGTGGATAATATTGGGGCTTTGAAGCTGGGAGCTGGGGTGGAGAATGTTACTACGTAAGTGAAACTATCTTGAATATGTTCAAATTACCTAGGTACTTGCTATGGATATAAATTATGACTAACGATCACTGGTTTATATTAATAGACTTGGACCTGAAGTCAGAGGTACTGAACCTGGTGTGTGGTATCATGTACAACTTGGTACCTGGCATCCCTTCGAGACATTTGTTTTCAAGTACCGCCCGCACAGTAAGTTGTCTCCATGTACACCAAATAGACTTTGAAATCCTTTAGATTCTAATATAACGATGGGAAAACTATAGGCGTTCTCAAAGAAAACAACCTTCTAGTTGTGAAACCCACTCGCTTCCAAAAGTTTACGAAGTTCATCAAAAAGATCTTTTCATTTTCGAAAAAGTCAAAGAAATCGAATGAGTTGGAAGGGTCGGATGAAAAGTTCAATGAAAAAGTTATATCAATTTAATATTATTTTGATTTTCTTTTGATTAATATTATCAGATATTAATATTTAATTAGGTGACGATGGGAGGGTAATCTTTTTTTTTTTTTCGCAACATAGACTGTTTGACATTTCTTTCTTGGATGTCGATGGGAGGTTCTTTTGGTTATATCTTTTGGAATCTTGGATATCGATACTTAATGGAGGTTCGATTCAAGGTTGATCTAGAAGGTATATATAAAGAACGAGGAGCTTAATAACAAAAGTATTAATAATGTTTTATATAAAAATTATAATGATAATTAAAAGTTTATATACTTACCTATAGATCCGAGCTCATTAATCAATGGTGTTATAGAATCAACTACGCTAGGTAATATAATCCTACCTCTACGCCGGGGTTTTCATCTAGATCTTCGACATGTACCATACTAATAGTATCTTTCCCGTATTGAGGCCGCTGCTCTCAATCTACTAGTTAGTATACTCTCTCTATTTTTATGTTAGAATTGTTCAGCTAGCTTTGTGCCCACTTGGGGTAATACATATATAGTATAGGCACATGCACAAGGAGATATCGATATACGGAAATCTGTAAACAACTTGCGCCCTGCTACGGGATGTATAGAGCCATAAATTCGTACTAGCCACCTACTTAGGTATATGCATATGATCATATCAATTTTCTTGTCGCGGTAAAGGAAATAACGATAAAGAGAAGGAGAAACATTCGCTGTGCAATTGGAACAACGAACTTATCACTTCGGATTCATATATCAAAAGGACCTTTTTTTCGGAAGGGAATGAGAAAATGCACAGGAAAAAAAAAGAAGAAAAAAAGGTAATAAAAAGCATAATGTGGATAGCGTAAATATGAATAATGAAGCACGCCGTGAGCTGGAATAGAGAAGAAGAAGAAGAAAATAGACCCAAGCCCAGCACTAATTTACAAGAAATATCTTACCAACCCCTGAAAACGTCGTAGCCTATCTCCTCATTGGTGGAGGGCCACCATACCGCTGTTGGCGCATCTGCTGTTCCATACGTCCCTGGTACTGTTGTTGCTGATTCGTGAATAGAATTTTGAATCCCTGTAACGATATCACATTTGTTAGAAGTTGTGGAATTTGTGATGGTGCTGGGTGTTTAAGAAGCTTACGTTGCAGAGAGCATTAACGTCACCATAGAGGTTGTTTGCGAGAGAAAACGCCTGTGGTACTACTGTAACCTTCCAAGAATTTGGTGGCTTGTTTTGCCCGGTCTTGAAGCATAGGTCAAAATGGCCTGGTCTCTTAGGATCGGGATGGAAAACGTAAACGGTACGGCCAGGGAAAGCCTCGGCGTAGTTTGTCAACCATGCCTCTATTTCTATCGTTAGCAAAGCCTCCATGAAATCGTTCAGCAGAAAGAAAGTTTACATACCGGCCTCCTCCCGGGTTTTCTTGAACTTGTCGTGACGTTCGATCTCTCCGACTTTCTTAGCCATCGGTTTAATATGATTGAAGATCAAATCGTCCAAATCGCTGTACGTGTACTTCCCACCAACCTTCAAAGTACGGCCGATAGAGAACTCATTTTCTTTGTCAAGCTCAAGAACATCGATATGCTGGTACATGCCGTCACCAACTTTCCACGTGATAGCAATATGATCCTGCCCCTTCGATGATGGGCGGATAACCACATCGCCTCGAGAGTGCTGGGCCAAATACTCTTCCGCCTGCCTACTATTGAATGCACGGAATAGTGGGTGCTTGATAACACGTGCAGCACGATGTTGTTCCTCTTGCCTAACAGTAAGGGCAACCCTATCCCTTTCTTCTTGATCCTCGTCCCACTCATCCTGTTCGCGCTCGTAGCTCTTACGGAAGGGAATACGAAGCTCTGACTCCTTCAATGTCAACTCCGCATAGAAAGATCGGATATTAATGGTTTTGATCTTGGCTTGGACTGTCTGCGAAACGTGAAACAGACTATGCGGCGAGACGCCGAACTTATCGGACATCTCTTCGGAGGCGACATTTCCAGTAATTCCACAGTCGAGCTTTGTAACTAGGAAGCGGTCGGTGACTCTTCGGATATTCACTGGCACGATCATACCGGGCACAAGGGAGTCCACAGTTTCACCTGTAAGCTTAGTAAAGATTTCCTCACTGGACAACCTTCTGAATGGATTTCGTAGTTCCTCGTAAGGCTCTTGAAGTTCTGCCCTGATTGTTTCTAGGGTGGCTCTCTTCCTTTGGTTGAAATTCCTCTCCAATTCATCGGCGTATTCTTCAAGGATTAATTCGTTAACTTTGTATTGTTCATCCTTGCTAATCATCAGCCTTATGACCGCTCCTGGGTCATCGCCGTTATTCGTCCTTTCGTTAACGTCTTCCTCATCGAGCTCGAGCGCATCGGCGGCCATCTTGCGACCAAGTTCGTAATCTTGAGGGTGAACTCTGGTACTATCCAGGTACTCGGAATCGGCTGCCTTCAGTTCATAGGCGTATTCGATAATTGTGAAACTGGCGCAGTTGGTCCAAACGCAAGGCCCCATCAGCGGTTTGATATTAAGATCAGGGTCACCAACCATCTGGCTACGACTCTGCACACTTCCACCATTCTGCCCAATCATCTTGAGCATATGCCCCGCCTTTCTTGGTCCGAGACCGCACAAGTACGGTAGCAAGTTCGCGTAATATTGGTTGTTAACCACCTCATTGATGTTTACGCCGGTGAGATTGACCATATCTACCATGGCGCTTTCCAAGTTGGATTCGAGCTTCTCTCGAGGTAAGAGCTGTTGATCGGGGTGGAAGCTAATAGACAAAACATCTTGACCACAAGCTGCGTACTCCAACAAGGGGTTCTGCACATATCGAGCAAGAGCAGCGCAGTACCGGCCAAGAGAGCTCTGGCTCGGGAAGTCAACCGCTGCTCGCTCGCTGTTCATGTAAAGACGTGCGACCTCATCCTGAACGAAGATAACATCCAAAAGATTGCGCTGACCATGATCTTCGTCGTCAAGCCGAATGTCTTCCTCTTCAATAATCTTCCTCAATGCTGATTCTAGTGTATATGTCGCAACGGTAAATCCGCCGAGGGCGATAACGGCAGGGTTTCGGTCGTTGATAAGCTTAACAAACTTCTTGACCTCCTCCGTATCGCGCACGCCGTTCATCTTAAGTGTTTCTAGAACTTTACCGTATTGATCCATAAACACACCGAAAACACCATCTCTCAGATCGGTACCCTGACCAGCAGTCAACGCAAGAACACGGGGAGGGAGAATATTGGGGTCCGCCGGATTAACTTGGAAATGACCTTGGTCAAGTCTTTCCGTGTAGTTCTTGCGAACTTGTTTGGCGAGTTCATCCTCACAAACTGTTTTGATATTCTCTTTGTAGTTCTTGGCCATCAGATTCAGTAGTTTCTCCATAGCCATGTCAACGACATCCTTTCTTTCTTCGTTCCAAGTGTCTGCTTGGTCGCTATAATTTTCGGATGAGATGAGGTCATAGAGCTGGCGGAGAAATCGGGTTTTGGTGCTCATCTCGATTTGGAGGGTAACCAAGCCTTCGCTCTCAGCAGCCAGCATTTTCAGGAATCGCGCAGGGTGACTTAAAAGAGCCCCAGTTGACTGGTTTTTAAGATATTTGAATTCCTATTATAAAAGTTAGCGTAGGAAATCGTAGGATCACGTGAGTGAAACTCACATAATAGGGATGTAGTTCGTCGATCTTCTTCAAGCCTTTATCGGTTGTCTTGACATGTAGCTGCCCATTGATGAATAGTTTCTGGCGAACAGCCCGCCTTAGGATGGGGTTCATAAAAAACTCCTCTGCAAGCATGGCTTTCGCGGCCTTCAGGGCCTCAGAACTAGTTTTGAAGTCACGACCGTCCAGACAAGTATCAGCCAACTCATTAGGGAATTCCGCAGGCTCGTCTGGAAAATTGCGCTTCTGGTCCAAGCTGACATTGTGTGCAAATTCGGCAGCAGAGATACCGAAAGCCTTGACTAAATTGTAGACCCGAGACTTCCTGATCTTGTCGAAGATAGTGCGTGTGGCACCTGGTCGCTTTTTGTGTGCTCCGTTCGCCCCATTGGCCTGCGATTGAATGGCCGCTAGATCTTTGAGTTCTTCAGAGTATCGGAATTGCAGGTACTCTTGCAAATCCTGTATTTCTTCCACGTTCTCGAGATCATTGATCCTGTCGCTATATGTCTCATCTTGAATATTGAGGGACTGATAGGTTCGCTTAACAGCATTCTTCTTGTCGATAAAGGCCCGGTACTTAAGATCAAGTTCCATGACCGTCCATAATTCATCCTGACCCAACAGACGGTCACCACCACTACGACCCTCGTTATGAATGATGTAGTCCTTTCGGTTTTGGTAAATGAACGGGATTTCCATGTTGTCCTTTACGATGAAATCGAGAACGCGATTGACAGCGCGGAAAAATGGCTGTCGATGATGTGGCTGCAAATTTCGCTTCTGTGCGAACATAAGAGATGCAATCCAGTTTCCTTCTTCCGCATACTCCTCGTCCGTGATTGCGATATGTGCATATGGCTTTCGAGCCAGCTGGAATCGTTCCGGGATATCGATTGAGCGAATCTCATTGTCCTCGTCTGTAAGCATGCGCTCTTTGAGTTCACTAGGCTCAAAGACATCCTCAAGATTCATGACCTGTTCTCTCTTCTCTTCCTCTAGTTCTTCTGCCGTCACAATAGCCCAGTCGTATTCATGTCCATCTCCGAATATTTCCTCCATTTTTTCTATCGAATCAGCATTGAGGAAGCCCTTCCCTGTAGCAGCCGCTCTCTTTTGTTCTCGGGCTCTGTCTTTAGCACGGTTACGCTCGTCGACATCATCCTCGGACATATCATCATCTTCGATAAATCCATCATCTTCGTCCCCTAAGTCTTCGATGAATTCACCGGCTCCTTCGTCAGACGATATATCGACTAGATCGCGGTCATCATTCCTCGGCCGTTCTTCTGCTTTGCCACGTTTGAATCTTTTAAGCTTCTAACAATCGGGCGGGTTAGCTAAAGCTATATCAAGCTATTGTATTTGGAGTATTGACTTACGTTGCCTCTCGGCCTTTCTTCACCCATGTTTTCGGCAATGAGATCAAGATCTTCCTCATCCATTTCATCATCTTCTTCTTCCTCACGAGCCGACCTTCTGCGCTTTCGCTTCCTCCTTGATCTGTTTTCAGGTTCGCTCTGACTTTCTTCCTCCTCTTCGTCGTCGTCACTGACAATAAAGCCTTTCCCAACCTATAACGCGTGTATGAGTACCGAGCTTGATGTGTATTGAATACAATCAGAGATGGAAAGAGGAGAAGAAATAAAATAAACTACCAACCTCTGCAAGACCTTCTTCCTCGTCCTCGGTGTTCTCCTCCTCGCTAGAATCCATATGGACATCGTTATCACGAGATTTCTTCTGCTTCTTGCTGCGTTTCTCCTTTTTCTGAACGGCACCGGTTTCCTCGTCCATAATCTCGTCCTGCGACTCGTCCTCCGCCTCTCGATCAAAGTACCCACTCATATTGGGTGGGTTGTGGAAAGATCAGATGGATGTATTTTGGGGGTGGAGACGCGATTAAAGGTGATTGGTGGGGTTATCGATTGGGGAGTATACGAAGGATTCGGATCTCGATGAAAGAGAGTGTCGGGATGCAGGTTATTGCAAGGAGTAGCGGCGCGATGGGCAGGAGGGTTGATGGAGGAAAGCTGTTCGATCCTGAGGACGAGCAAGAGGCGTTTCGCAGGCCTGTCTAACCGAGTTCAAGCCACATTTGGAATTTACTAGCCACACATCTAACCAGCCACTTTAACAACACCACAACGCGACAACCTCATCCGTGTTATCCTTACTTGATCGAATGCAAATGTGCGACAATGCAACTTCATATGCATCTTTCTTTAACCACAATACCCCGATACCGATACACCAGGCTTGAAACTATAGTAGGCGGAGCATTAAGACATCTGATCTGTGCTCTAATTCAAGAATGAATGGTTATTCTTCCGCAAAAAGCACCTATGCCTGCATCGTGCCCGACCAACTAGTAAGCCAAGACATGCCGCACTGGCTGATATTAAAGGATGAAAGCCAATGCCGCATCCCAGAACCTCAAGAAACATGGCTGCCTCACTTAATCAATCAACTACCCCCTCATCAGCTTACGTGGATACAGGTAAGAACCCGGCGCTTGTGGCGTGCTCCCCAAACTTTCCAGGAAACCTTTGGTGTTTTGAAAGCAATGAATTCACGCCCAGATGGCAGATGACCCACCGACGACCTGGGATTCCCGTCCTCAAAAAGACGTTTCGAAAATACTTGCCATTCTTTGATATTGGGCGAAGGGTTATGCTAAGAGGGACTTCGGCATCTCCAAAGCTATGAAGTTGCAGTGCTATCGATTAAACCTAGCTTATCAATCTTTGGGCTTACGGCTCGCCCGTCTTGCAGCGGTGCATACGCCTCTAATGCATACTAATGCATACAAGATACTGCGGAGCATATCAGAATGACGATGAAGGAATGAACGAACGAACGAAAGAACGGACGGACAAACGAAGATACTCGGGTATCCCGCCATCTTCTTTTCTGCAGTGCATGACATGGACCAGCTGGTGCAAACAATGCAATTAGGCAGCTTTCGCCTGATCCTGGTTCGCTGAATTAATTAATTCTCCCCGAGAAGCATACTTGCCCACATACATACAAACACAGGCATACGTACATACAAGCAGAAACCGTCATGTGAGCTGTCATTGTCAATCGCTATACCTAACGCCTACCACTCCCCATTGTTCTTGGCTCTGGTGAAATCAATCTGCAACCGCAACCAAGGGTCGCCAGTGGAGAACGGGCAGAAATACCCCGATCAATCCACGTGCATGCATGGCCATGGCAGCAAAGATAGGAATTGATATTGAAATAGAATAGAATATAATATTTACCCACAAAACAAAGAGTCTTGTTTGTTCTGAGTGCCCTGAAAGAGGTGGTTGAAACATCCCTGGGAAACTGGAAACTGGTCTGGGACAAGCCAGTGTGGTTGCTGATACTGCTAATTATACTTACCTCGACTCCACCTCTCACCTCTCACTCTCTCCGACCCTCTTCCTCCCCTCTAACAGGTACAAAAGCAATAAAACCCGCCTTGAATCCTCCTCATCTATCCTCTCCTTCTTTCCTCTCACCCTCTTCTTCGCTATCATAATCAAACATTAATCACTGGAGTCTTTTTCTCCCGATTGTTCTTCCTCTTCTTGGACTATCTAGCTATTCCTGTCGGCTGCAGATTCCGTTTGATTTCGGCAACACACGTGAGGTCCTCTCCAGTTACCTGCCAGGCCTTGGAAATTCACCGAGCTTAGCTTTCCCCCCAAACTTGTTGGATTTCCTCAGCTACCCCTCGTCCACTTTCATCCCTTCCGACCTTCCAACTACCGGCAGACCTCTAGTTTTCCGGTATAAAACCTTCCTTCCGAGTCGTTCCTTTATATTTATCCTCAACCATGGCTGCCGACCAGTTTGCCCCGCGGACGTTGGCAAAGAAGAACAAGAAGGGCTTAACCATTGGAGGTCGCGGTGGCGGCGGTAGCTCCGAGTCCAGCATCTCTCACAGCAATGGATCCGTCGAAATAAAACGCAAGAGAAACACCCTGGCCGACAAACTCAATGATCTCGAAATAGGAGTCGAGTATCGATTAGAGTTACGTGCCGATGATTTGGAGGTTCTGCACGAATTAGGTTCCGGAAATGGTGGTACCGTCAGCAAGGTCATTCATAAGGCTACAAAGTTAGTCATGGCGAGAAAGGTATTACCATAGGCCAGATTAATACATTATATTTTTCGTCGAGATGATATGGACTTATTGTTAACCCTATTTTATCTTCTTCGTGTCGTTAGGTCATACATATCGAGGCGAAGCCGGCCGTCCGGAAACAGATTGTCCGCGAGCTACAGATAATGTACGAATGCCACTCGCCGTATATTGTCTCGTTCTATGGTGCCTTCCTCAATGAAGGAGATGTCATTATGTGTATGGAATTTATGGAAGCTGGGTACGCTACTCCTTTCCTCGTTGCACCGAATTCACGCCATAGCTAACAAACCCCTGATTAGTTCCCTAGATCATATTTCAAGCGTGATGGGTTCCATAGAAATAGCATATCTCCGTGAAATCGCGGATTCGGTTCTCCGAGGATTGGTTTATCTATACGACGTACACAAGATCATGCACCGAGACATCAAGCCTTCGAACATACTTGTCAATGGTAATGGACAGATCAAGCTCTGTGATTTTGGCGTATCTGGCGAATTAGTGAACTCTATTGCGGACACATTCGTTGGAACTTCCACATACATGTCGCCAGAGCGTATACAGGGAAGCAAATACACCGTCAAGAGCGACGTTTGGTCCTTTGGATTGACTATGATGGAACTTGCACTTGGAACTTTCCCCAATTTTGGGGGTGGTGGACCGACTTCCGATAGGCGTGCATCATCCGGGCCCATGGGTATTCTAGACCTCCTCCAAGCCATTGTCAATGAACCAGCCCCGAAACTTCCGGAGGACAAGTATCCTCCAGAGCTTTCGGACTTCTGCGACAAGTGCTTGGCGAAGGACCCAGATGCACGTAATTCCCCATCAGAGCTTTTGGTATGTCTACTTGCTCCCGAACTACTAAGAATATAGCTTGGGCTAACTAATCTTGCGCGCCATAGGAACATCCTTTGATCAAGATGGAATTCAAAATCGACCTGGAACAATGGGCTGACGATATCATCAACACCGCTGCCATCAAGAGTGCCGCGAAGAAAGGCCTCCCCCCTCCACCACCCCGAATTCGTGATCGCAGCCAACCGGAGATACCGACCATTGGTGCACAAAGGAAACCTAAAGCATAAGACATCTGCATTTTTGAGAATGAAGTTAAAATTGCAAGCGAATTTTTTACATATGTATCCTATCCGATGAAAACCCCCCCGTTATCAGGCCTTGAAGGCTCCTTTCGAGGGGGAAGCTAGTAAAGATATACTACAGCAAGAAATATCCATCGATCAACCTTCTACATCTTCCAAGCCCACAAATCCCAAACAAAAGTTATGGAAATGGAAGAACGACTTTAAAACACTACTTACATATCGAAAGCCGGCAAGCAGCCGTCGTCATCATTATTGCTCTTTTTTCGTCGCTTTTAATGAGTCTGTTTTGGTCGTTATCATTTGCAAGCCTTTGTTGCATTTTTAGCAAGCCGATGTCCGCTGTTTTTGGAAGCCAGACGTCTCCCCGAGATCGATGCCCGAGATTATTTTTACCCACCGTCCTGTCATATAATCATCTCTGCTCAGTTTGATATCGATATCTCTTGCTTCATAAACTAGCGCGAGGCCCATTGGCTATTGTTGAAAGAGGCGTCGATTGCTACCACAGCCTTCGATTCACCAAACGACTAGGCTGTCTAGTATCCTTGAGACTCCATATTTGTTCTGGATTGTATGTACATATTATTTACATGGAAGTGATTTTCAATTCGATCGATCGATCGATATTTCCGACCATCTGCCTTGAACTCTTTGGTGTCGCTATTGTGCAATTGTGAATGCGTCAAGAACACACCCCCGTCGATTCCCAAAATAAGGGTTCTATTGTCAATGCACGCAGCCGTGACGAATCCCGCTAGTTTATCAGTCGATACAACCCAGCCGCGATCAGCCCGATCCCAATACCGTGGATGCTACCCCTCCTCGCTAGTAATTGCCATCTTGTCAGTGTGTGCTGTTCCGCGGCCAGTTGACGCCGGCCAGCCACCAACATGTATCCCCCAAGACCCGTGAATGCGGCAGCCCCTTGTGTATGTGGCTAATCAGTACTCAGAGCGCTCATCTAACGACTGTAGATACGACGGCTTACCGGTGATACGGCATGGAAGACAGTCATACTTCGCCAGCCTCTGTCTTTCCTCATCTGAGACTTGGTTCTGGTCGGGTTCCTTTGTGGTTGACGACATTGCATTTGGATGGGGTGAAGATGCAAGCTTGAGCTCGAGCTTGGAAAACAACATCCAACACACATCCCACCTTCCCATTACAACATCACCGCCCTCCCCGCGACTTCATCATTTATCGTCATCACTACCACAAACCATCACCACTTGCGACATCATTATCATGGCCGGCGCCATCGAGGCCCTGTATATATACGATAGTCAGAAGTAGCCCCATCTCTACAGCTTCATCATCTACCATTCAGACCACATGCTAACCCTCCCAAAACAGTGCCGTCATTCTTCAGCACAACTGGCGACATCGTCCCACCGCCTCAGCTCAAGAATACATCACCTCCTACCTTTCCCACCCCACTCCCCGACCCCCCTTAATTCACCTCTCCAACCTTTCCCCGCCAACTCTCCTCTTCTCAATAATCCACAACAACCTAACTTTCCTATCTCCGGCAACCTCAGAAGTCGAGCCCCTCTTAATCCTCGAATTCCTTCATCGAATAGCAGAGGTCCTGGAAGATTACTTCACCCCACCTCTAATCCCCTCCAAAATCGAGGGTAACTACGATGTAGTAGCCGAACTCCTAGGGGAAATGTGCGACGACGGCCTACCCTTCAACACCGAACCGAACGGTCTAAGAGACGTCGTCCTACCGCCTTCAATAATGAAGAAACTACTATCAACCGTCACATTACCAACCGGCTCATTGGACCCGTTCCGTTCAAACCCTTCAACAATATCTACTATTCCATGGCGTCGTGCGAATGTAAAACATACTTCAAACGAAATGTACCTCGACCTCCTCGAGACCTTACACTGCACAGTCGCCCCATCAGGCCGTCCGATATCAGCAAGAGTCGCAGGAACAATGCTCTTCACTGCAAAAATCTCCGGAATACCGGATATGCTCCTTCTATTACGAACTCCAACACCGAGAGGTGGAGGTGGCGTTACCTTAGAAGCTCCCGTATTCCACCCATGCGTCCGACTTTCCAAATGGAACTCCCAACCAGGTCATCTATCCTTCGTCCCTCCGGACGGGAAATTCGTATTAGCATCCTACGAAGTCAACATGCTTCCAGACTTCTCACCCTCAATATCCGCACCGCAACCATTCCACCTCCCTCTATCAGTGACCACAAAAACCCTACAAGGCTTCAACTCCACTGAATTCGAAGTAAAAGTCATAATCCCCCATTCATCACCTTACGCTTCTTCAACAACCTCCTCTTCTTCCTCCCAAAACACCGGATCTTCCGCATTCGCAAGAATAGCCGCACAAAGCGCCGGAACTTCTATCCCTTCCCAATTCCTTCAAGGACCCGGTAGCTCAGCTGGTAGCAGTAATAACCCAGTCATGGAGGATGTGGCTGTTCAGATACCCTTACCGCCTCAAGTCCGAACATTAATAAACACACGAGCATCGAAAGGCGATTTCATACATGATACCGAAAAAAACCAAATCCGCTGGCGACTTCCAAATGCCGCTATCACTCCGGGTGCAACATATACATTCAAAGCAGAAGTAGTCGTGAAGAGCACTTACGAAGAAGAAGAGGCGGACGAAGAAGTAGTTTCGGGTGCAAAATTATCAAACTACGATAATAATTACGACGCGGGAACTCCCAAGCTAATTGTAAACTCGGGGGCTACTACCCCAGCTAAAGAGAAGGAGAAGGAAAAGAAATCGCCACCGTCAGCACAGGTTATAGCGTCGATGCCTAGGAGCGTTCTGTTGGATTTCACTATTAGAGGTGCTTTGCTTAGCGGATTGAAAGTGGATTCTTTGAATATAGTTGGAGGAAAAGGAATACCGGAGTCAATTAAGCCATATAAGGGAGTTAAGTACATAAGTAGAGCGGGCGAAGGATCAGTTGAAGTTCGATGTTGAGATACCATATTCCTAATATTTACATGCCATTTTATCCTTCCATCCATCAAGCAATAGTTCCTCAATAACCAAATATCTTTTTTTTAAAAAAAAAGAACAGCCAGAGCATAATAGTCGGTAATAACCCTCCAAAACGCCAGAGTGAATTGATCGCAAAAAGCCGCTTTGATATCAAAAAATAAAAAAGAAGAAAAATAATAGAAAGGGTTAAGAAAACCCGCCAGCATTAAATATATTCGCAGCATCCGCCCTTCTCGCTCCCATAACTTTCTTCTCCTCCCGCCTCCTTCCACTCGAATTCGTCGCCTTCTCCAAATTCTTCTGCCTCGTAGCTTCCCTGGCCTGGAAATTGATACTTGCCCCGCTAGCTTTACCCCTCCCCATCTTGGTCGTAGTCTCCACAAAAGCAGCTTTAGGCGCAACGGTAGTTGTTTCACTAATATCATTCGTAGTCGTCCTTCTCAACAGCGGAAGCCTGAATTGTCCAGTAGGATCCGTATTCCCCTGGTGGAACGCAAGCTTCGCAGTTTCGCTAGTGGTAGTAGCACCTCGCTTTACTGCGACACGATCGATAAAGTTGACTTTACGACGCTTGGAGATTTCTTCATAGGATTCTATCTCGAGATCTGAATCGGAGTCCGATCCGCCCTCCACGTGGTATCTGTCTGTACCATCATCTAGGAGGGATGAGACGGTACGTTGGACAAGAAGTTGCGCATGCTGTTTACGCTTTTTAGAAGGTCCCGTGCGACGCGGGTTTCCGATCTTATGACCTTGTGGGGTTTCGGCGACCATTTGTTGGCTGTCTGGGACCTCAATGACGGGTTGATTCGATAATGGTGCAGATTCGCCGCCTGATTGGCTATCAGGAACTTGAATAATGGACTCTTGCTCCTCGTTCGGGGTTTGTGAATCCTCATGGACGGCAAAATCATATTCGTCATCCTCATCTTCGTCGTCCAAGAAGTTTCTTTCGCCCTTAGTCTGTTCAATGGTTTTCAAGAAAGCCTGACGCTTAGGGTTGTGGTCTTCAAATATCATGTTAGTAAAACAGCCGTAGTAAATGTGAAGAGGCGCAGGTGCTCACCAAGTTTCGCAATGTTGTCATCCATCATCAATATCCTCCTTCTCTCCGCTTCATTCTTTTTCTGACGCCTGAGCATACGATCTCGCGCTTCATCTTCTGAATCATCATCGAGATCATAGCCGCCCCTCTTGCCTAGCTTCTTGTTTTTGACATCTTTCATGACCTTCTGGATCATCTTTTCGTCTTCTGCAACAGCCCTCTTTAAATCCAATTCGGCATGAGCACCATCATCTTCATCTTTTGTCTCATTATCGATCATATCCTCCATCTCCGCCAGAGCCTCTTCATCGGTTTCTTCATCGTCGCTGCCGCCGCCCAATCCGGCGTATTCATCTTCAGACTCCTCGGCAGCCTCTTGGAACATATTCTTTGCGCCACTAGCCTTTTTATCATACGTCTCAACCACATTCTTAGGCTTTTTCCCAAGAACGCTAAAAGCATCAGCCTGCTCTTCAGAGCCCGACTTGACCCCTTCAGCATCGCTCTCCCCCTTCTCGCTCCCATCCACTCTATTCTTCCTCACTAGCCTGCCCTTCTTCTTCCTCGGCATCGAAGGTTCCGGGGAGAGTAGCACAGTAGCCTCAGTAAGACCACTCTGTACAATTCCTCTATGATAATCAGACACAATCGTCGCCTGACTCGATTCCCTAAATCGTGGAGGCGCATCCTTCGGATTATACTGGAAGCCCATATCCGGTTCTGGGGCAAACGACATCTGTGTTGAAAGGGCCAAACCATCACCAAGTAGCGATTCCGGTTCATATTCGATCTGGCTTTGTGAGTATTCGAGATCTAGCAATGAATTATTTTGCGTGCTATCGAATTTCGGACTGCTTCGTATGTTCATATCGAGGGGCACTTGGGAGATGTTAAGGTCCTCGGGGATGTTCCCCCGGAGAATGTCCATTCGATTACCAGCGTCTCCCTCATCCATAGAGGATTCAAACATCTGGGTCAGTCCCATCACAGGGGCTTTGTTTCCTAGTGCAATGAATGGGTTATCCTTTTGAGGGGATGTTTGAGAACCCGCCTGCGAATTGAACATCTGCGTGAGTCCTAATACCGGGGCTTCCGACTGGAGGTTCGCGAAAGGGTTTGCAGGTTGCGAGTCTCCTTGAGAGTCGAACATCTGTGTCAATCCCATAACTGGAGGCTGGTTCCCCAACCCGCCAAACATCTTGGACTGATCTTTCATCGGGGAGACTACCTGGGAGGGGGTAGAAGAGTTAAACATCTGGGTAAGCCCCATAGGTAGCTCTGTAGTCCCAAAGGATACTGCCTTTTTAGGTGTCTCCAGCAAAGACGGGATCTGGGTGATTGTCCTGTCACCTTCCTCATCTTCGTCTTCCTCATCTTCGTCGTTCACCACTGCCCTGCCCCGCCGTCGTAGCCGTGATTGAGAGACCGCACTCTCAAGAGCATCCTCGTCGTCTGACTCTGCCATGTCGCGCATACTGGAGAGACGAATGGGGCTTGATGAACGCTGAGCAGAAGGCGGGCTGGCTGACTCGTCCTCCTGCTCAGCCTCTCCCATCTCTTCGTCAGCTACCTCCTCTTCCTCCTCTTCCTCCTCTCCTTCACTTTCGCTACCTGAAAATGCCACGCCACCTTCCTCCTCCTCATCGTCTTCGCTTCCACTACCCTCATAGTCCTCATCATCACTATCCGACAAATCAGCCAACTTGATACCTCGCCTCTGTGCTTCCTCTCTCCTCTCCCTATCCTTCTGTTCCAGTGCCTCATTGCGTGCCTTCTCGACCAGATCCTCTTTGTATGATGCCTCCTTGATAATCTCCTCTTGAGTCGGCACAGATAGACCCTGTTTGCGAAACGTTTCCCTCTTCGCGGCTTCATCCGCCTTGATTTGCTGTTTCGCCTTCTTGATAAGATCATCCTGCCAATTATCATCCCGTACAGGACCTTTCGCATACCGCCCCCTCAGTTTCGCGCGGTCAGCACCCTGGTTAGCAAGTCTCTTCAGGTCCTTCAGAGGGTCGCTCTTTGCTACTGGTTTTTTAGGCTGTGGCGGTAAGATCTCTAGTTCATCAGAATCGTCAGGGTCCTGGCTGCTTGTAGCCGGTACCACAAACTCAACAAATGGTTTTCGTTTGTTACCGGTTTTGTTCTTCGGCAGGCTGGCAAAGCCAAGTTTCTTGCCTTTAGGGAGGTCAAGCATTTCGATATCTTTGTCGACCGCCTTTTCCTTCCCTTTCTTGACTGGTTCCTCCTTTTTCGGCTGTTGGGGCTCTGCCATCAATTGCTCCAAAGTGGGGAGGTCATCGTCGTCATCCTGGATAACGACATCATCATCACCAATTAGAGGTTCGCGCTGTGCTTCTTCTTCTTTATTGACCTTGGCCGTAGGCGATGTGCCGAGAGTGGTAGGCGGGCTAGATTGTTCCATTTGGGAAGTAATAGGCACTGAACTCGACGGCTCTGGCAGCGGTATCTCTGCTTTTACGGGCTCAGGTTTTGCATTCGGGTTTATGAGACCAAACTTTGCCCACAAGCTGTCGACGCTGTGTACGACCTTCTTAATCGGCTCGAGGTTAAAGTCCTGGTTCCTGGCCATCCTCTGCGTCTCCGCTCGCATCTCGAATAATGCCTTCTTTGAAGCTTTCCTAGCCGCTGGCTTCTTCCTCTGCTTTTTCCCTGCTTCCCCGCCGGATTCATCGCTGAACATTAAATCCGCATCTTGAAGTTGATCCGATGCTTCAAGCCTAGCTTGCCGCTTAGCTTCTTCTTCGTCCTCCTTCTTCTTATTGGCCTTTCGTTTCTGGTTTACCAGTTGCTGAAGCCTCGACTCTGCGATAAATGCATTCTCGTCTTCATCCAAGCTGCCCAAAGAAGCGTCATCAGAGTCCGAGCCATGTGGGTTGGGTTCAGATCCACTATCACTGCCCGCGACCACCAGCTTCTTCGACTTCTTGCTCTTCTTCTTCTTCTCGGAAGCTTTTCCTTTCCCCTTTTCAGCCTTCTTCTGCTTCTTCGGCTTTATCGTAAAATCGATGGCATTGAGGTCTAAAGATTCCGAATCGGATACGCGGATCGGAGATGTAACAGGAGATTGTATCGGCGACTGCTTCTTTTTCAGTATCCGTCTTCGAGCTGGCTTCGGTGTCGTTTCGCCATCTTCGTCGTCTTGGTCAGGTTCAGGTGTCGTTTCTTTCCCCAGTGCTCCCTTGGATAGCTTCTGTCGCAATCTATCGGCCGCATTTATCTTATTACTCGAAATATTCGCATCCGCATCCTCCATCTCAACATCTTCATCATCATCATCAGATCCAATGATCTTAGTAACTCTCGCACGGGATCGAGCGACTGGTACATCTTCCTCGTCATCTTCATCGTCGTCATCCGATATACCCCTCCTGGTCGTAACACGTTTAGAAGTCGGTTCATCATCCGAATCCGAGAATTGAGCTAGGAGAGCTTTAAGCTTTGATTTCGGTGTTAGCGAAAAGTCGAGTTTGGGACTTTGTGGTGGTGAGGGAGATCTATATTCCCTCGAGGAGAGGGAAGGAGTCGGCGACGACATTGTGGTAGGGTTTCAATTAGGTACGTATTGGTCTGGAGGCAAGACAGATGAGAGTTCAAATAGGTATGATTGGTAAAACAATGTTCGGTATTGAAGGATGTAGCTCTGGCAATACAGCGTCAGAGCATGAGGGGATGTTAGGCTGGTGGTGGTAGTAGTATCGTGGTAGAAGTACGGAGTCGAATGGATCAGTAACTTGGGAGGTAAACAAGTTCCAAAAAGGTGTGCAAAAGTTGTGTTGGATGGCAAGCTTGCGAAGAACGCGATTCTCACGCGTTGAGTGGCAATCCCAGCACTCTCATTGCCGTTTTGAGAACTAGCTATGAAACACCTTTTTATATCAAAATGCAACATTTAGGGCGTCGGATTATCGAAATTTCATGGCTTCTAAAATCATAGCTGGATTTTATTGGTAATATCTCGAGACCAGATTACGTAGTACTTATGAAATACTTTGCGAGGAGACCTCTATATCTTTAAATATAGATGGCCCTAAATTAATCCCTTCCCATTCATTTTAGACCAGAAATACAGTTATTACCCCGAGTCCATCCAATTGCAATTGATCAATCAAACCTGCTAGCTATGAATAATCCTAAATGCCGTAGGTGCGACTCCATATGCTGATATTGGCAAATTTAGAGCTCGTCTGTATGGAATGTAGTTTTCCAACCCATAGTAGATCTACAAAACTAAGTAGATATCTAGGCAGCCCTAGGCAGCGCTCTCTCTAGCAGTGTTAATGTCAAGTGATTTATGAGGAAAAGCACAATCCGTTTCAGCATATACATAGCTAATTTTTATATTACAAAATACTCCAACCGCAAAGTGGTATATTACATGTATACATTAACGCTTAATATCAGCTTCCAAAACAACCACACATACACTAACCTAAACAACCTCAAAGATAGCAGTACCATGAATATCAACAGCACTACTTCCAACCGCAACCTCAAACTCTCCTCTTTCAACTTCATACTTCATCCCAAGTCCCCAAACCCCCAAATCCGATACATCAATCTTAACCCTAACGTTCTTAGTCTCACCGGGCTTAAGATTAACCTTCTTGAACCCCTTCAACAACTGATTCGGCTGCACAACACTGCTGACCAAATCACGGATATAGATCTGAATGACTTCCTGTCCTTCGCGATCACCGGTGTTTGTAACATCAACAATGGCAGTGATGGTTCCGTCCTTTTGAGCTTCAGCGTATCCGACGGTCTTCTTGTTTAGCTTGATATTGCTGAATTTGAAGGTGGTGTAGGAACGGCCGAATCCGAAGTGGTACCATGGAACTGGGTTGTTCAAAACGTAGTTGTGGCCGAAGACGAGAGTACCGTTTTCGTATTCTTTACCTGGATCTGGCCAGCTTCGGCCGGAGTTGAGGTAGTCGTAGTAAGAAGGAGTGGTACCAACGTCATGTGGGAAGGAAACGGAAAGCTTTCCGGAGGGATTGTAGTCACCGAACAAAACATCGGCAAGAGCATGACCACCTTGTTCAGATGGATAGAATTGTTGAACAAGAGCAGATGTGGAGTTTGCGATCCAATCCTCGGTAATTGGTTTACCAGAGGAGAATACAACAACGGTGGGTTTTCCAGTATCAGCGATGGCACGGACGAGTTTCCTTTGAGCACCGACTAGATTGAGAGAGTGGACGTCGACGTGTTCACCAGTGGTGGCGTTGAGACCTTGCCAAAGTTCGTTTTGGTCACGAGACCAGGTACCGACGACGACGACGGCAATATCAGCGGATTCGGCGGCGGCGATAGCCTCTGGGAAACCGGAGTCATCGTTGGACCAACGTTCGCAGCCCTTAGCATAGACGACGTTGTTGGCACCGATGGCTGCTTTGATACCGTCATATGGGGTGACACCGCGCTGAGAGGACTGGAATGGGACGTAGTCTCCGTACTATATCTATTTATCAGTCATAACTCTGTTGAAATAGTAGTGGCGAGTCGAAAACTTACGTTCATGAATCCATGGGCCATAGGACCAATAACAGCAACCTTGGCAGACTTAGAGATTGGGAGAGCCTTATCATGATTCTCGAGAAGAACAATAGATTCACGATCCAACTCCCTGGCAACGGCAAGGTTCCTTTCAGTGTGAACAGTCCTGTTAACCTGCGAGGTAGGAACAGATGCATATGGATTCTCAAACAATCCGATAGCGAACTTAGCCCTCAATTGTCTCGCAACTGCAGTATCAACAACTGCGATATCAAGCTGTCCATTCTTAGTTAAGTTGGTAATCGACCGGAAGTTGAAGGAACCACCACCCATCTCAACATCGTTACCAGCCTCGAGAATCTTCTTAGTGATACACTCGCGGCCGGCTTGTGTGTTCTTCGGTGGACAGATTTTGAAAGCGTCCGCAAGACGATCGGTGGCACCGGCGTCGCTCATGACATAGTACTTGTAGCCCCACTCGTTTCTCAAAATGTCAGTGAGAACATGGTGATCCGCAACAGTCGGTACGCCGTCATAAGCAGTGTATCCAGACATGATAGCCATAGCACCACCTTCAACAATTGGCTTCTTGAAGGCGTGGAGCCAAGTAGTTCGGAGCTCTCGCTCACCACCGTGAACTGGGGCGGTATTAATACCGCCCTCGGGACCACTAGCACCGACGAAGTGCTTAAGCATAGCAGCAACCCCACGGTTCTGGAAACCCTTAATGAGAGCAGTAGAGATCTCGGCAGCAAGGAAAGAGTCTTCGGAGTTACATTCCTCGACTCTACCGAATCGGAGCTCACGGGCAAGATCCGAGACCGGAGCGAACAATTGGTTTACACCAAAAGCCGCAGCTTCCTTTGCGATAACATCAGCGGCCTTTTGGACAAGTTCGGGATTGAAAGAACATCCAAAGCCGATTGGGGAGTTGAAGATCGTAGCATTGGGGAGTAGGAATCCGTGGAGACCTTCGGTTTGAACGAAGGCCGGAATACCCAGTCGAGTCTCCTCAACCAAGTATTGCTGTCCACGCTTGACGTTATCAAGCATCCAGCTCCAGAGAATAGGGAATCCGACATAGAAGGATCCTTGTTTGTATTCAAAGTTTACCTCAAGGCCGGTTCGATTGTATGCGCCGGTGTTAATGTTCAACCAATTGGACATATCACCTAAAACCCAGCTATCAGCGCCTTGCTCTACCCACTCTAAATCATAAAGTCAGCGAAACACTAGCTTACCTTGCATCAATTGACCAATCTTCTCATCCAACGTCATCCTCGACACCAAGTCAGCGACTCTATCCTCAACACTCGCCTTTGGATCCTTGTAGATTGCATTTTTGACCGGATCAGACGGAGAAGCAGCAAAGACAAGAGGGGTAGCTGCTAGAAGCAGACTACCAGTAAGAGTAGAGACACGCATTATAGAACAGGGAATCGATGCTCTCTGCTATAGCAAGCTGCGCTGAAGATCGGCCGATATCGATAGCTATTCCATGGTAAGAGCTGGCAGGACCCCCTTCTCTTTATACTTCCCACCCATTGTACCCTGTCCTTCTCCAAGATCTCAGTATACAACGTAAGACAGAGAAAAAAACCCTTCTCCAGGAAAACGATATCAATCATGATCCATGGATCCAAGGTAGCTCCCCAGTCGGTGAAAGACAGCGGGGAAAAGATTACAATGGTTCTTTTAGCCATTCAGCCGGTATTCATGAATCTCAAAGCTCTATGAATGTCCTCCATAGCTAGCAAAAATACCGGCGTCGATGCCGATCATTTCCTAGATAATATCAGTGCGACTAGTAGCTGGCGCAGTTGGCGTGGTTCATAGGCCTGAGCGGACAAGGGACCAGAGAATTGGACCTGCGTCGGTCATATTGTACATACATACGTATGTGTATGCAAACAGGGAGGAGTTTTTCCTCTATATCCCCTTCGAAGGACTGCGAGGTACAAAGGTGAATAAACCCGGGGTATGGGTTCGCAATAACAAAAGATGTGCGGATTCGTGGAAATGAAGTTACTCCGTGATGTACCTAACCACCCCAAACTGCAACACCCTCGAGGTTGACACCCTTGTTGTATTCCGCAATTACCCCAGGCAGAGAACAGAAACAAGGTAGGTAGGGCAAAGATATGGGGGGCTTTTTCGGATCAACTCGCCCCGCAAAATAGCTTAAAAGGAAGTAGCCGAGGAGGCGCCGCCTTCGATTGCTTGCCCCGTAAGCTTGTGTTCAACCTCTCCACTGACATTTCCGAGAAAAAGCCACTACCAAACTTTTAGCAGCTTCTTGTGGGCGAGAGCCATGGCTCCTTGGTGTGATGTTTCCGTGGTACACTCCCGTTTTTGCCTAATATCATGACGTTTTGTTTTCTGTTTTAGCCAATGATGCGATTTCATACCTGCTCGATTGGATATTTACACTATCCGAAGACCCCAGGATGTGCGAAAATCGACCTCTCTTACATCCTTCTTCTCTCTCTCCACCTAGAAACTCCGCTAGGTTGCTTTATCGGTTGTCACTTTTTGCAAAACAGGCTAATTCCTGGAAATTTCGCTAGGCTGCATGTAAATATCCTTCACCAGGTACAAGTTCTATGCATCTAAATGTGCCGAAACCTAGTTCCATAGTCTGGCTCGCCAAGGGTCAATATCATCGACGGATGATTGTCAACTGCGAGGAACATGACGGCGCATCTCATTCCGAATTTATTTAAACTGTGGCGGGTGAATTGCACAGAGCAGATCTTATTCAAAAACATAGTATGTCCCACAAAGACCTGTCCCTAGGCCTACTACCTAGCTACTTAGGTACTTGTTACTTAAGTATATAGGCTGTGCTGGCTGCCCCGGTAGGTAAGTAGTTACTAGGCAATATCATGTCGACTCTTACCTTCAATTAGTCAATCAAGTTATAGATATAGATTTCATATTGGTGCTTTAGCTATAGAATCTAGGATGACCCAAGAATATGCATGTAGACCAAGATCGATCAAGGATTATCAGGTAGGAAATAGATGTTCATAAGTCAGAGATTTAGGGCTCGGATTTCAAACTCTCCGCCAGTCCTGTCATGAATCCCGAGGTACAGATAACATACCCATGGCAGTAATGTTTTGATAGCGCTCCACAGCTGTACGATCCATCAATATCAAAAGAACAAAAGAGCTATATCAAAGCTAAGATCCTCAGCTCCAAGACTTCTATCAAATCTTAGCTTAGTCTTTATAGAATACTTTATATCTCAAAAACCCAACACAGCTTTTAATCATTTGCCGATCCCTACAAACATATTCCTAACTATCGACAAAGCTAAGTCTCCCTCGCCAAAAGAATATTACCAAAAAAAAACATCTCGCCTACCGAAAAAGGCAAAAAATGAAACAAACTGACCTCGACGAGGATCGAACTCGCAATCTTCAGTGGATGACATTCAACCGAAATTGAATACCGAAAACTGACGCCTTGCCATTAGGCCACGGGGCCGGTGGATATTCGTAGACCTGAGAAATAAATATTATCAACTCAAAATATTAGTTTCTTTACTGGTAAATACATCTATTGACTTACTATCATCCCGTTAAGAGCAATAGTCGAACCGTACCGAAGATTGGAGAGTAAAGATCGGTAAGTTGTGATATCCTACTCGGTCCTTTTCCGCTGAAAAGGAATCAATCGCACGCTTAACATTATCAATTGATCTCCGGTTTCTCACACGGCATGTCGGAGTCCAGTTGACTCCTAACTTAACTGGTACTTATAAACAGCGGCCACTTTCCGCTACTTAACAAAAGTGAACCCATCGTAAGACAATTTTCCAACTAAAATAGCGGGAAGACTTCGGGATATCTGGGCCCGGGTGGCTTGAGGTTACACCATCCAATTGCAAACCATGCGAGCGACAAAATGTGTAACAAAACACGAATCGGTCGAGCGCGCGGCCATGATACTTTACTCATGAACTCAATAAAGTCTCGGATCTAGGAATTCAATTGCGGATTGCATCGATTGTTATACGTAGCGTTCTCAAAATTACAACAGTGGAAATACGTAAGCTTAGAATCCTAAATTGTTTCCCGCTGGCGGTTGTAAAGATCCTAAGGAATACTTAAACGGTCTTTGAATTTCTCAACTGGATCAAAAGCTTCATAATTTGGATAACCAAATCTCCAGTAGGTCTTCAAAGCTTAAAATTCACTACCAAAATCAATATCTAAATTCGGTTGCGGGGAATCCAACAAAATCAACGCACTACCCACCAACCGTCACACAAACCTCAAGATCTCAAGCTAGATCCAGACCCCGTTCTAACATCTTCAAACCAATCCTTGTATAAACAATTAGCCAAACCACGGCTCCACATATTTTCAATTTACCCGGCCGTCTTTCAAGTTTTCTAAGAAACAAAATGTCTAAAACAATCCAAGTCTCCCTCACCACTCTCGCCAAAACCATCGACCACTCCCTCCTCCACCCCACCTTCACCGACGCCGATGTCCTCGCCGGCATCCAACTCGCTAAATCCTACAATGTCGCTACAGCCTGTATCAAACCCTACCACATCCCTCTCGCCAAAAAGGAACTATCCGGCTCATCTGTCCTAATCTGCCCTGTCATCGCCTTCCCGCACGGTAACAGCACCACAGAAGTCAAAGTCTTCGAAGCCAACGCTGCAGCCGAAGCCGGCGGGCAAGAAATCGATATGGTCGTTAACATCGGAAAAGTCTTAAGCGGGGATTGGGAGTATGTTACTTCTGAGATCCGACAGATCAATGAGGCTGTTACAAAGCACGGAGCGATTTTGAAGGTAATCTTTGAAAATGATTATCTTCAGGATGAACATATTGTCAAACTGTGTAAGATATGTTCGGACCTTCAGGTCGCTTTTGTGAAGACGTCGACTGGATATGGTTTTGTTAAGCAGAGCGATGGGTCTTATAACTATAAAGGTGCTACGCCGCCGCATCTAAAGATCATGAGGGAACATTCGGCACCTGAGGTACAGATCAAGGCGGCAGGGGGTGTAAGAACATTAGACGACTTGTTATATGTTATGTCATTGGGAGTCACAAGAATTGGGGCCACGGCTACAGCAGCGATTCTAGAGGAAGCGAAGCAGAGGGGAATCGGTGAGGAGTTAGTTACTGTGGAAGTTAAAGTGCCTGGTGGGCTTGGAGGCGGGTATTAGAGTAGCCCCCACTCTTAAGACCCCCTGTGTCAGTATTTCTTGATGAGGTTCTGATCTGCTACTACTAAATTGCTAGCTTTAATTGATTGATGGACATCACTTTGTCCTTGTATGTAAATTCTTATTTCCGATAAATTTCGTAGTTTTTGTTTTAGCTTACGGATAAATCGTAGAATAAATGTATTAATTCCTAGGCCCGAGTCAGACAAGACTAGCCTCGAATACTCCATATATAATAATGCCTTTTCAAAATTCAATTCCACCCAACCTCCAATTCGTAATTCATATCATAAACTGCGATTTGAAAAGAAAAACAAAGAAGAATAAATAAAAACAAGGAAGAGAGATCCTTCATACACTTTCGCTCGGGTATGGATGCGAAATAGGAAACCCAGAAGTCCAGGCCACAGCTTTGTGCATGTGGTCGTAATATGCTAAAAGCAGATACATAAAAGAGAATGGTATCCTTGCTGAAGCCACTAGAAGAATAGAAAAAAACGCCAAAAGAGCAAAATAAAAAGATATTACAAAGTTTACTAAGAGAAAGTTTCCCTTCCCATAAAAAAACTAAAATCAAACCCGAATATCAAAAGTGGCAGGCATAACCATGAAACATATTGCAAGATCAATGCTGGCGCCGAGCCTCAGGAGGAACCTGGATGGTAACATCGGAGTTCCTCGAAACCTGAGTAATAGCAAGTGTAGGCTGACCAAAAGTATCAGCTGGTGACATCTCACCGGGTCCCGTTACCGGTGTAAAGTTTTGTATCGGCAGATTTTCTCCAGATTCCATCGGCGAAAACTGTTGAAACGGCAGATCCACTGAAAACTGTCCGGATGTTCTAGATGACCGCGCACCCGGACTTCTCAGCGTCGTACTGATCATTGGCGGAGAAGCAGCCGCTTCTGGTGCTCTCAGTTCCGTTTGACTCGAATTCACCTGCTGCGTAACCGCAGGAACTTGAATTTTCAATTCCACGGGTTTCCCACCGGGTCCTAAACCTTGTTCTTCGTCTCGCATGGTACTAGTAACGGTACCCTGCTTCGTCGAACCACCCCATGTTTCGTTCGAGAACATCTTACTGGCACGAACACCCGCCGCCGTTCTGATCAGTTCCACGACTCCGCGAGGTTTCCGTATTGGAGCTACTGGCGGTGGAACCCCGTCGTAGCTTGGGTGTAATTTGTCGAATTTGGGCCAAATCAAAACTATCAGCGGCTTGATTCCTGGCGCACAAGCGCAGACGACTGCGAGATTGCCTTCTAGAGCCACATAGACCCATAGATCGTAACCGTACCCTAAATTAAAACGTATCAGACGACCAATTCCAACAAGGTATAAAATGCTTAGGGATGGAAATGAAATGGCACTTACAACTCGCATCGAAAACTTCAAAAGACGACACCGTCTTCTCCAACCTCAAAATAGCAGCAATAGTCGCAATAGTCCAGAGCATAAAAATCAACGCACAAGTCCACTTCTGACGGGGTGGCATCTTGAGTTTCCAAACTGTCGGAATCGGTAGAATCAATATAATTACATCCGACAAAATATTCAACGAGCAGGATGTATATTGCAGTATCCGGATCTGGAACGGCGAAAAACACTTCATATCCGGTGTTCGAATATAGTAATCCCAATAAAGATGCGGTGGGTAGCAGGATAAAATTATTGGAATCAATAATGCAATACTCCAGCAAGTCACAAATACGAGTGATATTTTAACCCATAGTCGTAACTTCCCTTGCGCGAATCGAAGGTATGACAGCAGAATCGACATCTTCGTAAGCCAACAGCATACTCCCACCGACACCTGTACCGAATATCCACTGATCACCAGCAGCCTAGTCTTTTCTAATAAGAAGTCCCAAACATGTAATCCCCACCCCGCCTCCAAACTTTTGACTTCAGAGATAACAATAGATAACGCCGCCAAATACGCCGGTAATATCAGAATATCATCGTGTCCAAATGTTCGAACAACAAATAATCTGGTGTATATTCTGAGAATTGTTGCCGCTGTCGATAATGTAAGGAGGATACCGAGGATGGGGAGGAGGTAATGACCTCTTCGAGGTGGATTGATGGTATTCGGCGGGGGCCATGATAGTTTCTCCGCCAGCGGGATTTCGTAGTATCCTATAACGATTTTTGGCCCACCAGTTAAACTCATGGCTTTTTTTTTTGTTTGGTCGCAAACTGGAGCGTCGACAGCTCCTATGACGTTACAGCCCTACAAATCGTGTAGTGTGACTTCGGAGAATTTGATTGACTCAAGTGAACAAAAAGTAAAGGAAAAAAATAAAATAAAAATGAAAGAGATAGATCGATCGAGTCGTTTACCCGTTGTTACTGCAGCGAAAGTGTATCAATGCTATGATATTTCGAAGCTTATGTTTATACCATGACAGTTCTAGAACGCGATATGGGGAAGGAACATCCAGAAAATTGGCATTTGTGAGGGCTGGGTGTATATTAATTGGGGATATCATGCGGCGGGCAGCCTAGGTAATATCTCCAATTGAGATCACATCGGGTATTGGGATATACCTTGCATTTCATGAGCTCAAAGGGACAGGTGCACGCATATTGGACGAACCACATCTTCTCGGGGTCCATGAGTTCTCGTGTATAAAAAACAAACTATAAGGTTTTAGGTTCTCTCTTTGGCTGCTAGGTTGAATTGAGAAATATAAAAAAAGAAAAGATCTTTGAAGTGATAGGATAGACAATATGAGGTTGTGAGGGCTCCGAGAAAGTGGTGTTTCCCTGAGTTCGATACGAGTGCTCGGGACCCCACAATGGGGTGGCAGAGACTGCTCAAACACAAACTTCAAGTAAAAAACGTAATAGAATAGCTGCAAGATTCCTGGTAACGAACCCTCTAGACATGCACACCGCACCAAATCGTCTAGACGAAGGTGAGAGAAACATACATACGTACTATGTAAGCATCTGATCATGAGGAGCGCCCTCCGGTCTGTCGCAATGGGTGTGTGGGCCTCTTTCTTGGGCTCGGGATGGCCATGGTTCTAACGAAGCGATGGAGCTTGTCTCATACATGCAAAGACCCCATAATTATTCGGAGAGTTTTAGCAGTTATTTCTGGCCAGTTTGAGGCGAATGGTGTGTCCTCTGGTGATATTGATCATCATAATCTCAGCCCAAAGTCTCGCTTGGTAGGTGGCGCGCATTCGAGATTAGGCCGAAAGGGAAACATCCTCGACTTTTGAGGTTTAAACAAGTCCTCGCCGATGTCTTGTTTCTTCTTCGAAGTCCCATATTTAGGCTTCTTAGCAAACTAGAGCTGTAAGATGTAGCTCCGCATGATCAGTCCGCCAGGCCAGAACGGCGACATCGGAAGGGCCATGGTATGCCTAGTATTGCTCAACATCCTCTCGGTCCTGGAGACTATCCAACGGATGCCACGCCAAAATGCACAGCAGCTGCAAAAACGTATCATACCAGTATGCGGTTGCACCGGTGAAGTGTCTATGGGAAAACCTGCTAGCACTTTGGAGCAGAAAAAAGGTTGGCTGGTGGTCCTTTCGAATTGTTTCCTTCGAATTCGGATGGATTTGGTGGTTCCCAACCGACCGGCCAGCCCAAAAAGGCTAACGGTCGGAGAACTCGGCCTGCACACCGCCTCAGATTTCGAATTGCAGTTGGAGCAAGTCCGCGAGGTGTTCTTGGAAACTCCACCCCGAGCGACAATACCGGACGAATTGTGTCACCCGATTCTGCCGTGAAGAAGAAAATTGTGAGGAAAGGCCGTAGGCTTCACTGACACAACGATGTCAAGAGATGGAGAATCGGAGTCGTACATGTCGAAACGATCTGTCTCCAGATTTGAACCCTGGTTTGAGATTCCGATACCTTGTCTGCTTGATGTTGTTCAGCCTCGCTAATCAAACGAACGGACATTGCCTGTCCCCGATCCTCGAACTAGTGGTCTTGGTGAGTGCAGGGATCATGATGCTTGATGGAGCACTTTAGGCATGGGGGAGCCTCTTTGGGTTTCCATGATACGCCCCAACCACATGGCAAATGCAAACGTGCGTTATGTTACGTTTTCTGCAACAGTCCGTACGTTGATAGCTGGCATTTCCAGCTTCCCTTCCGAGAGTTGACTAGGCTTAGACTATTTCCCAGAATGAAATTGCCCACTACGCCCAGGATGCACCAATCATATGATATCATGACTTATTTTCCGTTGTTGTACTGAATGACCCCGCGGCAAGGCCCCACAGTGCATTTTTTCAAACTTGTATAACGTTGCAACTTCACTTTGTGATACTCAATATCATATTCATATAATCGCTTGAAGCTATATAATAGATAATATACACCGTATACAAGTTTCTTTTCTTTTTCCTTTTCCCTTTCCTGAATGCCCTACAATAGTATTGAGAAGTCGCTTCTAATTCAGATTGAAACATTCCCATAACAGAACCCTTTTATTGTCTCAGATGCATAGACGGGGTTGTCCCGCCTCGAAGATTCCTATGATTGATCCTGTCGACACATCTCCAAGCCATTGAATAAATTAATTAATAGTTAATATCATTAAACTTCGATCCTTTCTGTTCTCGAAATAATATCTATTCTGGTAATGCGGCCGAGAACATACAACCACGGGACCCATTGTCGGAGATAAATAAATTGAAAACTGGGAAGATAAGCCATCATCTCATGATCTTTCGAGAATATTGTTTTTTGATTCATAATAGTCGTATTTACAACTTAATTGTAACAATTGATATCTCGATTGCCAGTAAAATACGTATGACTTGCAGGGTGGCTGGACCGGTACCGTCTACCGGGCGTGTTAAATGTCTCTCAAATGTCTCAGATCTGATGAATGACATTCGAAATGGCATCGCACTCGGAGATGCCGTTAATTGATCTTATGCTTCATTCTTAGTATAAACATAAGTACATACTGAGCTTAGGAACTGGCATGTCTCTGACAGTAACATTATAATAATAATACCAACATCATCTGTGATATTGACTAAGGTTCAACCACGAACTTGAGGCCGACTAGACTAACTCATGCAAGACACTAGTTCACATAAATAGCATACTTCAATATAATATCCAATGCAATTTAGTCTTGCACTAAGACGTCACAAAAGAGACGGTCTTCGATTCATGACAATCTAAAGCTAAATTAACTCCACACACATGACTCGACCATACCAAAGCTCCAGAGCTTTCCCGGTTTCCGCTCCCCTAAGCCCTGTACCTTCCAGCGGCATCGTGCAGATAGGCGAACTGACATGTAGTAAAACCACCCGACTCCGCAAGGAACAAATCTATGCATATGCCACCACTACTTTTTACCCCTCGTACACACATATATACATTGTACATGTATAGAAGCTTCTCCCTGTGCTTAACCACCTTCCTAAATCGAACTATTGATACTACACTCCCGGTTTCCACTCGTGTTAGAGATGCTGCCGGTAAACTCGGTTCGTCGATTTTATCTAAGTAAATAGATACGGTAGACGTCGCGTCTAAACACTGAATTATCCATATCGGTAGCTTGCGAACCGAACCGTCTACATAGCCACTATCTCCCGTCTATCCCGTAAACCAAAACCCCTAGCCCGGTTGACGGCACGATACGAGATTTGTGCATATATGCGTGCTGCCTTTGTGACGTCTGGGAACGAGACCAGTATAGACTTGTTATACTCTTCGGTATCGATGTTTCAGCTACATACACAGCCATGACGGCGCTTATGGCCCAAATACCGCTATTTCAGCTGGAAAACGAGTAAGTAGCGTCGGAACAGGATTCTGACGGGTCAGTATTATTGAGTGAGGATGCTCCCTGCGCTGGTGGAAGCCATTGATGAATCGATCTGAGTTTGAAGTTATATATTGGCTTGCAATCAGTAGATTTTATAGCTTAGCAGATCGGAACTGGATACAGCTTTCTAGCGTTTTAACTCTCATGTCTTGTCATATCTTTCAAAATAGTATTTTCGATATGGTACTTAAGTGGTTGACTACTCAGGTAGTTCTTACATGTATACAGTTGCGAGGCCGGCGCCTTGTAGATTGGCGGCTGCTAAGGTGGCGTACAGTTTGAATCGCTAGACACTACTATCACACCCATCGACAGATCGTATAACCCCGTGTTATAGATAGTAGAACCCTGGAGTAGCAACTGGGCGTACAGTATATACGGGACTGCCCATACATACACACACATCTCCACTAAACCCCCTTCTTCCCAACCACAACCCCCCCTTCTTCCCCCTTCCACCCATCCCACCCCGCCAAAAAGCACAACCTCAAAACCAACGGTAAATAACTCGGCCCAAAAGTCTCCCAATCCTCCTTCCTCCCAAAGTCCCACATAAACCCCAACCCTTCCTTCTCCCTCGCCACATAAAGTCCATAAAGATGTATCAAATCATTAACCAACATGGCAAATACAGCCGCTCTCCATACTTTTATATCATTCGTGGTACGTAAGAGGATGGCTTCGATTATTGTGAAGTGGACGTAGGAGGATGCGAGGTTCGTGGAGAGGAGTTGGGTGTTTGTCAGGATTGGATCGGTGTTTCCTGGGATTACTATTGAGAAGTATTTTTGAGGGGTGAAGTGGGTTAGGTAGGAGCCGCCGAGGGAGGAGAAGGGTTCGAGGTAGAAGAAGAGGAGGCGGTAGATTAGACCGTATTGGCCTTTGGTTCTTGTTGTCATTTTGGGGGGTTTGTGGTATTTTGTGAGTCTCGATATATAGAGGTACCTGGGTACCTTTGATCGGGGTTATGTCACAATTATTATTCTAGAATTGGTATTTGGGGGAATTGGGCTTGGGAAACGTGAAACTGTGAGGATTTGTCCTGGGATTATCAGAAGAAATCACTATTCTGAGTAGTAGGTATTTAAGTGCCTATCATGATGCCAATGGCGGATTTTGTGTCAGTCGATCAAGTCTAGACGAATCGAATCCTCACATGCACGTCTCGATGCATATAAGCTTTCGCTTGCATATCTTGCTCGGCTTAGCGATGCAAGTCTGTCCCGTCTTACCCACCATCAAACAATCAAAACGTAGGGTGTATTGGTGTAAGGAACCAATGTAAGACACCTTGCTTATTAATTACCTATCTTGAACTCATTGCATTCCCGTGCAGCTCGCCGTACCACTATTGCATCCAAACACCTACCACCGTATTACTAATAAGAATGCAGCGCAGGGGGTGTGACATAATCGTCAGATCCCATACGCCCCCTCCCTCAAAATGTCTAAATGGACGTAATATTCTTTTGTAGTTCTACAAGTACAAGTAAATAAAAAAACTTTACAGGGTATCGTTGAGATCCAAGTCGGCGCTCAAAAGTGCAATTCTAGAGAGGTGTCCACAAATCCAAATGTGGAATATTGTTGAAATTAGGATTCGTATTCTATATTGATACGATTTGTTGAGGCTTTTACAAAGCCCGTTTAGAAGAGTCCGTCGACATCGCCGGTCTCGGGGTCAACATCAATCTAGAGAAACCCAGTCAGAATTGATAATTTATTGATGTCAATTTTAAGGAAGAAAACTTACGTTGATGTAGTTAGCGGCGGTTGGCAATCCAGGAATAGTCTGGATATCCGCAGCAAGAGCATACAGATAACCGGCGCCAGCAGAGAGACGAACGTCACGGATTGGAACGGTGAAGCCGGTTGGGGCGCCCTTCAAGCTGGGGTCGTGTGAAAGAGAGTATTGAGTCTGTTCACATTTATCAGTATACGTGCCTGACAACATAGCATAGGACTGTAGGATTCTTACCTTAGCAATGCAAATAGGAAGATTGTTATACCCCTGGCGAGAGTAGGTATCAATCTTGGTTTTCGATAGCTCGCTCAATTCGATGCCGTCAGCGCCATACATTTCCTTAGCAATGATGGCCATCCTCTCTTCGATGGTACCCTCGGTAGTGTAAAGAAGCTTGAAGTCCTTGGGTTGTGTGGAAGCCTTGATGACTCCCTGGGCAAGATCGATGGCGCCGAGACCACCCTCAGCCCAGTGGTTGGCCGGGATAGCATCTTCGGCACCTGCCTTGATGGCCTCATCGCGAATGACTTGATGTTCAGCTTCAGTGTCGGTGCTGTTTTTTAAAAAAAAAATTAGCTAAAGATCTCTATAACATAACATCAATTGAGAGGCCTTACCTGAATTTGTTGATAGCAACAACAACTGGAACTCCATAACGCTTAGCGTTCGCAATATGCTTGCCAAGGTTGATACAGCCAGCCTTGAGTAGGTCGATATTCTCAGTCGTGTAAGCCTCTGGGATGGGAGCTCCTGGAGTGATCTCAGGGCCACCTCCATGGACCTTCAAGGCACGGACTGTAGCAACAATGACGACGACATCTGGAACGAGGCCAGACGATCGGCACTTGATGTTGAAGAATCGCTCACCACCCATGGTAAAGTCGAAACCAGCTTCGGTAACGACATAACCAGCCTTAGTCTCGTAGTCTTCATCCGACTCAGTACCGGCGAGCTTGAGCGCAATCTTGTCAGCCAAGATAGAGCTTGCTCCGATACTGATGTTGGCGAAGGGACCAGCATGGACAAAAACTGGAGTTCCCTCCAAAGTTTGCATAAGGTTAGGCTTGATAGCATCCTTCATCAAGGCGGTAAGGGCACCACCGGCGCCGATATCATCGCAGGTAACTGGGTCGCCGGACCTGCTGGTACCAATAACCATGTTTCCAAGTCGCTCTCTCATATCACTAAGGCTGTTGGAAAGCGCAAGGATAGCCATACATTCGCTGGCAACAGAGATATCGAATCCTGTAACTCTAGTCTGTCCACGCTCAGTTGGAGCCTGTCCAACAGTGATTTGGCGCAAATGACGATCGTTGATATCAAGCACACGACGCCATGTGATGGTATCGGGATCAATATCAAGCCTAACGAACTTCGTGATCTCCTCCTCAGTCAACTCATCGGGATTTGTCTTATTAATTCCGAGCTTCTTCAAGCGGTGGAACATAACAGGGGCAAATTCCCTCTTTCCCTTCTTTCTCGGGACAAGACGGCTGTAGAGCGCCTTATCCTTCTGAGTGTTTTCGTGGAACATTCTTGTTTCAATGGCGGCAGCCAACAAGTTATTCGCAGCAGTGATAGCGTGGATATCGCCGGTCAAGTGGAGGTTGAACTCGTCCATGGGAATGACCTGACTGTAACCACCTCCAGCTGCACCACCCTTGATACCAAAGGTAGGTCCTTGACTTGGCTGTCTAACATTGGCGAAGGCAATCTTGTCCAAATGACCGGCAAGAGCCTGGACAAGACCGACAGTGGTTGTCGACTTACCCTCACCGAGAGGGGTAGGTGTAATACCGGCAACCAAGACGTACTTTCCGTTCTTGCGGTGGGACAATCGATCAAGCAATTCGAGCTTGATCTTAGCCTTATAGGCACCATACAACTCGCACTCAGTATCAGTGATCCCAAGCTCGTTTGCAATAGCCTTGATGCTCCTGGGGTGCTGGGCTCTAGAGATAGCGATATCGCTAGGGACCGGTGTGAGGAGTTTGAGAGGGATTGGTGTAACTGAGCGGGCAGCAGTACGATCGTAGAAGCGCATAGCAGAGTTGACGACATTCTGCATAAGCATGCAGACAGTCATTGGTCCGACACCACCAGGGACTGGTGTAATGTAAGAGGCAACCTCAAAAGCTAAATCATAGTCGACATCGCCGACCATCCTCTGGCCAGACTTCTTAGTACTGTCTGGGATGTAATTTGTACCAACATCAATGACAACGGCGCCGGGCTTCAACCACTCTCCTTTGACAAATTGAGCTTTTCCGATAGCTGCGACCAAGACATCTGCCCCCTTGATGATTTCAGGGAGGTTTTCTGTCCTAGAGTGGCAGACAGTAACTGTGGCATCTGCATTCTTCAAGAGATACGAAACGGGGCTTCCAACGATATCACTTCTGCCCAAAACAACGGCATTTTTTCCTTTCAGATCGACGCCGGATTCTTCAAGCAGAGTCATAACACCTTTGGGAGTGCATGGAACGAACAAAGGCTCGCCGCCACGCTTAGCAAGCTCTCCGATGTTGATGGTACCAAAACCATCGACATCTTTTTCCGCATCGACAGCCGATGTGATAGTATGTTCAGAGAGATGCTTAGGAAGAGGAAGCTGAACAAGGATGCCATGAATTTTGGTATTGTTGTTCAGGCTATAGATGTATTCCAGAACCTATTTTCCCATATTAGATATATTTTCAAATTGCTTTGAGTCTCCAGCAAAAAAAATTAAAAAAATTTACTGACCTCTGCCTGAGTAACATCCTCATCGAACTTTTTTATTTCACAGCTGATTTCGGCCTGTTGTTGAAGATGTTGTTGTTAGCCGTTTGGTGTATTTAGGCTCAAGGAAAATTTGGCACGACAAACCTCTTCGGCAGCCTTTAGCTTCATGCGAACATAGACGCCTTCATAATTGTCAACCACTGGCCTAAAAACTTTAAAATTTGGATCTATAGGTAGAGGAGAACCTACTCGAGTCCGATCTATCACCAACTTCACCAATTGTTAGTTTCGTCGTCAAGAAATTGGAGTATCCGGCACAACGGAACTTACCTTGGATGATAGTCAACGCAGGTTTAAACCTCGGCGAGGTCTCTTGCTTCTTTTTGATTTGGTCATGCAGGCGTTCGCGAATCGACTTGGCGATAGCCGTTCCATCAATCTTTTGGGCGACCATTGCTGCAGACGATGAAGGGTGCGAGCGACGATTGAGTCCTTGGAAGGGATTCGGTGCTATTGTCGCAGGTTGGTGGATGAAATGGTCGTTGTTTTGGTGGGGTAGCGCTGACTGTTGCCGGTGGAAGATTAAGCTCGACAAACGCCCGCAGTCAGCAGCTGCGTTACCCCTCCACATGCGCATGCAGCTTCGACCGCGAAGGCCAGCCACCCCATAGCGCGAAATTCGAGCCAAGGCCGGCATTTGGAAGGAAGCGGTCAGGGTCTGGTCTGTGCCCTATCGACGGTAAGTGTGAATATTATCGACTGTTACGCCGAAGTGTATGACGTTCCCTGCGATTTAGCTTTTTAAGATTTCTGTGATACAGTTTTTTCTTTCTCCGGTTGGAGATTTGCCCCGATGTTACACCGATGCTCCGAGTTGGTCCCGTTCCAAAAAAAAAAAAAAATCTCTCTCAACGGTGTTTGGATTGAAAAAAATTAATCGAAAGGAGCTCGAGTGTCAATTGGAATGAGTATATTTCTAGATTTCTATAAAAGAACACACTTCGATGACCGCTCTCTGCAGCTACCCGTCGCCGTATCTGTGTGATGTTGAATCAACCCAATTGCCACGCCGTTGAGGACTGTTGGACAAAGGTTATGTAGGACTGGAAATCCTTTCAGTGGTTTATACTCAGCAAAGTGGGAAAAAATATATATACAACAGTTACTCGGGCGGGAAGGTTCAGACGATATTTATATCTCGGACCGCCAATGTGGCCATCTCGATCACTTTTTCCTTTTGCGCTCCTGCGTACTCCGGATTTCCTGATATTCCAGAGTTAGGTTTCAGGCAGTCGAATGTCCAGATACTCCGACGTCGCCGCTCAAGGCAATCAACTCCGTGGAGGAACCCCCAATGAGGTCCGGCGCAGCTGCAAGTTATTCTGCGCTTGCAAGGATAGCAGTTTTACGTACGCGAACCCCCAAGCTCATGGTCACCAGATCCAGCTTAGAAGCATTGGCGATAGCTTTGTCAGGTTGGAATCCGCACCCGCCGGCTTACGGATTTGCTAGCTAGCCTACCAACTTGTATACGGATATGTGTCAAGTTAGAGGTAGCTAAGGCCGGTGTATCGGTATTGGTTCCGTTCCAAGAGCTGAAATTCCTCGATTTGGTCCACCAATTGGTCCACAGGGCGCAGAGCCCTTCAAATTTAGCCTCAACGGTGTGTTGCAGACCTGTCTTGGGGCTGCCCGACTAGCATTGTTACAGGAGGTCGTTTCAATGGCTGCCGAAGCCTTCGTCTAAAGTCACACCGAGCGTAAATTAATCGGCCAATTTTCCGGCCCGGGGTAGGTCGAAGGTATGACTCATTCGGCCGCTTTGTCGGAACTCTCGAAATTCGAAGTCTACAGGACTCCCAGGGGAATATTCTAACCAAGATCTTTCGATTTTTATATCCAACATGTATTAAATGGAACTGGGTGCTTGCGTTGTTGGTTTAATTGCTTTAGCTGTTGGTCTGGTGGCTAAACAAAGAAATAGGCTTGAGCACTTGCAAATTGATGTGGGTCCAAGACATCTGCTTCAGGAAGTATTTTGGTAGTTTTCGAGATCACTTTTGCCTCCGTTCCTGATTAGCCTCATTACCAAAATTATAGTCTGGTTCTGTATATCAGAGCCGTGCGCTGTATTCTAGACGGAACTAGCTAGGTTTTCCAAAAAGCCAGCTTTCCCCAGAATTCAGAGCGATAAAATACGAAATAACGGATTCCGATTAGCTGGGCCAAGTCGCCACCGCACGTGCCGTCTTTAAGCTTATCGATATATCATTGCTTCATAGATATCTTTTTTTTTTTTGCAGATCAGCTGTCAATTTAAGAGGGGGGGCTACTAATTAAGAGTCAAGTGTATCATGACTTCGAGATCCCATATCCACGGCTGAACCCCCTGCCGACCACGGATTTGTAACCTTTCCTAAATTCTTTTCTGTAATCCTTGGATGAATGCAGTAGCTCCCTAGCTAAGTATACATGTTTTCGAACAGTGGGCATATAATTGTCCAGTTTATATTAAATAATAGTGAATAATCTCAACGTGCTCGACAGTAGCTGATCCAAAACTGTGACTATAAACTACAAGAGTACAAAGATGATAACATAAGCTAGACCACCAGATGCACTTTGGTTCCTTGTAGCTTATTAAACTTATTAAAATTTCCTGCTGGAACTACCGAAAGACTCATCCAAAGACTCACCGTGAACCCCTTTTCCACACCCAACAGCACCCAATTCCTAGGGTTGCGTTGTCGACGTTGTATTTTTTCTCCACCCAAAAACGAGAAAAAAAACTAAAATTAAAAAAATTCACACACCAAAAAAGCTTAATGCCACATTCGAAAGGCAGCTTATTGCCCATCCCAGCAATATCAGACCTCTCGATCAACCACAGCTCCTAATCGCACACACCTCCCCAAGCCTTTTTATATACCCACCTTCTCCGCCCTCCCTCTAACCCCTCTTCCATTCTCTCTCTTCATCACATAATAGCCCATCATGAGACCAATTCTATTACAAGGTAAGCTATCTTCCTTCCTCCGTACCCCGGATATCAGAGCTGGCCTGCAGTATAGCTAACAGTTTCTCCACATAGGCCATGTTCGTCGCACCCCTCACGTCGCCCGTTTTATATACCGTCATTGAACCCCATCGGCTGATATTTATGTTTCTCAGGAACGTGCCTTGACACAAGTCAAGTACAATAAAGACGGAGATCTTCTGTTCTCGGTATCAAAGGACCATGTCATCTGTGTCTGGTACTCACAGGTACGACGAACATCGTTCCTTTCCAAAACAGCTCCTCTTCCGACGATGCCGTTTACTAATTAGTGATATAGAATGGCGAAAGACTAGGAACATACAACGGCCACCAGGGTGCCGTCTGGACCATCGACCCCAACCCATCGTCGACAATCCTCGCCAGCGGTGGCGCCGACAACACCATCCGTCTGTGGGATATGAAAACCGGCAAGCTATTTAAGACCTGGGAGTTCCCGACTGCCGTTAAACGCGTCGAATTCACCGAAGATGGCCTGTTCGTCCTCGGAACTACCGAAGAACGTATGGGACATTTGGGAACAATTGTTGTTTACCCCGTAAACCCGGATATCGAGGGTGAACAAGTCAATGAACCATCCCTCCGTATCGTCTGCGAGACCAAGAAGAAGGCTGTCGTCGCTGCTTGGAGTTATCTTGGGAAATATATCATCGCCGGTCATGAAGACGGTAGTGTTTCGCAGTATGATGGAAAGACTGGAGAACAGCTTTTGAACGTCCCTGTTCACGAACGTGGCATGCTTATCATGGATATGCAAATGTCCGCCGATAAGACCTATTTCATCACCGCTTCCAAGGATAAATCTGCAAAGATCATCGACGTTAAGACTCTTAACATCCTAAAGAAGTTTGAGACCGACACACCCCTCAATACCGCTGCCCTTACCGCGAAGAAGGAATTCGTTATTTTGGGTGGTGGACAGGAAGCTATGAATGTCACAACTACTTCGGCTAGACAAGGAAAGTTCGAGGCAAGGTTTTATCATAAGATCTTTGAAGATGAGATTGGAAGAGTTAGGGGGCATTTCGGACCGCTCAATACCATCGCCGTTCATCCAGCCGGTGTATCTTATGCTTCAGGTAAGATCCTATTCGCGATCCATTACACCTCCTACCCCTTTTCCTTCTTTATACAAAGGAATAGTTTACTGATTATAATATACTTTTTAGGTGGTGAGGACGGATATGTCAGATTGCACCATTTCGACAAGGGATACTTTGATTTCATGTATGAAGTTGAAAGAACAAGGGCGCAGCATTGATGAAACCCTTTTTTCCAATAAATAAAAAGTCTTTTAGATACCTATCCTTTTTCACTTTTTTTTGATACACACACAACCAGCCAACCCACACGTCTATACCTCACTATACACCTGCTTTGCGTACACTTTTTCTTATATTCCCTTTTACACATCGTGGTTTTTGTTCATTAATGCGGTCGGTCCCCTCCCTTCCACCCCGGGTTTCTCTTTTTGTTGTTCGTTGTTGTTGTTTGCTATTGCTTCTTCGTTTTCTGTGAAAAAAAATCTAGGGCATTTTATTAGGGCATATCATCATCATCGTATTGCATACACATTGTGGGGGGTTTTTAAACAAAAGAGAGAGGGAGGGAGAGAAGAGAAGAGAAGAGAAGAGGAAAAACGACGACGCGCTTTTTGTTGTCTTTCCTTTTTTTTTTTTTTTTTTTTTTTTTTTGGTTCTCCTAGTTTTTATGTAATAGTTGGTGTAATATGGTGTAATAGATGGCGGTTCTATATCTATCTATCTACGTATATTCATTCATTTGATATCTGTTACGTTCGGATTTATGATTGTGGAAGTGAAAAAAGTGTGATCGATTGATCGGTCAACGATCTTTAGAATTGGCATTAAATTTATATAAAAAGAGGAAGTCTATAGAATGGATCCCATTCACCGAGGAAGGGTACCTTAGAAGTATAAATGGATCCCATTCGCCCAGGAATGGTATCTTAGAATAGATGGATCCCATTCACCCAGGAACGGTATCTCAGCTAGAACATAAATAAGTAAAGGGGGGAGGAGAGACCCTGCTGCTCTATTCGAAAGGGATTTGGTATATAAAAAGGAACCAAAAAAACAGTTCACCTTATCTCGAGAGAAAGAGGAGAAGAAGAAGTAGGGACAAAAAAATCACAGCTAGCTGTCATTAATGAGCTTCGCCACTTTTTTTTCTCTCTCCTTTCTTTGTTCGAAAGAGAAGAAGAAGAAAAGTGTATAAAATACATACATGAATCGAAAGACGCCTTAGTTAAAGGTGGGTGGTTCCGACCCTTTTATAAGAAGGAATAGAGAATTGGATTAAAGGGAAAGAAGAAGAAAAGGTATAAGGGCGAGCGAGGTTGGATAATTTGTGTGCTCGACAGCTAGCTAGGTGGCTCTTTTTTTGAAAGCTAGTGGGATTTGGACAAAGGAAATGGATAGAGGGGGGGTTTTAACAAATGAAGTCAAAAAAAAAAAAGAATAAGTTTCGCTTGCAAGAGAGGTATCTGGTTAAGAAGGAATGTCTGGTTATTTTTTGGAGAAGTGAGGTCTTCTGCCTTTACCAGATCAAACGAGTAAAAAAGCAAGATGAAAAAGGAAGAGAGATCAATATAAAAAGGAAAGGAATAATAGGACTCCAGTTTAAACAGAAAAAGACGATGACACCACCCGATGGAAAGAAAAGCAAGACCCAAGCCGTAGAAAGAAAGAAAAAAGTATTCCGAAAACGCTGACAAAAATAGGTTCCTTTGTTGATATTTTTTTAGATCTTGGTTTTTTTTTTTTAACTTCGGTGATTTGTTCTGCGTCTACGGCCTTTCAACTCTGTTCTCGTCGGCGAAAGGGCTTCTTCCTCTGCTGGATGTTGGCATGTTGTCGGGTTCGGCCTCAGAGATCGGACGGAAGCTCATTCGGATATCCCCTTCCATATGTCTGGCTGGCGATGCTCGGCCCTTGATGTTGAGAGGGGCAACAGTGTCAGTCAATATGGAAGCCCTATCTGAGAATGGCGATGTTTCTTCGTTTCCAAGGGTAGGTGAATGAGGTTCTCCCCTATCTTCCTCTGGAACTGGCGTCATAGATTTCTTGTTCAAGAATGTGGAACCAACAGAGAAAGCAGGGGATTGTGGTGGTCGATCGGCCATACCAGGGGCCAACATTCCATCATCAGTCTGGTATCTAGAAAGGTCGATAGATGGAACGGGCGGTGTGTTTGATGCGGACAAGTTTGGTGACGATGAGGTGCTGATAGCTGGAGAACTCTTCACTTGGACAACGGCTGGTTTAGCACGAACGACAGTAGCAGTGGCTGCAAGTGGCGAAACGATGGCATTGCTCCTGTAGATTGTGGTCGCGACTGAAGCGCGAGGGTCGGTGCCGATAGTATATCCCGAGTTCGTGGACCAAACAGACTGTCGAGCGATATCACCTGCCGAGAAGAAATGGTCTCCTCCATCTTGAGATAGATGTTGACCAGGGATCGAAGGAACAGGAGGAACTCCGAGAAGGCCAGGCGAGTTCGGGTTGGATCTGTTGGTGACACCTGGGATGTATGCGATTTGGATTACGTTTGAAGCCCGGGTTAGTACAGTCGAAGCGATGGAGCCAATCGACTGGGTTGACTGTCGGGCATCTCGTAGCCCGCCATACGAATTGTTATCCTTCTCGACTGCCCAAGCCGCAACGCTAGCCTCATACGCCTCCTTCTGCTTCTTCTTGTTCCTTCGGATGAGGAAGAATGCGGCGACACATATAATGACGACGAAAGCAAAGACACCGCCGACGATAGCTCCGACAGGTGCCCCGCTCTTATTGTCGGCTTGCTGTTGAGGTGCATTCGGCTGGACTTTTGAAATCCTCTGACAAGAAGCCGCAGCACAAGAATCGCAAGACTGGACTTGAAGGATACAGGTTGTGCCTGCTTCGCAAACGAAGGTTTTGCAACTTGGTGGAGTGTCAGGACATGTTACACACTTTGCTTGTCTCTTGAAGATGTGAGCCACTAGATAGAAGAATACATTGTCAGCTTTTGCTATAATTGTTAAAAAGCGATATCTTTGAAAGGCACATACGCTCGTCCATGGCTGATGTTGCAAAAACCGCCATATTGAGGAAAAAGATATCAAGTGTGTGTGAGAGTGTGAATGTGTGTGTGTATCAAGAGGAAATGTCAACCTCAAACCCTTCTAATACTTCGAAGAAAGGTTTCTGTCCAACTCGGATTCCTCCCCACACAATATCAAACGGGTTACTGGTTCCAGGACTTCGATCCGAAAATGCCTCGAAGAATAAATCCGATCCTGTCGAAATGAATGTTGTCGGCACAGATAAAGCGGTTTGTCGGATGGAGAACACCGTCTATGGTATTTTTAAAATGTTGGGTTGGAAGCGCACGAAAAGGGAGGAGGCTGTGATTCGTGAGATTTGAAAATGTCAGGTCGTAACAAGTTGTTATTTCGTTGGATCGTACACGCTTGCTTTCCCACACACACAAAAGACGCACAAACAGGAACGATGTCGTAAAAGGGAAGATGTCGAGGTATAGAGAGATAATTTATTTTTTCTTTCTCGAGTGTTTGTAGAAGTGACGATGTTCCAATTGTGGATGTTTCTGTTGTCGTTGAATTGAAGTCCAAATCGATCCAAACTGGTGAGTCGCTTTTCCCAAAATGTGTTGTCCAGAGTGGGTTGAGATGGCGAAGAGTGCGCAACAACAAATTCCCCTTTTTCCGTTCTGTGTGTCCCTTAATTCTCTTCAAACAAAACGTCAGAAGGGCCGAAACAAAGAACAACAGCGCGCACACAAAAAGAGGATCAGCGGCGGAGGATGATGATAATGGTGATGTTTAAACGAGTGTCGGGTCAGAAAGAAAGACGTTTCGGTCTTTGACAGGCGTCTTTCTTTCTTTCGGGTCGGGGTTTTCTTGGTGGTGAAGAAGGGGAGGGAAAGGAAGGGCAAAGGAAAAGCGGGCCCAAATGGAAGTTGATGGTCTTACTATGCATGCAATGGTAAGGGAAATGATGCCCTCCGCTTGAACTTGTGCTTACAGCCACACCCTCTTGTATTGACCGGGGGGTCGCTGTCTCGCTCAGGAACGGACACAGGAACATGCACAAGGAGGTCAAGGTCCAGCAGCCAGACCGGGGTGGATCAGAGCGGGAGGATGATTGGCTTGCTGCGCAAATGGGACGTTGCAATCTGGATGAATTGGCTTGAGGGGAACCGGTCAAGTCAGAATTAACAATTCACAATTACCAGAAGACCAATCTTAAAAAAACCTCCAATGTCGCGATGGTGCATCGAACATGGATGGGCCAAGATTCGGTAACATGTTGGGTGGAGATGAACTGCGAAGGAATAAGGAAGGAAGGAAGGAGGGCTTCCAACTGCATGGAAACAGTTAACCCAACCGCCAAAGCCTTGCCAGCTTCTTCTCTATAATCGGAACCTTGCTTGCCTTGTTGACCTTCGAACATTTTTAGAAGTCCTCGACTCCGGATTCCAAGCGAGTCAGGAATATACTGCTATGTATCTGATCTCAACCTGTTACAAGTGTTACAGGAGAGGTTGGGTGCCCTGCAATTACCCGCATTGGAGATGCTACCCGACGTTTCGATCTTCTCTGCCTTTCTCCTTTTCTTCTACAAAGATACTTCTTAGGTAAGTACCCTTTTTTCTCGCAATGGCATTTACCTTTCGTGATCCAGGCATTATCATATCGAGATGCATACGCAAAAAGGACTTGCCGTCGTCGCTACGGACGCTAATGCAAAAAAGCACTTCCAACAAGTTCCGAGATTCTAGCCGCTGTTGCCACATGCATATGTAGTCCGAAAGGATTCGTCTTCAGGAACGCCAGGGTTCCACAACCTCTGAGAACCTAAAAACGAAGGAAAGAAAGCAAGAAAGAAAAAAAAACTTTAACAATTCGCAAGGGGTGATTACGTGTAACTCGAGGGAAATCGAGGGATATTCAAAAGAAGACTAAAACTACATGTACAGGGTAAGACGTAAGTCTAGCGGTTACAACTGTACCCCTCAACAGTGAGAATCTGTTTAACTCGTTTACACGGTACAACACGAATTTGTGGGGAAACCTTTCGAGGAAAATTGGAACAGTTGGGGACTTCGAGAAACTAAATTGTGGACATTGATTACAGCCCAATGCATGTTTGCGGCTGAGGGATCGTGACGAGGAGGATATACATACATACATGGTTGTATATTTCGGCTTATTGATATCAGCGGATGTTAATTGTGAAGGCTGAAGACCGCCGCACGGGAACAAATTATACGAGCTCATAGACTTATGCGCTAGCAGAAAAATACCTGCATATGCCCAGAGAAGGCTTCATCACAATTAAGACCCATCGATTGTGGAGCTCACTACGGGGACTTAAGCCTCGTGACCAAGGAAGTACGTCCTGTATTCAAAACAATTGAAAACCGATATCGCCTTTCGTGAGACGACTAATTATATTAACTCAAATTACAACAAAATCAACACCTTTCCACCCTCCAAAATACAAAAATTCAAAATGTAAAAAAAAAAAACCCATCAATGAAACAAGCACCGGATTTCTATACTTGAGATATCCGCATTTCAAAGAGATATGAAATAAAAGAAACCCATTCTAAACCATTAATATTCCCCAAGAGTACCCGAAAATCAAAAACGTGGAGCGTTAAGAGCCATAGCACACATAAGACCTGCGAACAGACCAGCGGCAGGAAGTGTAAGAACCCATCCCAAAAAGATCCATCCGAGCTGTCTCCAGTTAACAGCACCAACATCATAATTCATAAGCGCCACACCCAAAGTAGCACCGGCCAACGTCTGGGTAGTAGAAATTGGCAATCCGAGCTGCGATGCCAACAGGACAGTAATAGCAGCTCCCAACTCAGTAGAGAAACCTCTTGTAGGAGACATCTGGGTGATCTTGTTACCAAGAGCACGGATAATGTTATAACCGTAGAACCAGAAACCAGCACCGAGGAGGAAACCGGCAACGACTAAGAACCAGATTGGAGTTGGGGAAGTTGTGGCAACGGCACCCTCTTTGTAAGTTTGGTAGACTGCAGCCCAAGGACCAACAGCGTTAGCCACATCGTTAGAACCGTGAGCGATAGACATCATCATGGCGGAGGCAACTTGGCAGTAGGTCCAGAGATGCTCGACACGGGAGTCGTATTGGTGGGCGCGGGCATGGACTTCACGAAGATGCTCAGAGTCGTGGGTAACGCAATCACGGGTGACACCTTGGAGGAATCCGAATTTTACGTATCCCCAGATTCTCGATGGATGGCTGAGAGGAAGGTGGGCGACTGGGTGCAAGAATCTCTCGTGTGGACCGGGAATTGGCTTGGCTCGACGACGGACAACTTGGCCTTCGAGATTCTTTTCGTCAGCTTCGGTTGGAGTGGTATCACCAGTCACGGGTTGGATTTTCATATCGGCTCCGGTAGAAGTAGCGGTAGGTTCGTCTTTGGAGCTGTCAGAGGCCGCATATGGGTCGGCGTAGTAATCGGTGACGTATTCTCCGTCTGCCTTTCCGGGGAAGTAGAGTGGAGGGTTTTCCCGACGAAGAAGGGGTCCGAGAGGAATGTGCCAAAACTTAACACGGGCATCCTTATGGATGAGACGACGTTCGAAGTATGGAATGAAAAAAACGAATCCGATCAAAACCAAACCGGCAAAGACACCCAAGACGACACCGATAGTCTGACCCGCACCGAACTCCTCGAAAGATCCGAGAGAAGGAGCTTCAGCAATAATGAACAAAGTAAGGATAGCACCTGTTCCACCAAGGAAGAATGGAATGAGGCGCATAGCCCACTTGAACGAATCCTTGCGCTCGAGGACAGTGTACTTGACCAATCCGAAGATAATGGCAGAAAATGCACAGGCAATTGCAGGAGCAACTCCCCAAGAAGCGGCGATCTGTGAAACACTGCCCTTTTCCCAGCCCCATTTGATATTGGCCTCAGTAGCGAAACCGACACCAACCAATGCGCCGACAATAGTCTGTGTAGTCGAGACGGGGAATCCAATACCGGTGGCGAACATCAACCAAGATGCGCTAGCGACTTCAGCGCATCCCATGGCAAGCATGAGAGTTCCTGGGTTGCCATTGAATCGGTCGACATTGATGATACCGTTTTTGATGGTGGAAGTGACTCGAGATCCCATACCGACAGCGCCGGCAAATTCTGTTAACATGGAAAGAATACCGACTTGTGGCATAGTCAAGGTTCTTGCGGCAACCGAAGTGGCGTATGCATTGGCAACTATACAGAACAATCGGTAGATGTTAGTCTCAGATACGGTTTATGAAGCGGCCGGAAAGTATAAAGTGGGATTTCCGCAGCAGGCGTGCTGCTGGATCCGCAATTGCGAAGGATTTGGAGGGGTCGCGTGCATACCATCGTTTGCGCCTATTTTCTCAAGTTAGCAAATCTACGTCCAAAAAAATCTTTATTTCATAGATTGAGAGCGGTACCATTTCCGAAAGCCGAGAAGACGAAGGCAATCGTTGTGATTGCGAGAATCCAAACATATTTGGCGGTGGCCGGTGGGGCCATGATTAAACAATATTATATAAAGGAAGATATATATATAACAGCAAAAAAATAAGTGGAAAGAAAAGAGAATCAAGCTGGTAAGTAGCTCTCGAGATGCTCCTAGCTAAGATGGTAGGATATCGTTCAGATGAGAGGTTGCTGATGTTGAGAAAAGAACATAGGAAGTAAAAAAAAAGTCATTCTCTAGGAGGGCCGACGAGTAGTTATACTCCTCGCCATGGAGCTGCTGACAGGCATGAATTGCATCGGGAAGCTAAGGGACCTAGGGTCCAATCCGTTCTTGGAATACGGTATTCCATGCTTTAGCTCCTACCTTCCACCGACTGGAAAATCAAGCCGATGGTCCCAAGAGAAACCTGGTAGCAGCCTGGTGCCAAACTCGTGGCGTGGAAGCATCTTCGATTAAACGATCATCAATTCCCATCATTCAATTGATCAAGGTGATCATGGCGTCTGCGCCAAGTTGATCGAAGTTTGAAATCATCAAAATTATGCAAGCCGTTTTCGGCGAGGGAATCAATGAATGTCCAGGATCGAAGCACGAGGAATGGGAGGCGAGTTCGGTCTGGTCTTGGACAGTGGGATGTCAAATGGTCGAGTGACGGTTTATGCAAGTAAGGTGTCGGGTGGCTAGTATGTTGAAGTTAGGTACCCGTCGCATATCGAAAAAATGAAGGCGGTGGAGAAGAAAAAAACCCTGGGTCGGATATCGGACTATCGATCCTTGTCGTCATTTATATATCTTTAATCCAATAAATGAGCTTGTTTGATACACGTGGGTTCTAGATTGCCGTATTTAAGTGCCAAAACCCTTCCCTCGATTGCATATCAAGACTTAGTTTTGTCTCATATGCCCATTGACGGTTGACCTCGACGGGTTCTAGCGCGACCTTGGAAGCTGTCCGAGAGGTAGGCGACAAGCGAGCCAAACGGAACCAAGCAGGAGCCAAGCGCCTATCGGACGTCTTCCAAGCCCAAGGCAGCAAAAAATGGAAAGATATCGTGTGACAGGTCGCATCAAAAATCGCTGCCACGGCTGGCCAAGTATAAAATGGGGGCCTTTCTACGTCAGATCATCGTCTTAACAAGGGCGAGTATGCATTTGAGATGGAGCACGGATTCCCAGGAGCGATTCTGATTCGACAAAATTTTCTGCTTACTGGTTTAATCTTCGAAACGTTTGGAGGTTCAACTGCCAGAATGGTTATCATGCCGATTTTAGCGTAGTTGTATCGACGAACTCAAGAATCTTGGTAAGACGTCCAAGAGTCTGGGAAGCACACCACGGTCGGCAGGTTTTTCACCAGAAACAATCGAATTGATTTTTTTTTCGTAATTCGGAATTGTGATGATTTGATAAATTCATCAGAACCCGAGGGCATGGGGCGAAAATGCCCTACACTAAGGCGTAAAAAACGACCCCCATATATGTTCATAGTCCATCCCGATGTTACAATTATCAACCGATTGTATATATGGGGACGTAACTTCTCAAAGTTTTCGGGTTTAACCTTTTTCTATTTGCGCAGATGATATTAGCACAGCCCCGATAATTTTCTCTCGAGACTATCTGGTTATCCTAAGGGGAAAACGTATGATCTTGACGGATAGCACACCATAGATCAGCGTGAGCGAACGATGCGGATTCAAAATGTTTAAACCTATGCTCACAAAAATATTAACTTGGACACTTTCGCTGACTCTATATGAAACCAGAGCTGCAAACCAAAGCATGCTGATACAAGTTCTCGAAGGAGTTTAGAAACCGAAACGAGGAAGATCAAAGTCTCTACTAGAATTAGCTATCTGTCCGCCTCGTTCCGGGTTATTGTTTTAAGCTACACCCATACAATATTCCATAGCTATCGAAGATATTCAGTTGACTTTACCATACTCTCTTTTAACCTCTTGAACAATTAATAAAATCAAGAGCCAAGTTAAATACCTAATTAAGTGTTTTCCTCGATTCATTTGGTGACGTTGGCCTACCTAATTTAGTCTGATCAGTCGAGAACTATTAGCCCTGGCGGGATGTGTGAAACAGTCTCAAACTGTTGTATTTTTTCCTTTCGAACTAATATTCATGCTGTCTCGCAACGCATTTCTTAAAGTAGTGCAATTGCGCAATTCGAATATTCATGGTCCATTATAAATAAAATTGATCATGGCTTAAATTTTACTGTTATTCGCATCGCATTGAAAACAGCTAAATGCATTGGTAATATAGAAATGCGATAAAGCCTAAGCCAGGGACAAATTGGGTTGCCTCGAATCAATAGTATTTTAGATATGATATATTATTTCTTTGCAGGCCCCGCGAGCCGGATCGTCGCAACCTTCGACAGTATTATATTAATACACCCTTCTTTTAATTTCGAATATTTCTCGACCAATTGGCTAATTCGCCAAAATTTCACTTACGACTTTCAAGGCAGGTGTAAGTTAATTCATGGAAAAGCATATCCATCTCGAATTAAATGCTTGTTCATGGGAATCCGAATATCCCGGGTTGTCCCGATGGCCGTCTCGACATATCAATAACTCCAGCCGTGCTTACTAACTCAGGTTCTATAAGAATTGGTTGCGACTAAAATACCTAAGCTAACAGAAGCAGGGCAAATACGGCTAACTCCCACGATGACAACCCCCATTTCGAAGGAAGTCTTACAATTCTGCTGTCTACTGATCTAATTCCTTTCCGTGGCAGTATTTATAAAAATATATTCCGATATAGTACCTGGTATATACTCTCCGTATCCAATAGTGCCAAACTATGACGCGCGTGGGCGGGTAACTCAAGACTAAGCCGGGCGTCACGGCCTAGCCTATGATTCGTATAATCCCAATTAACGTACTCTGAATATCGCGGTTTCTTAAGATCGTGCGTAGATTTCGAGTTCTCGTCGATAAATCTGAGCCAAAGACAGGAAATAAGGGTTACAGCAGTTAGCGGTAAATATCTTACAAATGCATTGACTTGCTGACATATGCGTAGCCGAGTCTAGATGTCTAGATTTAAAAGACATTTCCATAATTTCCATTTCTTATGTCAGAAAAAATAATTCTTTCGACTGAATAGAATAGCGCAAGATCCTAATATTCGTGCGATACCGGCTCCATCAAATGAAGTTTTAATTGGACGGGTATTGTATATATTGCAGGCCTGCGCAAGAGTGTTGTTGGGTTCGTGTAATTAATTGAAGCTGTTTAGTTCAAATGTTCAAATTCATATTTAATCTAGTATCCGCTTTCAAGGCTTTTCTATTAATTCTTTCGATAATACTTCCCCCCCCAGACCCGCTACAGCAGTTTTTTTCTCTCTTTTATAAGAATGGGGACTAAATTCAACCCAAACTTTTCAATCTATGGACTCTCTATTTTCGCTTTTGCAGCCGTGGCCCAGAGCGCAGAAAATAAATTGACTACAGTTACACAAATATGTGTCGACCCTCAACCTTTCAATCATGCTGTCTCGTCCGTTCCAGGGTAAAACCTGAAACAACACACTGAAAGGTTGCATTATGGGGGGGTTTCCAGATACAACGACGATACCAACACCCCGATTCTCGGCTGAAATACGGTAAGACCCCCAAGGATCGATATATCAGGGCTAATCTGCGATGAATTTAGGTGCGCACCTCTCCTCAATATCATTTCCTGATGATCTAAAGGCAGCCACAAAGTAAGTACTAGAAAATCAAAACGTTATCGAAATAATGAAATATGCGAGAAATGCCACTTGTATCTTAGCTTGGCTAATCGAGAAAATATTAGGTGGAGATCGCCCAATTGTAAAATATTAGGGTCAGAGCACGTACTATATCTGCTAGTTGAGTAGCTGGAGGCCGCGCAATGTTATGGTAATGGAATTAAAGAAGGAATCTTTGTTGCGGATATATAGCCGGCATCCTCGATATATTATAATATTAACCGATTGTATACTATTTCACTGTAGCATTCATGTATTACAAAAAGCTGTAGCTGGTTTAGCATAGTGATATAATCCAACTGGGATCCGGATCGAGGTTATGGCTCTAGAGTTTGTTTAAAATTGTTAACTTCTAGAAACAAAACGGGGGGTAGTACGGCTTGTGTTACGCTATCTAAAACCACACATCGATTCGAGATCTTATGCAGTATAGCGGCGCCGGACCGAGCGGATCCATTGATAGAAAGATTGCGATCGTATCCGCTCGCGGAAAAATGAGCTGCATGTACCTAAATTATATTCACCAATTTTATGGCTACCCTTGAAATTTACAAAGTAATGCCATCTGTACCGACTATATCACATTTGTGATATAGTATGGATATCGTATCAAGATTTGCATCCAAAATCCAGCAGGGAACAGTTAAAACGTTAGTCTGGATCGGGTTCAAACGTTCGAATCCGTAAGCCAATAGTCGAGTAGCTACGTATACGTGTATCCAGGCCTGCTGATGGTTTGAAGTCGGTCGACCCAGACCCTTCTAAATCTGACCAATCATTGGAGCCATAGCATATGGCGCCATCGATATATCGCCAAAAAAACCTATTGAATTTCAAACACTCAGGATTCTCAGCCGTCTAAGAAGTAAAAAACCATTACAGAGCAAACACAATTTCCATAATATTCGTAAGGTAAATACTACTCCGATATCGCGATGGACAGAAGGGGGAAAAAAAGGGTGGAACGGTCTCAAGGCATCCTCAAACCTATAAATATCATGCTTTTCGTCAGAAACATTCACACCTTATATGCTAGTCCCCCAAACATCTAAACTTTAACATTACCGCTTTATGCATTAAACAAAACTCAATATGCTGTGGGGAGTCTTCCTAATAGCCGTATTCTTAGGCTATCTACACTATGTCCAAACTCGGCGCCGGCGCCTCCTCCCGCCAGGCCCAAAGCCAATTCCTCTTCTAGGAAACATCCTCGACTTCCCTCCACCAGGCGTACCCGAATTCCAACATTGGTTAAAACTTAAAGACCAATATGGAGGGATTAGCTCGGTATCTGTCCTTGGTCTCACCGTGATCCTTATACATGATAAGAAGATTGCGCATGAAATCTTAGACAAAAACTCCAGTAAGACCTCAGGAAGGCCTAGGATGGAATTTGCCGGTGAGCTATGTGGGTACAAATCTTTTGTTATATTTCGCGGATACGGTACCACGTTTCGTCTCCTTCGAAAGTTCCTGCACCAGGAGCTCGGCACAAAACCACTCGTAGGACGTTTTCGAGAGGTGCAAGAAACTGAGGTAAATCGACAACTGGTACGGTCACTCAGACGGCCAGAGGATTGGGTTAAAAACTTTTCAACGTAAGTTGTCCACTGCACAGAAACTAAACCTTGCTCAATTTATTTTATCATCTAAAACTGAGAACCTGTTATTAACCTGTTTTTATCGTACAGAACTAGTGGAGCCACTGTTTTGAAAGCAGTTTACGGTTATAATATCGAGGCAGACAAACCCGATACCCTCGTACACAAAGTTGACCAGATGATGAAGGAATTCTCCCGCGCTGCCGTCCCCAACAAGTGGACGGTTGACCTATTTCCCGTCCTACGATATCTACCTGAAGGATTCCCTGGTACCTCATTCAAAAAGACGGCCCGTGCCTGGAAAAGGTCTTTTGAAGAAACGGCCCAAATACCATACCAATTCGTGCGGCACCAAATGGCAGCAGGCTGCCACCGACAATCCTACGTCTCAAAGCTCGTAGAGAGGAACCAAAAAGAAAGTTATGACGGGAAGTTAAATTCCGAACATGAGGACGCTATCATCTACTCAGCTGCAAACCTTTACGGTGGAGGCGCAGATACTACGGCGATAGGCATGACCAGCTTTACCTTGGCTATGATATTATACCCTGAGGTTCAGCGTAAGGCGCAAGAGGAAATCGACCGTGTGGTCGGATCGGATCGTCTACCCGGTTTCGAGGACCGAGAACGGCTACCATATATCAACGCCATAATTAAAGAGATACTTAGGTGGTGGGTCGTCGGGCCCCTGGCCTTCATACACGTAGCTGACGAGGATATCGAATACAACGGGTATCTTATTCCAAAAGGATCTTATATTCTTCCAAATATCTGGTGGATTTTACATGATCCGGAAGTATATGCCAATCCCGATAAATTCGATCCCGACCGCTTTTTGAGTCCCCGTAATGAACCTGATCCCGAAGGTGACGTTTTCGGATACGGACGAAGAATATGTCCCGGTCGATTCTTTGCGGATGCAAACATTTACCTCAACGTTGCGAAATCAATAGCTGCTTTTAATATCAACAAGGCCCTGGATAAAGATGGGAAAGAAGTTGAGGTTGAGGCGAAGCCGACACCTGGTGTATTCAGCTATGTCGAAAAATTCCAGTTTCGAATCACACCAAGAAGTGCAAAGCACGCGGAGCTTGTCAATAAACTTGATACGAAGGATTTATGGGGGGAAAGTGATTCTGGAATGCTCAAGGACATCAAGATTGTCATCTAGTATAGCTAGGAAAATATAGTTCACGGCTTTGGGTTGTTCATAAAGGATACAGCAGACTCCAAAAAAAAAAATACTGTAACGACATGCCTCAAAGGCCCCCTAAGGTCCCTTCAGAATAAAACCTCCCCCTCCTCTTTTTTTTTTTTTTTTTCCCCTTGCCGCAAAGCCCGATTTAACATCGACTTTTAAATTTGTCTTACAGCTGGTCCGGGAGGTACCACCTTTTCGCGGTAGCCATGCCACTCAAGATGGCAGGATAAATAGTTGTATATATATAACATTATCACATACCCAACTTATACGATTATTTCGTACTGTGTTCGAAATTTCCAGGTAGTTGTATACCCTCAAGATCGTGTCAAGTACAAATTGATCTAGCCTAGATTCAATATTATTATCATGTATATAGGGGGGCTCAAGGTTAGTGAATAGTACCATGGTACCCTAGTGATATCGGTAGGAATTTATAGGAGATAAAATGCGACCTATATTATACTTTCGAGATTTCTAGCCACTTTATCCAAGCACCGATCTTTTATATTAATCTATACCAAATTTAACATCTGTTTGAGATAAGTTCGATGAGCTAGGGACTAGATCTGACTTCCAGGTCTGGGTACGAGACAAGGGACTAGATATCAATATCTCTCTTTCGTGACAACTTAAGACAGGTGGTATAGGGGATTATCTGACTACCCCGCGCGAGCTGCAGATCTGGAGAACAGTACAAGCTCTCAGACAATAAAGGTACTTACGACATAGATAAGATATTTTGTTCCTGCGGTTTGATTTTCTATACTTTCTTGAAGATTCAAACGAAATAGGCCGCGGCTTCTATTCTTCCACGACTGGAAAGCTATACCTGATCAGCTGAGCTACTCTGAACTACTGCTGATGGAGTCTGCAACATTTGGATTCACAGAATCATAGGTAAGTAGGTATCTCTCATATCCTTTTTACAATTTAACCGAAGAAGGGTAGACGATCTCGACGAATGTAACGTCATGATGATATCAGTTGAGCATGGCAAACGTGTGTGTCTTTGTAGCACGAGGCCCTGATATCGAGATCCCGCTGTGGGGATGGCCACCAGCGTTTGAAAGCAACTGCCAAAATCGATATATGATTGTCCAACACCACAACACACAACCAAGTCACACAGATCCAACGTTAGCAGTGTCGATGGCGGCTGGAAGTAGACTTTTGAGTTTTTTTTTTCCTGCTCTCTTTTTCTTCTTGTTGGCCAACTGGAAGGCGTCTTTTTCTAGTTTGAATGAGGTACCGAAGTTAAAAATTTTTTCTTCCAAACATAGTCTTCAGGTCCCGACATTAACCGTTGAGGTAGAAGTGGGGAAGTTTAAATAATGGTCTCAGGTGGCACAGACCGCTGGTCTTTGAGGTTGTTTCTTGTGAACTGTGAAGTAAAAAAAGAGAAAAGAAAAAAAAGTGTTGGTGTGGCTGTGTCACACAGAAAGAACGCCACTCCCTTCCGAATGAAGCCACTCCCGACATTACCTAAATCGGACGAGAAGAATCGGCATGGTCGGGTCGAGTTGAGCAGATAAGGCCAGTCGAAAGGAATATATCCTATCGAATGAGGATCCTGAGATGTCTTTGATATGTCATATTTTAAGACTTTAGTTAATACATTTTTGAGAGGCAAAGGAACTTGATCAGAGCCTCGAAGTCTCGTTATGGTAAGGTGGTGGCGCTAGCATTATTTTTAGTACCCCTTGACATCGCAAGGTTGACAGAACCCCTGCCCATTGGTCGGCCGATGTCTTTCGGGTTTGTGGCTTGGAGGGTTTGGCACAGGAAAAAATTAGATCCAAGAGCAAGAATTTTCCCAAAATGAACGTATATTAGGAAAAAAATGAAAATAGAAGAAATATTGAAGGTATGGATATTAATCAAACTTCAAATGAGCTCATGAGAGTTCTGTGCACACCTGGACCTTCTGTGTCCGTGGATGGCATTAACCGAGCCGTTCGACCTCGACGACGACGCAGGAGGATATGTGCGAAATAGGAGAAAGGCCCAACGGGTTATTCTGTTTCAAGCGTGTTTGAATTCAACATGGTACCTACCTTTGCGCAACCAATGGGCAATGGATGGCCAAGGGACTAACAGGGCCCAAATGCATTCTCTGGCGACGATCTTTGTACTTCCATTGTTCGGGGCGGAAAGTAACCAGATGGAACATTGTACTCGGGGCTTGCCATCGATGCAGCGATCCATGGATCCAACTTCTCCTTCCATCCTCCCCCCCCTCTCTCGATCGTTTCTAGGTGAGCTGGTATGAGATCTCAAAAGGGCTACCATATATTATGGGGTCTCATCTTACTTCACTTGTACGGCTCTTAAATATGAATTAGAGCTCATATAATCATTCAAATTGGGAATCCCGAATCCTGAAAGGTGTGGTCCTTTTGTGTAGGGCTGCGTCAGTGCTAAGCCTGGGTACGGCTGAGTACCTTTGTACGTAGACGAGATGGAGAAATAAAAGAAAAGAAAAAAAAAAATTTTTTTTATACCCACTCGGGCTAAACGAAAAACGTCGAGATCGGTTTTTCCGAATTTTCGTATAGGCGGGACGCTGGAGATCTATAGCAAGACAAAGCCCGCAAAAAGGCGTTTGACAGAACTTTACACCAAACTGGGTAACTAGCGTCTGTAGAGCTGGAACCGAAGCTCCAGCTGGTATGCAGCCAAGGTAGGAGCTGGGATGATGGTAATCTGCACGTACCGTTCGTGACCAGATCAAAGGTCATGATGTCGAGGTCAGCTCTTCCAAAGGCAGCTTGGACTTCTAGAAAAACGCCAGGGCTAAAGGTTCTCCTAGGCATCGTCTAGGTGGCCCCGCCGGCCAGACATACATACATACACACATGTACTATGGATGTGGTATGTCTAGACAAAGCGATTCCTGTGGTTGAGGCGGGGGGTTGCAAGCCAGGGTTGGGGTTCGACAGCGGATTTGCATTACCTCTTCGATAACTTGCATGGCTGCCCCTGAGGAGTTTTTAAAAATAGGTCAGCCCGGCGAAAAAAAGCGTAGTATTGGAAGAGCGATACGCAACCTTTCGTCAGATGTAAAGTCTACCATGTTCGAGTAGAGCAAAAGGAGAGAATTTGAATGTGAGAGTGTGGCCGCCGGTTTCTCCCCCTTCCCTCTTCGGACCCTTTTTCTGTTTTAACAGCTTGGTTGTCCTGGTCCTTTTACTTTGCTTTAAGCTCTTCGATCACTCAAGTGCAAGTGCAAGCCCCTCAACAGGCAATCTTAAACATCTTGCTTTCCCTCCCAGCTCTCTCTCTCTATCCCTTTCTTTTCCTTTTCCTTCTCTCTTTGTCCCTTTCCTTCGACTTCTACCTGTTACATAAAACACCGCCATCTGCACCCCGTTCGGCTTGTTCCTGTTCTGTTCTGCTCTGCTCTGTTCAGTTCTGTTGGCGATAATAATATTTTGATATATCGTTTTGGTTGGTTGCAGTTGGTTGCTGCGTGACAGACGGAGTATATGTAATAGTACGTATGTACCTCTCCCCATAAACCCAGCTCAACTTCGCATCGACCTTACCGTCTCGACCTCCTGGCCCTCGTTCCCTCCGAAAAAAATATTTGGTTTTCGTCACACCTGTACAGCCCTTCCCTTTTGCCCTGGTTAAACTGCTGCTGTTCCTTAGTCAGAACTGTAGTAGCAGTAGGCAGTAGCATTGGTATTCAGCTGCAGTAGACGAGACACGCTCCAGACGCTAACAGACGGCGGTAGCACCAATCAGTAATAGCAATAACAACAATCCCGCCCGCCACGATAGATAAACATTCTTTCACTCCGTCCTCTCCTGAAGGTATTTGAACAATCCCATCCCCAAGCTGCTGCTACTGCTGCTGCTTGATTGTTTTTCATTCCAGCCGTTCGATTATCCTCTGCATTCATTCTCCTTCGACCTCTTGATATTTATTTTCTATAAGATTGTGATATCTTCCCCTGTTATACGAGCACACCCTTCACATCTTTCCACTTCACACTTCACAGCTGTTAGTTGTTAGTGTATGTAGCCCGGTTCTCCTAACTTGCTCCTTCAGGTTAGCTGGTTGTTCCTTTTTTTTCTTCTCCCTCCCTCTCCCTCTTGCGTGGAAGCAGAAAAAGCATCCACCCGATTCGCACAGCATTGGTTTCGAATTGAAGACAAAGACACAAATAACTCGTCTTGATACTTTCATCCCTATTTCCCTGGTATGTCCAAGCAAGGCATTTGAGTATATGTTGGTATCTTTACGTGGTTCCGAGGAAAACAGGGGTTTTTATTTGGAATCCACATAAATACTTGCGGCTGTGTTTCCAAGCTTCACAAACGTAACGGCTGAGCTGAGCTTTCTTGTAAATAGCTGCTAACACGCCTCACTTCAACTACAACAGGTCTTTCACCCTTATCATCAACAACAGCAACAGCAACATCATCCAATCTATATTCATTCATTCGCTTCATTTATCCGAGAATCAATTGAATAAGGCTTCATCAAAGAAGCTTCCCCTTTCTCCTTTACCATGGCACAGCAAGGAGGTTATGGTGGCCCCCCTGGCGGCTACGGCTACCCACCTCAGCAAGGCCATCCATACGGCCAACAAGCAACCAACGAAGACTATGATGAGAGAGAGGAGCAGAGAACGCTTCTCAATACACCTGGTGGTCACGTTGAACATCAACAAGTTCCTCCCCCTACTACACAAGTTGGATATGACGAGAACAATCCGTTCAACTCTGGTGACGTCCAGCATCACAGTCTTCAAGAAACCTATGTTCCAAATGCAAGACCAACAACTCAGTACAGTGAAATCCAGCAGCCATACCCAGAGAGCGGGACTCGTTTTGCTGGCCTCCCCACTCGAGTTGCGTCTCCATACAACAGATCAGAGGCTTCATCGACAGAGGCATGGAGGGAGAGACAAGCTCCTTCGAATATGCGAAGATATGCTACCAGAAAAATTAAGCTTGTCCAAGGTCAAGTTTTCGCCACTGACTATCCTGTTCCATCTGCCATCCAAAATGCTATCCTGCCCAAGTATAAGAGCAAGGATCTCGAGGGTGGAACTGAAGAATTCACTCATTTGAGATGTAAGTTTGTTTATATATATCAAGATCCTAAAATCTACGAGGTTCGGTTACTAAACGTGTGCTAGACACCGCTGCTACTTGCGACCCCGACGACTTTACGTTGAAGAATGGTTACACGCTTCGTCCGGCTATGTACAACAGATCAACCGAGCTGCTCATTGCTATTACCTACTACAACGAAGATAAGGTGCTTACCGCCAGAACACTACACGGTGTCATGCAAAACATCAGAGAAATCGTCAACCTCAAGAAGTCCGACTTTTGGGGGAGGGATGGTCCAGCATGGCAGAAGATCGTCGTTTGCTTGATCTTCGATGGTATCGACCCTTGCGACAAGGATACTCTTGATGTCCTAGCCACAATTGGTATCTTCCAGGACGGTATCATGAAGAGGAAAATTGACAACAAGGAAACTGTTGCCCATATTTTCGAGTACACGACACAATTGTCTGTCACCTCCTCGCAGATGTTGGTCAGGCCAAAGGACGAGGATCCACAATGTCTCCCTCCAGTCCAGATGATGTTCTGCTTGAAGCAGAAGAATTCCAAGAAAATCAACTCCCACAGATGGTTGTTTAACGCCTTCGGCAAGATCTTGAACCCAGAAGTCTGCGTTCTTTTGGATGCCGGTACTAAGCCCGGTCCAAAGTCCATCTTGTACCTCTGGGAAGCTTTCTACAACGACAAGAATCTCGGTGGTGCCTGCGGTGAAATCCACGCCATGTTGGGTCGAGGTCTCAAGAACTTGATCAACCCGCTGGTCGCTGCCCAGAACTTCGAATACAAGATTTCCAACATTCTCGACAAACCATTGGAATCTTCGTTCGGTTACGTCTCTGTGCTTCCCGGTGCCTTCTCTGCCTACAGATTCCGTGCCATCCTTGGCCGGCCTTTGGAGCAATACTTCCACGGTGATCACACGCTCTCCGCGCGTCTTGGTTCCAAGGGTATTGAGGGTATGAACATTTTCAAGAAGAACATGTTCTTGGCTGAAGATCGTATTCTGTGTTTCGAGCTGGTGGCTAAACAGAACGAGAAGTGGCATTTGACCTACGTCAAGTTGTCCAAGGCCGAAACTGACGTTCCAGACGGTACCCCTGAGTTTATCTCTCAGAGACGTCGTTGGCTCAACGGTTCGTTCGCCGCTGGTGTTTACTCGTTGATCCATTTCGGTCGTCTCTACAAGTCTAGCCACAACCCGCTCCGCATGTTCTTCTTCCACATCCAGCTCCTCTACAACATCTTTTCCCTCATTCTCTCTTGGTTCGGTCTTGCAAACTTCTGGCTTACTACTTTCGTCATCATGGGTCTTACCGGTACTCCCACTGATCCAAACCAAGCTCCGTGGCCTTTCGGTAAAGCCACTCCTATCATCAATGTTGTCCTACAGTACATCTATCTCGGTCTTGTCATGGTACAGTTTGTTTTAGCTCTCGGTAACAGGCCGAAGGGTTCGAAACACACTTATATCGCCTCTTTCATCTTCTTCGCCATCATCCAGCTCTATGTCATCATCCTGTCCATTTACCTTGTCGTACAAGCCTTCAAGACGTTCCAGTTGGATACAAGCAGTGCTGGGCAATTCTTCAGGAATTTCTTCGAGGGTACAAGTGGTGTCATTTTGGTTGCCTTGGCTGCTACCTTTGGTCTCTACGTTGTTTCCTCCCTTCTTTATCTCGACCCATGGCATTTGTTCCACTCCTTCCCTCAGTACTTGCTCATCGCCTCTTCGTATACCAACATCCTCAACGTCTATGCCTTCTGCAATTGGCACGATGTCTCGTGGGGTACCAAGGGATCTGACAAGGCCGATGTTCTTCCTGCTGCCCAGTCCAAGGCTAGTGATGGTGGAAAGGCCCAAGTCATCGACGAACCAGACAAGCCACAGGCCGATATCGACTCTGCTTTCGAGGCTACCGTGAAGCGTGCGTTGACACCGTACAAGCCGGTTGAGACCGAGGAGAAGAAGTCACTCGACGACTCGTACAAGAGTTTCCGTACTCGTTTGATTTTGTTCTGGATGATTTCCAACGGTATCTTGGTTTTGGCGGTCACGGATAATGCATTCGATTCCTTCGGTATCTCGAATGGCGCTAGCGACCGAACCGCGTTCTACTTCAGACTTTTGCTCTGGTCGAACGCTGTCATTGCTCTGTTTAGATTTCTTGGATGCTGTTTCGTAAGTTTTTCCTATGATTCTCCTGTGAAAATCCTGTGGATGTTTGCTAACAATTGCTATTATAGTTCCTTTCCCGAGCCTCGATTCAATTCATCATTGCTCGCCGTTAAACAGAGCAGTATTACGCGTATGCATCATGATTACTTGTTTAAAGCGCTTGCCGTTAGAGTTTCATTTGCATATTCTTGACACGACGTGACGACCCAAAATCACTACATTATCACTATCACCAAAAACCCGGGAAATCATAAAGGAGGGGTTACAGATGTTTAAAATACTACTACTACTTGTATAGGGGAGGGGGGGTCTTTAAAAACTAAAATTCTTTCACTTCTTTTTTTTTCCCCCTCCAATTCGCATCGTCTTTTTTCCCCCAGAGTTTTTTTTTTCTCTTCCTTTTTTACCCTTTTTTTTGCTTTCTATCTTTTTCGAGTGAATACTTGGTCCTTTTATTCGGCGTTGTATTCTTTTTTTTTCTCTCTGTTTTAATCACATTGTTTTTTTTTTCGGTTTTCAAAATCCCCTTTTGCGATTATCCATATTTTATGCCATATTTATAGCTCTTGTCCTTAGGTAGGATAATTGGTCAATGGTAATATCTGGTATCCAATATTTCAGCTCAGTCTTATCAGCTTTCATGGCTCCTTTTTCACACGTGCACGTGCCGATTCATTGTGTCGTAAACTGTAGACGTAGTCTAGTTTAGACGGGCGACCGAGAGCCACCAAAACGAATCTAAACAACTAGACTAGTATAGACGTAAACATACAGATATGAGTTAAGGAAGTATGTTGATATACAAGGAGGGTGTTAATAATTAATTCCCTGGCCGATTGGGTGTTTATATCAATCAATCGATTATAGTATGTTTCCGAGTTTTCTTTCTTTTTCTTTTATAATTATATTATCGGTGATATTTGCTTTGGTACTTGGATGTATATACAAGATTGGTATGAAATGCTGGTGGCTTACGGTGTCGATAGATATGGTTTATGTATATATACTATATATCCGGGCATCACATTCGGGATCTGGATTATATATATATATACATTAATTGGAATAGTTTTCCCTTTGGGGAAAGTATTTGTAAGCTATATAAGGGATTGATAGGGTGTAACTATAGTATAGAGTATATATAGAAAGGTATGAATGGATGGATGGATGGATGGGTAGATGGGTGTGTACAGTATATACGTGATTATGTTATCATGCGGTTTTGGTTCATCGATGTTTGGATATTAAGTATTTAGATGTTAATTTTAGGCATATTTAGGTATATTGGATATTATTGTGAGGAGGGGCTATGATGAAATACATATGGCAGTCTGTAGTGGATTTGGGATTATTTACCCTTGTTAACTTATATATCTGTGTATATGTTTAATACATCTACGTATTGTGTCGTTACTTAGTTAAAGGTAGTCTTGTATTAATAAAGGTTAGGGTAAGTGAGCTTCTCTTTTTTCTTCTATTTGTTTTTTTCTTTCTTTCTTGTTTACTACCCCGGAAACGTTAACGCCCCCTTTTTTTCTCGGCATTCCTTTTTTATTCTTTGTTCTTCTTGTGCATGTGTGAAGGGAGAAGGGGGGGGGGGAAACAAGCAATTCGTTTACATGGTTTGGAAAGTCTTGATGATTAGGCGTTAGGTGTAGGCGTCAGTAACTTAGTTACTAGGTATTCAATATGGCCGAGGATGGTGGTGGTGATTAGTGGTCAAGGATGTGTGTGTGTGCATGTGTGGATTATCAAGCAAGGAAAAAAAAAAAAAAAGAAGAACTTGGGATGGAAAAATAGTATGGAGCGAGTGTAGCTTAATTAGTTGGGACCCGGTCCGGTTGATTCTGCCTAAAGTGGTATTCGAAACGGGATGCATTACTTTTTGGGAGGAATGACGTATGGGGGTTTTAATATACCTTATTTACTTACTTACTTGAGTAGTAAGGAAGTGAGTAAGGAAGTGAGTATGGAGATATTGGCTTTGGTTGAGGCATCGGGGTTTGTGAAGTTAGTCGAGTAGGCCGCGTGGTCGCTTTTTTTTTTTTTTTTTTGATGTTTCGAGAAAGTGGTACAGTTCGAATTCAGTACAATGGAGCACGGCGTTCTGGTAGTGGTACGACCAGCTTAAGCTGTGTCACTTCCTTCTTCCTCTTCTTGAGCTGTATACTACAAAGTTTTTTTATTTTTTATTTTTTTATTTTTTTATTTTTTTATTTTTTTCGGTGGATAAAATTATAAGACATTCAAAAAGGATAAAGAGACAAAAAAAAAAAAAAAAAAAAAGAAAACGGATGGGACGTCCCACCAATCATATAATCACAGTTCTCTTTCTTTTTCTCTCTTGTTAAATCTCAAACATGGTGGAATGCCAATGTGTGTGGTCTTGTGGACAGTTGTGCCAGTTACAGAAAAAAGCTTTTTTTTCAGTTCCCCACAGTACATAGTAAGTAAGCAAGCAAGTAAGTAATGTAAGTAAGTAGGTAGGTATTATCCGATGGATGTATAGGATTGGATGAAATATTTCATCATCATCATCGAGATAACAATATTTTGTTATTTTGTTATTTTGTTATTTTCTCGGCTGTTGGAGTGTAGATTCGGTAGATATCCGTTTCGGGCAAATGGTAGAGATTTGATGAGCACGTTTTCTTATTCTTCTATATATCGATCGATATCGATATCATGGAAAGATGGAAGACAAAATAGAGGTGTGATTATGGACTGTAAAAAGAGCACATTCGAGGGTTTATGTATGTACCAAGAAGAGGTTTAAATTTTTAACGTTTAAGTTTTTTGAAACGGGAAGGCCTAAGGGGGAAGAAGAAGAAAAAGGAGTAAGATGCACATGGTATAACAGTCGTCGGTAGAACAGGTCGAAGAAAAGTTAGATTTTGTTTTCCCCACCAGGTTTTTTATTATTATTTCGGGATAACACCCCCTTCTCTCTCTTACATGCCTTATCCCCCATGCATCATGCAATCCGAGGATACTTACTTACTTACTTACGATACATGTAAGTATTTAGGGGCCTATCGATTGCAGAAAGGAAGATGCAGGAGGGGAGTTATTTCTTGGAATATACCTGTATACCGTACAGACGCATGCACGAGTGCATACATACATACATATTTACTTACATACATATATCCATACACAGTACATGAATAGAATACACAGCGACGGCGCGACCTGGTAGGAGCGTTTTATCACGTTTTTTTGTGGGATAACTAAAAATCCTTGGGAATTCGAAATGGTTCGTTTCTTCGTATTTTCTTTTTTCTAGTACATCTACACAGTGTAAGTATCGAGTGGAGCCCACCCCGGTCGAAGTCGTTATTGACCGACCAGTATGTATGTACTAAGCAGGTTGTGTGTGTATGTACTCGCATTGAACGGTTTAAATTTCGCGGTTTTGCCTATGACGTTAGCCACCCCTATTTTTTCCATGGGGCAGACAGGGCAGGGCATGGCATGGGCATGGATGGGCATGGTATGTTTACTATATCTAGACTATTGTCGCAAGAGACGCCCTTTTGTCACCACGATGGATTTTCTGTGTCACTGTATATTTATAAGAGTATCGAGAAGCTTGGTAAAATAAAATAAAATAAAATAGATGGTATGTATGAGAGGGATGCTCTAGTTCGAGAGGCTTATTATATTGTCTCTCTCTCTCTCTCCAGGCCGGGGTCAGGTGTGGCTGTTTGGCGAGGTTTCGCCTTTTCGGCCCACTCTTTGCTGTACGGTCTGGTACAGCACTAGTCGCGATCGAGTGGACAGCTTCCATTCTCTTCTTCTTTTTCTTCATAAATATTGTATGTAGAAAATAAAATAAAATAGAATAATTTGTAATGAAGAGATAGCTCCCCACTCCCCAGAGTTTAAACCTACATGTAACTAACTACACAGTACGGATAAACAACCAATGGATTGACTCGAAGGTGGTGTGTCTGACTTGGTTTAGTGTGAGAACAAGTGTGAGAACAAGTGTGGGTGCTGGTTTTCTTTTATTTTTTTTTCTCGAAATGAATGGGCAATTGGATCCCTTTTAAATAAATACTAACTAACAGCCATCCATCCATCCATCGTACGTCATTTCATCATCATTCCACCTTTCCCAACTTTACATCCTTTCCTTCCCTTCTTTCTTTCCTTCGACCTTCCGCTGACTGTATCTGTGGGTATCTTTACAAAGAGCCTCAAAAATCCACTTCACTTTCGTCATCAGCCATCAACCCAGCTCTCCTCGATTCACTTTTTTTTTAAATTTTTATTCGTCTCTTCTCTTCTCGGTCGTGTAGTTTCACTTACTCACCCACCACGAAAGAAGGAAAAAAAAAAAAAACTCGACAGATCATTACTACTCACATAACCCGGTTTTTTTGATCGCAGAAACGCTGTCGCATTCGCGTTTAGATTAATACACCTGAAGCGCCTATAGCTAAGAATTCCTTCTCTGGAAGTGCATCTGGGTAAGTTCTTCTTCTTCTTCTTTCTTTCCTTCTCTTTTGATGCTGTCGTACTTGCGCTCGCTCGCTGGCTCGTATCTGCAATGACTGTGCCTTTGCTGCCGCTGTTGTGTGTTATTCTTGCATCATCCGGTACCTCAACACATATCACATATCACATATCATCACCATCCACCGTTCATTCCCTTCAACTTCAACTTCATCCCTCAACTGGCCAACGATCCATTGATCCATTGATATTATATACATACACACACACACCCTTCCCTATTTGATGATATTATATATATCAATCGATTGGGTTATAGCCTCCTCCCCCCGAATTTTTAAACCCTCCACATCCCCCCGGGCCATGCTATTCGAGGTTCGAGGCTGTCTTGGGACAGCCGATCATTGCCTCCTTACAGCTGCCCTCTTCCAGAATGTCTGTGACTTCTGATTCGTAAAGGCCAAGCCGGACTACTTTTGTGCCCATTCTTCGCTACACCCCCTCTTCGTATCGTCCGGTCCCAATTTTTCTTCGATAACTATATCAGGTCTCGATCCTTCGGCACCCTGCCCGTTGCCACCAACGGAAGCAACCCCCGAGAGACCAGTGGTGCTCTTTTTTTGCCTCTGGAAGAATCACCTGCCATTCGTTTTTATTCACTGGTTTTGCAATCTCAGTCCTTTTTTTTTTTTTTTGTCAGATGTTTTTCCGGCCGGTTGGGATGTGGTCTGTGAGTACACACAGACCAGACACCAGACACCAGACCAGACAACCCCGGCCCTGGCAAAAAAAAGGTATTTCTGATTGTTGCATTATGGTGATGAACGGGCGTCTGCAGCGTCTATAATAACAACGCTCTGATATTTCTTTTTAATATCAGGCGGGGGGAGGAAAAGGGAAAGAGCGAGAGAAATATAGAGGGCCTGGCGTGGATTCGTCAATGAATTGGGCCGGTCTGACGGTTGTTTGAACCTGGCATATCATTTCGTCATTTCTCTCTCGCTTCTTCTTCTCCTTCTGTTCCTTTTTCTTCTTCCCCCATCACGCTTTCAATTCTCGATCTTTGCTACACAACATTCCCATCTTTTTTTCTTTCCCTTTCCCTTTACCATACATCATAATATGCAAAATGTAAGGAACTGATGGAGTTTCTTAAATTTCATACTCCAAATCTTTTTAAGCTTGTATTTTTTCCTCTCTTTTCTTTCTTTCTTTTTTTATTTTTTTGGGGGGAGGGTGTTTGTTAGATGCGTTTGTACTGTCCTTTTTGCCTCGGACTCGAACTCGACTCGAGTAGGAGTTCCTTGCTCATACACCCAATCCCGTTCATCCATCCATTACATCCCACCACCACTACTATGCTATCCTTTGAGATAGCTTAGAAAGGTACATACATACATACATACCTATACATATTTTTTCTCATGTGCTTCTTCCCCCCCCCCTTCGCCCCCTTAACTTGCCAGAAGCTTTTCTTTTTGAAGATCTCTAACTGTCAGATCTATATTGCACAATTAATTCCCTATCGTCTCTTGTTCAATTGGTGCCTCTTTACTTTGTGTTTTTTTATTATTATTATTGCCCCATCGTGTCCGCTTGCCTTCACATTGCCATACTAGATCGATTCAGGTGTTCGCATGCTTACAAACCCCCATCTATACAGTAGACGTTGCGCTGATAGAGTTTCCGTTCCGTGCCCAACCAGAGTCCGACCCGTCGCTGCTTTCGGATTTGTTCCTTCCAGTCGAGCTTTAAAAAAGGGACGTCAGAGTAAGGGCCAAGAAAATACTCCAACATCCTCTGTCGTCATAATCCCAAAAGCCTAAATACAATACGTCAGTCGGTTGCTTAAACACTTTTTGGTCCCTCTTTCCGGCCGCATTATCCAATCAATATTCACAAAAACACACCTTTTTTTGGTTTAACCCTCTCCATTCTTCTCGATCTTTGACAATCGCCTTTTTTTTGGGGGGGAACTTATTTTTCTTCTGGTCGGGGTACATACACTTTAAACTACGTTACGACGAATTGGAACTAGGACGGGGAGGCGATACCCGAGTACGCTGTCGTCATAGTTGATTATCCCTCTTTTCATTTTTTATTTTATTTTTTTTCCTTTCGGTTCTGGAATCAACATACTGTTCTATACGGGGACGGACGGGTAGAGGGAAAGAAAGACCAGTAGCAGAGGATATCTTCTTCCGTTAAGACAAAATGTCGGCCGCTGTAGCTACTCGACAGTCTCAGGGACCGTCGAATCCCACATCACGCATCAACTCCCCCCTCGATACCAAACGACATTTTGATGGTAAGTGACCACTTTTTTTTCTTTCTTTTCTTTTCTTTTATGGTATTATTTCTTAATTCGGTTTTATTTGTCTGTGTTCCCTATCCCATTGTTGTCATATGATCATGTTGTTCCTCCCCGAGTATCATGCAGTACATGCAATGCATGGTGATAATATGTCTGTGCTCTATCACGGAGGCTTGTGTGGGTGTACTCGGAGGGAGAAGAGAGGAGGAGTCAACTCTGTGTGCATGTGCGTGTGTCTGTCTGTGTGTGTGTGTGCTGTTAATGTTGGATCGCCCGCTGTGACCTTCCCATCTTACCTGCCACATCCCCTCCCCTCCCCAAATCCCTTCTCCCTCGTGGATATGCCGTCATCACCATCATCATCATCATCATCGTCGTCACGGCAAATCATCACTTCTCGAACCTCACCTTTCGAACCTCACCCTTCCAGTCCGATATCGCCAGAATGCCATCCATTCTAGCGGCGTCATCGTACATACTAGTTAATAGATTCAATAGTAGTACTAACATCATTCACCATGCGTCCAGAGCCAAAGCGAAACTCCCCACAGGTCTCCAATCGGGATCTCTCCAAAGGATCCCCAAAAGCTACAACGAAACAAGCCCCCACTAGAGCAGCCGCCGCCTCAAAGGCGACAGAGTCAGCCACAAAGGCTTCGACATCGACATCCAACAATAAGTCCGCGGCTGTAGCATCATCCGATTCGAGTCCTAAGAAGACACGCGACCAATCGCTTCCTCCTCCACCCCCCCCTCCTCCACCAGCCGTACCCGATGAAGGTGGAGACTACTTTTCGCAAGTCCCTAACAAATACCGTGAAGAACCAAATCCATTCGAGGAGTCCTTTTCGAAACCGGACGTTTTAACGCCGGGCAAGGCTCTTCTTCCCCCGGCTTCCCAAATCGCTTCCCCGAATACCAACTTTGGAACCGCAAGTGGGTTCAATTGGGGTCTCCACTCCCTCCGATCGGGGCCTCTGTCCCCCGCCATGCTGACAGGACCATCCGCACACGGATACGATGCCTCTTTGAGGACCGGACTAACTCCCAATGAGTCCGGTATCCGATCTGGATTGACACCGGGTGGATCAGGTAGTATGTTCCCAGCTCCATCACCAAACACACAAGCACTTTTTGGATTCGGCAGCGGACCGACACCCGGTACACTCGAGTTTCAAAAGACCGCAATGGCAGCTCAGGCTGTAAACAGGGCTTCAAAACCAGCAGTTATCTCCCAAACAATCCCCATTGCTAAACCCGATGAAAATCCTGACGTCATGGACGTTTCGGGGATCGCCGCCGTGAACTCTATCCCGCAACCACCACAACAACGTCACCCTTCGGATCCTTTTGGAGTAGATGCTAATGCCGCTGCCAACGGCTTGTATATGCTTGCCCAACAAGGTCAGATACACCAGGCCGAAAATCGAATCGTCCCGGCTAACATTCCACAAGCAATCCCAGTTCCCACAACGAATGGCTCCGTGCCAATGAGCATTGACCCCGCCAATAGCAATATAAAACGAAACTCTATTACTACTAGCGGACACAGCAGGAACGCTAGCACCGCAACCCGTGGCCAGAGCGAGGCCAGTGATGATATGGCTGGGAGTGATGGCGCCGATGCTGGTGCTGCTAAAGGGAAGAAGGGTAAATCGACACCCGGGAAGAAAGGAGGCGCGATCAACGCAGGTGTTACAAAACCTACTGCTGGAAATCGACGAAAAGCAGAGGAAATTAAAGTTGGTGCAAATAAGAAGAAGAGGGCCATGTCCCCCGAAGATGAGGATGAGGACATGGATGATGTCGACGATATGGATGATGGAGATGATGGCAAGGATGGCAATGGTCAGGATTCGAAGAAGATGACCGATGAGGAGAAGAGAAAGAACTTTTTGGAAAGGAACAGGTAAGGAAATTAAATTTATGATTCTATATTTGATTTTTGGGGTTGAATATTTTACTGATTTTCTATAAAAAAAAAAACAGGGTTGCTGCTTTGAAGTGTCGCCAAAGGAAGAAACAATGGCTGGCTAACCTCCAGGCCAAAGTTGAATACTACGGTGCCGAGAACGATGCTCTGAATGCTCAGGTCACCAACCTGCGTGAAGAGATATTGGCTCTCAAGACCCTGCTCCTCGCGCACAAGGACTGCCCTGTCAGTAGAGCACCTGGTGGGCCGCCTATGGGAGGGCTTGATGCATTGGGTGCCCTTAGTCAGGGTGACTATGCTCAGCTTCACCACGGGTACCCAGTAGCACAGGTTAGCATGGCTCCACCTGGATCTCGACGGTTCTCGTGAGACCTTGTACATTCTGTGCTTGCACCATACTCTCCCGTCTCAGCATCCTCCCGTGATGAAATGTCACGGGCAACAAACGCATAGTTGGGAGCCTTTATGCCGTATTTTTTGGGTCTCATTGTTTTTCTGGGTTATTAAAGTTCTTTTAATATTGGGAACTCGTCGCTTTCCCATCTGTATTCCACATACGCTCGGTCGCCATTGAGTGGTGACGAGCCGGCTTTTCCATTTTTTCCATTTTCGAGGTGTCAGACTGTACGATTTTACTGGGAGTATAGGGATGGTGGAGATATCACATATGGGTTTAATGTCTCAGCACCTTTGGATTTTTATCTGTCTTCCCATCTTTTTTCTTCCCCAGTGCCCTTTTTTGCTGTTGTGCAGTTACAAAATAAGGCTGCAACCTAAAAGAATACCCCTCTGGCGTCCTTCCCCACCGCATGATCCCCTTTCTATGATGAAAATAAAATGTCCTTTTTTCTTTTACTCTCTCTCTCCACACTTCTCTCTTCCCCCCAGCCTTCTCATTGGGCTGTATACATCATCAACATTCCTCCTTAACCTAGTCCGCGCGTTTTTGTTTATTATAACTCATGCCTCATGATGACAGATCCCCCCCTTATCCCCTACCTCCCCTTCAATACGTTCCCCCACCCCATTTTAATCTGTCTTTCGGGAGGCGTTTTTAGAATTGGAAATAAATTTCTTTGCTACTCGTCCGTGCCTTCACTTTTCCCCGCCCCCTCACCCTCTTCGTCTCCGTCCTCTTTTTAAAAACCAAAAATTGACCTCGCTGATTGTACTACTCTAACATATTTTGATTTGTGAGCTGGAGGGATTTTATTCTCTGTCTGTCTTCATTTTTCATTCTGGGTTTTTCCTCTCTCTCTTTTTTTTCTCTCTCTCCTACTTTATCAATCGATCCTGTATTGACTGCATTGCCTGCCTTGGTTGCAAGTTTAACGCTGTTTATATGTGCACTTTTTTTTTTTTCCTTGTTTACTTCGTTCTTCGACTTTTTTTTTACTTTTCGAAGATGGGTTTTCTATGGGCGAGTTTTTTTTTTAAAAGATTTTTTATATATTTTATATATTACTACTTGCTTTTTTCTTGTGTACGTATATGTGATAAACCATCTAGTGAATCATCTATTGCTTATATTATCTATCGGTCTGTTGGTGGTCATCATGTGTCGTAGATTTATAATTCATCAAATGGATCTTCTAAGATGCAGTGGAGCGAGGAGAGAGAGAGATGGGAGGTTTCTGTGTTGAGCCGACGAGGCCCAAACCATCTTGAGAATTTTCCGCCTCGCCAACGTCAACCGAACAATTTTAGAGCTTTCAACCACCACCACCACCACCACCACCACCACTTCATCAAGGCCTCGCCAGCCAGCCAGCCAGAGTCCATCATCACCATCATCCACAATGGCCACCCCTTCGATCTTCACAATGTCATCTCTAACCTCCTCCCTCCCCCCAATAACCCAATGCACCCGTCGACGACTCCTAACCCAACATCAGCAGCTACGGTATAAATCCACAACCAGGCGGATGACCAAAGCCCTCCGTCTACACCCTCACGGCTCCTTCATCGGTACAGCCTCCACGATACCATCACGATCGGCTACTTCTCGAAACCTACCCCCTTCTACGAATAGTAGTAGTAGTGTATTACCAACGATTATTCATAATCCACCGTCTGCTGCTCCTACGCCTTATATCACCCCTCGATTGTTCGTTCCGAGTGTTGATCCTAGATATGAGGTGCCGAGTGATACTGCAATTCTTACATCTCCGCCTTTGGCGAATTATGCGCCTATAAATCCTCGGCCTGAGATTACATCATCTACATCATCCACATCATCATCCAGCGGAGAAACAACAGAAGAAGCAACAGTAGAAAAGCTACCACCGGCATTATCACGCCCTTACCAAAAGACATACCATCTAAACGAAGCAGATATCAAAAAGATACAACAATTGAGAGGACAGAATCCGGATGTTTATAGTAGAAATAAATTGGCCAAGATGTTTGGATGTTCTGAGTTTTTTGTGGGGATGGTGGCGCCTACTACTGAGGAGAGGAAGAAGGAGATGAGGAAGAAGGAGGAAGGGGTTAGGGCTGGGTGGGGGAAGATTAGAAGTTTTGCTAGAGAGGAGAGGGGGAGGAGGAGGGAGTTGTGGAGTAAGGATTTGTAAGTAGTAGTGGTATTATTTATTTGTATATAGGAATTTTTATGTGGATTTGTTCGATTGAAGGTTGTATTATTTTTTTATATTTTTAGATTTGATATATCTCGAATATTTAGTGTATACTGATATTCGATGTCTGTATCACGAGGTTGTATCAATGACACATTGCATATGTATATTAGGTACTTACATACATACATACATACATACATACATGCCATACGGGATAAATTAAATCCGTGAATATAATCAATTAGGATAGAATATAATATTTAATTATCGTGATATCATAGATATCCCGTCACGGCCAGCCAACCCCTCGCATGACAGGTATTGGCACACACGACTTCCATAACCGTCCATTGGGCCTTGTTCAGTTCCATCTGTGGTTAAAAGGTTAGACGCGGGTAGCCGAAATCCGATAATCAAAATCAAAAGGAAAAAAGACTTCACGTTACCTCCCCTCATTTCGACATTCTTTTTATCACATTCATCGTCTAATCATCCCTTTGCTCCTTCCTCCTTTTTAGAACAAAAAAAAAGAAAAGATAAAAGAAAGAAAGAAAGAAAAGATAATTCACTCGTATGTTCAGATTGTCCTGTCGAATTGGACAAACGGTGGGTATAAATAATCTCCAGATCGTCCCCCGCGGTGGTGTACTTGTGTCCAAGTTTAGGTCGAGGTTGTATTCTTCTTCTTTTTCTTGTTGTGATAAGTTTGTTGCATTTAAGGACGCTGCCCCACCACCACCACCACTAACCGGAACTACGACATCATCTGCACCCCGCCATTTACATCTACATCGACGGTTTACGGACGTGAAGACTGTTACTACTGTTAGAAGAAATTATACTACTACGACTACTACTACCGCCAAAATGCCGGTTGATTTGACTGCTTATTATAACCAGTATGTTTCTCCCTTCTACGATAAATATGTTTTTATTTTTAAGAGAGTTTGGCGGGGGGTGTTTTTTTGTCGACTTTTGGATTTTAATGGATAGATACTGATTGGTTGGATTTCGTCTTCCTCTTTAACGATGACAGGGTCGACGCTCTTGAGGATGCTTTCATTCAGAGTAAGTTTTAACTTTCTTTTTTATTTATATATTTCTTTAGTATGGTTGGAATGAAAAGGATTGTACTGACGATGATGGATGGTGTTAAGGACTTCGAAAGGCTGTCGCGATACCATCGGTATCCGCTGAACCCGAGCGTCGTGATGATGTTCGCGCTGTACGTTACCCCCCACGACCTATTAAACAAATATATATACATCTTCTAATAAATAAACCCGGTAATATAGATGGCAGACTTCCTAAAATCCGAACTAGAAACCCTAGGCGCCTCAGTCCAATACTACTACCCAGGGGAACAATCACCCGGTTTGGATCTACCCCCCATTCTTTTGGGAAGATACGGAAATGATCCCGCGAAACGGACGATTCTTGTTTATGGACATTATGATGTTCAGCCTGCTTTCAAGGAGGACGGATGGGGAACCGATCCGTTCGATTTGACTGTTGATGAGAAGGGGAGGATGTTTGGGAGGGGTAGTACGGATGATAAGGGACCGGTTTTGGGGTGGTTGAATGTTATTGAGGCGCATCAGAAGTATTTTTTTATCCCCGCTCTTCTTTTTCTTCTTTTCCTCTTGTTTGTTTAATAGTGTGGAAGGTGCTAATGATGATGGTGGTTTGTTTTGAAGGGTTGGATTGGAACTTCCGGTCAATTTACTCATGTGCTTCGAAGGTATGGAGGAATCTGGTTCAGAGGGTCTTGAGGATTTGATCAAGAAGGAAGCAAAGAACTTCTACAAGGATACCGATGCCGTCTGCATTTCCGATAACTAGTATGTCCCCCCCCTTCTTCACTAACTTAAATCTATATACTAACAAAATATAAAAAAAAAGCTGGCTAGGAACCACCAAACCCTGCCTAACATACGGCCTCCGCGGCTGTTCCTACTACCAAATCACCGTCTCCGGTCCCGGTCAAGACCTCCACTCCGGCGTCTACGGCGGTGCAGTAACAGAACCCATGACCGACCTAACAAACATCATGACCACATTAGTCGATAACACCGGAAAACTCCTAATCGACGGGATTTACGACCAAGTCGCCCCCCTGACAGAAGCAGAAAGGGAAAGATACCAATCCATAGATTTCACCATGGATACCTTTTATGAAGCTTTGGGGTCGGAAACGGTTTGTACTGATGATGCTCAAGAGACGTTAATGCGTCGATGGAGGTTTCCATCACTTTCCCTCCATGGTATCGAGGGTGCCTACTACGCCCCGGGAGCAAAAACAGTAATCCCAGCGAAAGTAATAGGAAAATTCTCAATCCGTACAGTTCCAAACATGGAACTACCGAAAGTAACGGAATTGGTAACAGCGCATGTTAACAAAGTTGCAAAAACATTGAAGACGAATAATAAAGTCGAGGTCGGGTTGATACATGATGGGAAATGGTGGGTGGCGGATCCGGATCATTGGAATTTTAGGGCGGCGGCGAGAGCCACGGAACAGGTTTGGGGGGTTAAACCGGATCTGACGAGGGAAGGGGGGAGTATTCCGATCACGTTGACGTTTGAGGAGGAGACGGGGAAGAATGTGCTTTTGTTGCCGATGGGGACGTCGACGGATCAGCCGCATAGTATTAATGGTTAGTTTTTTTTACCTTCCCTCTTCTTCTATGTTTTGTGAATATGATGATGGATGGGTTACTGACGTGGTGTTTTTTTGGGGGAATATAGAGAAATTGGATAAGAAGAATTATATCCAGGGAACTAAGCTTTTGGGATCGTATCTTCACTTTGTGGCTGAAGAGAAGATGGAATAAAATACTTCTTTTAGTTGTGTTTTTTTTACAATCGGTTAGGGATGGTTAAGGAGGGGAGGTATTATTGTAATACCCGTTAACACTGGGATTATGGACTTCAATTCTTGAATCGTCTTTTTCTTTCTTTTTCTTTAGTAAAGCTCATTTACATATCTATTGTTAGTAGGTAACTTCTTTTTAAAAGAAATTACAAGAGCAAATAACAGAAGACAATATGAAATCGAAATGGTCATGAATATAAACCAAATACTTTCAGGAATAGTAGAAAAAGGTATTATTACAGAGCAATGTTGCTGTGTATCTATGATAAAAAAAAGTTAGAGTCGTTAGTCGATATCACCTCCCACCCCCCAGTGATATTGCAATATAAGTAAGTAGTTAATCCCCATCCTCCGTATGTCGTATGTCGTATACCATCCTTATCCCCTTGATTCCCTTATTCCCTAAATATCAAATAAAATGCTTAAATCAATACTAAATAAAAGAAGAACTCGCTGGCTGAACCGAAAAGAAAGAAATATCCAAAGAAATTACCCAGAAACTAAGAAAGAAAATAACCCCCCCCCTTCAACCCCCCATAATAACAATACTCAATAATAATAGTAGTTAAAACAAAAACTACTGCAACCTCTCATACCCCTCCCTCCCCCCAGCATCCTCCGGCAAAACCCACCCAACCAACCCCACCAACCCCGTAACAACCAACCCAACCCCCCAAGAAACCATACAAAGCACCCAACAAACATCCAACCTCCAACCCACAAAGAACCGTTCATCATTCTCGTACACATAACTCACCAGCGACATCGCAAGGAGTTGACATGTTACTGATATTGATAGTAGGAGTACTAGGAATTTCCAGCCGGATTTTCTGATTGTGTTATTCGTTGTCGTATTATTGCTATTGGTGGTAGTATTGTTATCCCGGGTGGTGGTGGTGGTGGTGGTGTTAGGGGAGGAGAGTATTAATATAAAACATAAACAAGTAAGAACTTCAACCGATACAGCCAGGTTCATGAGGTAATTCGTTGATTTCCATAATGAACAGAAATGCGCTGAGTCCTCGCAGTCTTGAAGGGTGGGGAATGGGCGACAGATTGTTGTTGGGTTTGTGAGGGATGGACCTGTGCGACAGCTGTGACGGAGACCGTAGGTTTGGGTTATGGGGCCTGAGGACTATTAAAAATTAGTTTTGGTTTGATTGGTATGGCGAGGGGGGGGGAGGGGGGTATGTACGGTTTCGTAGGTGTAGGAGACCCAGCGGGGGAGGGTTATTGCTGTTAAGGTGAGGATTGAAGCTTTGATATGGTGACACGTGATTAGCATTGGGTAGGTGATTACTTAGGTAAGTGGGTAATACGAACCGGAGGCGAAAGCGGCGAATGATGCGCCGTAGAAGATTGTGCGGGACATGTTATATTACTAATTCCTTCCTTCCTTCCCTTTTTTTATATTTTAGACCATGTGAAAATGTGAAGACTAGTTAACTAGAGAAAAGGAGAGTGGCGATGACGATGGATGATAGATGCAACTGTGTTTAATGACTGGTGTGGAATGTAAGGCGAACAGCCCCGTCTGGGGTTTTTATGAAAAAGTGTGGTGTGCACTTTTGGTTTCTTGTTTGTTCGGTTTCGCTGAATGAAAGGTGGGAAAAGAGAGCTTACGTCGGCTTGAGAACTGTGGGGGGTGGATTCTGCGCTGGTAATTTTACCACTTCTTTTGAAGGGCCCGGTTTAAAACTTATCGCCTGATAGTGTGTGTTTACGCGGCTTCTCATTCATTTTTGAGAGCTTGAGGGGAAGTGGTGGAAATTACTGTTCTTATTTTATATATTTAGTAGATACCTCTTACCTATATATATAATAAGTAATTATAGCTAACCCGTTTTAGACTCTATACCTTTAAAGACTCGGTGTTAGAGATTAATTAGATCCGTTTAAATAGAGAAAGTGGTATACACTTCTGAATGTTTAATAGAAGTACAGGTCAAACGCTGAAAAGAAGCAGTATCTCAAGTATCAATATTGAAGTCCATGGGAAAGCTGAATGCTAAGTATGTGTATGGTTCGGAGGCTATGGTTTTTTAGTTATAAAACCCTTCCCGCCGTTGACAGCATAAAAAATAGGTTATTGTTGGTAGGATCACTTAAGATCAATAAAAGAAAAACCTATCAAGGTCGCCTATACGAAGGAGGATTAGTGGAGCATCGGATATAAACCCAGACCTGAGAGTGTTATATGAATGCATAACATTTCTGAACCAATCTATTTTTCAAAGAAATCAAATACGATCTCGCGAGCTTCAATTCTATTAAAAAAAGAAACATCAATCAACATCAAATGAACCCCTCCCTCCCCACAAAGACTCCCGCTCAAACAACATATTTTTCTTTTGGAAAAATAAAAATAGATAAATAAGTTTTTCACCCATGTCGATGCCTCTTCTTCTGCGGCATCCCTCCAAATTGCCCATCAAAGTCAAATACGTAACCTCCATTCCCCGACCCACTGGCTCCATCATACCCCCCAGCCCGCTTCCCGTGTACAGCAATCGTATCATTCGCCCCATCGGCTCCACTGTTATTATTTCCACTATTCCTATTCTCCGGGAAAGTCGGCATCATACTCGTCTCCTTCGGAGCCGGTGCTTCCCTGAAATACTCATGGCTCAAACATTGTCTCGCCGTAACCCTCTTCTCAGGATCATACGTCAAACAAGAGTTGATCAAATTAACCGTAGCAGAAGAAGTGGCCCCCAAAAACAATATCTCTAATTGATTCTGTCGTTGTGGGTTTTGAATCCTATATTTGAGTTGGTGGTACGATGGCATAGTGTGGATTTTGGGCCAGATGCGATCGTTAGGGACACCCAATAACTGTGCGATCTTGTTGAGTTGGTCGATTTCGTTTTCTCCGGGGCAGAGGGGTGTTCGTTTGATGATTTCACCGATCACCATTCCTGCTGCCCAGATGTCCACCGCCTGCGTGTACCGGTTTGCGCCAAGGAGGAGTTCGGGGGAACGGTACCAAACTGTGACGACGCTAGGCGTCATGGGACGTTCTGCGTACTCACGGGCGAGACCGAAGTCGGCTATTGAATTTGTTGTTTAGATACGAAAATTCGAAATATGGAGGGGATAAAAGGTTTTCATACCAATCTTGAGGATACCCTTAGCGGTGAGTAGGAGATTACTAGCTTTAATGTCTCTGATAAAATCAAAAACTTCGTTAGTTTGAATTTCAATAGTTTTTTGAATAAGTAGAACATACCGGTGAATGACATTTCGGTCATGCAAGTACTCCAACCCCTCGAACAGCTGCTTTGCCAGGCATTTAACTATTCCTCTATTTAGTTCCTATTCCCAAATCATAGTAGATAAAAAGGTCTTACCTTCGCTTTGAGAATAATTGACTCGTGCGTAGTCAAGAAGATTGGCCAAGTCCTAAGAGTATTGCAACCTCGGAGCAGGAGCGCTGAATACCCTCGAGAAAAAACCTCCAATCATCCGTCAGGATCCCCTCTTCTTCTTCTGGAACCAAAAGAAAAAGAACAGACCTCCGACTTCAGAAAAGGTAGGATTTTCCAACAAGGGATTCAAGAATAAGCCAGCCAGGTGTGTCTTCCCGTCTTCCAAATAGAACCCCTCCTCCTCCTCCTCCTTCCTTAACAAAAAAGAAAGAAAGGAAAAAAAAGGAAAAAGGAATTCCCAATATACAAAAACATATCACAAAAAAGTTAAGGACCAACCTGCTCAGCATATTCCATCACCATATAAACATCATGCAACTCGTCTCCCACGGCGACATCGAGCACCCGAACCACATTCCTGTGCTTCAAATCGCGAAGGAGGAATATTTCGCGAAGCGCGGTGATGGGGATTCCGTTGTTGCGGTCTTCGTCGAAGATGCGCACTTGCTTGAGCGCGACGATGGCGTGTTTGTCCGTTTGATTCGTGATTTTGCGATCTCTGGCGCGACGGACGACGCCGTATGCTTTTTTTTTTTTAAAAAAAATACTAGTCAGAATATATTGTATCTCCAAGTATGCATATTTTTTAGAGAGACGAACTTCCTTCGCCAAGTTGGTTCAATGACTCGAATTCATCGATATGTCTGCACTTTCCTATATATCAAAATTAAAATTAAAAATAATTAGAAAAAAAGCTGATAATATATCCACAATATGTATTCAAACAAACCTAAAAAACCCTTATCCAAATCCAACTGCAACGGTTCGCCCGTGATAGACATATACTTAGGATATCGGCTCGGATCATCCTCTTCCTCTTCCTCCCTTTCGCGACCGCGTTCTCTTTCCCGTCGTGACGACATTGTCGATGTTCGTTATGGCCTTGTGTGTTATGGGCATGGGATGTAGGAAAGGGTTTAGAGGAAGGAAGGAAGGGAGAGAAAGCTCTCAGCGACACTTGATCATGGGGTATTACCAGCGCCGTGGGAACGGAACGAGCTCCCATTATGAGACTTCCCTTCCACGTGATTGGTTGGTTTTTGAACTTCCGGGGCAACGCATGTTGGGTGTTGGAATTTATTTTGGTTGCTTGGAAGGTTGAATATTAGGCATATGTGGATGGTTTTTTGAAGTTTCTTTAGCTTTGGTGGAGTTTATTTTGCTAAATGACTGTATGATATGGAATATTGTAGGATGTTAGTTGGGGCTCGAGGGTTGATTATTTCGGTCTAGTATTCAAGGTAGATTTGACAATAATTAGCTGTTTGTAGAAGTCTATCCTGTTCGTTGCTAGATATTTTTTGATGAAACTTCAAGGGCTTGCATTGCAAGGGGAGTATCATCTCACATGGCACTTGATTTTCAATTTTGTGATATCACTTATCCATTCATCTGATTTTCTTTTTACGAAAGCTGTCCTGGTCCTAGATATCAATACGCAGCGCTGAGTTTTGCCTGATGACGAATGCTTCCAGTTCCCCAATCAATCCCACTAACCAATGGTAATACCTCGATCTTAGATTGTCCCCCAAAATATATTTGAATTTGTGGCACAAAATCAAGGATTTAAATCTTGTTACTTCAGAAGAAGAAGAAAAAGATATCTCATACAATTGGTGTTTTCGTAGCCTCGAAGATATAGAAATGCGGCACAGATGGTCTCGTGTTGCGGCACATATCTGGATCATCTGGATATTTATCTGATCCTTGAATTGAATCCTAGAAACAACAGGCTAGATTTGATTGATATGGTTATCTTTGTGATTGTATTATTTTGATTAGGATTATCACATTTCTTAGGGATGTTTTCATGGAAGTTGAAGTATTGGAGGACGAGGCTGCCATACTACGAGTAGTGAATGAAGGCCAGAATGCAACGTAGACAACACATGATCCGGATCGATCTAGGTTGTACATACCTGCAGGTGGAACAAGAATAGTATTAGCCTGGTTATTAGGTAAGGTATATGCGACAAGGGAATATAATGTGACTCCATCGATAATCCCCACCATACATATTATGATGTGATATATGCAGTAATCGAAACCACTTTTTTCTTTTCGTCGCAAAAATTCTTAAACGTTAAGATCTAGTACTTTATAACATAACCGCAGCCGTGTTTGTCATCCCAACTTACCTGTTTGTTCTCCCCAAAATTGAGCTGACGCAAAGCGGGGATCCCGAGTGGGTGGGTGCCTGCATTAACCTCTTCTTTTTTTTTGCGGTTTCGTAGATCCTCCACTAGTTTTTTTCTTTCTTTCTGTTTCGTTTCTTTCTAGCTTTTATGAAGGTCAGGGGGCTTTGAGGGGAGTAGCCGCTGGTGTTTCTTCTTTTGGAATCAAAGGAATCATCGATTTGGTTGAAGAGAATTAATTAGCGTTTTTTCTACCTCAAGCTCCCGCGCAGCGCTGGCAGGACAACTCGAGATTTGGGGCCAGCCTGGATTTCGTCTATAAGTAGATCTGGGGTACAGATCGATGAGACTGTTTATTATCGCATTCCCTAACAACCTTATCTGATCTACACCAATACTAGGAGTTTCAACAATCGCAATTCATTATCTTGATCAACTTCATTTTTACCTATATATTCCCCCCTTAAAAAAACAATTAATAAAAAAAAGTTTATATAAAATCTAAGAGAGCGAAATCTCAAATCTCAAATCCCAAAAAGAAATATATAAAAAAATGGCACCACCAGAATCAACATTCGTCGATACCTCAGAAGGCATTTCCACCCTCCTCTCCTCAATCCCTATACCAGACCAAACCTCCACCCCATCAATATTCATCGATCTAGAAGGCGTAGACCTCTGCCGTACGGGTTCAATCTCCATCCTCCAACTCTTCATCTCCACGATCCCCCACATCTACATCATAGACATCCACACACTCGGGAACATTGCATTCACAACTCCATCTTCCACTAACGCATCAGTAACTCTGAAGAGTATCCTCGAGGATCCCACCATTCCAGTCGTATTCTACGATATTCGAAGCGATAATGATGCTTTATACCATCATTTCTCAATCCAGATTTCTAATGTAATCGATCTACAATTATATGAATTGGCAACACGAGACGGGTTCATCTCCAGCCGTCGATTCCTCCACGGTCTTTCCAAAGCAATATTAGCGAACGCAGGTCTTTCCGCAGCTGAAGCGGTAAGAATGGATCATGTCAAACAACGTGGGTTACAGTTATTCGCTCCGGAGAAAGGGGGTAGTTATGAGGTATTCAATCGTAGACCTTTACCGGATGAATTGTTGGAGTATTGTGTTCAGGATGTGCAGTATTTACCGGTGCTGTTGAGGAATTTTAAGCAGAGGCTTGGGAGGATGGATAGGAGGTGGATGGAGAGGATTAGGGCGGAGACGGAGGCTAGGATAGCGTTGTGTAGGAGGGATTCGTTTCCTAAGGGGAGGCAGAACGCTTTGGCGCCGCGGGCTTTTCAGAATTTTTTTAGATAGTTTGGAAAGGGTGTTATTGATATCGATATTAGGTATTTGGCTGGTTGATTGTGTGAGGAGTTTGTACTAGCGCTGGGCTTTTTTCTTCTTCTTTTCTTCTAAAGATGATAATGGTTGTAGCTAGTTTTTGTGCTTTCTGTTGGATTGCATATTTGCTGGTTAGCCTGCATTTCGCCCGGTGTAATCCTGTCGCTTTTTCAAATGGTTTTTTGAATTTTGTTTTTGTTATACCTGATAGATTATGATATATCGGGCTTCTGATTTTAATACTCCTAACTTATACTTTGTCCTTAGCTATTTCTATAATATAAAACAGCTATCCTTACCTTTAAAAAATGTTTTAGGAACGAAATCGTAAAGTTTTATATCCCTAAATTAAAAGAATTCCACGACAGGTACTCAAACTTTGTAATATATTTTGATTATTTTTTAAGATCACCTTCTCCGTAACTACTAGGACTGCGAAGCGCTATTATCCGCGGTTACCGCTAGTCCATTTCTGATATCCTTATCGACAAGTATTCAAATGACAACGCTCGATACAGCAGGAAGTAGTCTACCACCATGTGGTTGAGGTCGAAAGAACATTTCTCTACAACCTGTTGTTATTCGAATAGCGTGAAATCCCTAGTTTTCATAATTTGTTTTCTTTTCCCTCCTTTCTTTACTTTCTCTTCCAACTGAGTCTCGATAATATGCTTCTTACTCTGCCGCTTCATCAGCGGCGGGTGCGGCAGGCTTCATCTGATACACACCGTGTACATTCCCCTCACTATAATCAACAACCACATCAGTCAGCCATAAATCACACTGAAAAATATAATAAACGGACAAGAAACAAGATTATATAACTCACGTATCTTCAAACAACCCCACAAGTCCATGTTGCCCCTCCGGCTTCTTCTCCTCTCTAACCTTCCCTCCCAATTCCACAATCTTCTCGAGTGCTTTATCCACATCCTCCACCATGAAATACAAAATCGTTGATCCGGAAGGTGTAGAATTAGAATCAACTTTGCAGATACCACCGGTTAAGGAACCACCGGGGTTTGGGAGGATGAACATTGCGATATCTTCTTCGTTGTAGCCGGCCGGGGTGGGTTTGAAGGAGAATGAGAAGGCTGAGGTGTAGAATCTGTGTTATATTTTTAGTATATTCCCTTCTTTTCCTTTTTAATTATTTAACTATAAAGAAAAAGTATGTTCCGTGTAACAACATTTCTCGATATCGATATATCGATATTGATATTGATATTGGGGAGGAAAGGATGTGTTGCACATACGCCTTACTCCTTCCCACATCCGTCGCGGGGATCTGAATCCAACATACACTCCCAACCGGCGGAGGAGTCCATTTCGCAGCTGCATCATCCGCTGTAGAATCCGTTTTGGCCTTTTCCGTCCCGTTTGTATCTTTCCCCTCAACGACCATTGTATCAACGTCCGCTTCAGGTGCGACGGAGTCAGTGGTAGCAGCAGCAGTTATAGCTTCAGCACCATTTGTGTCGACATCATCATCATCATCAGCGGTAGTAATATCAACGATATCGTCGGTTTTGACCTTCTTTTTCAAGGGGGAGTCTACGTTGGGAGTCGGCTCTGTGACGTCGGTGGAGCGTTTTTCAGACATGTTGTGGAGGAGGGGGTCTTAGATTTGGTCTTCATTGTTAGTAAGCTATAGATTGTATGTATATATCAAGCTGTGGATCTTGAAGGCCTCTTTGGGTTTGCATTTGATATCTCCAGCTTTTTATCGGCCAGCTAGCTAGCTGTAGCCAATGCAATGGTAAGGTATTAAAATGCGATGCGGTAGCAGAACCGAGACGAGACGGGCCGGCGATTGCATATGTGTCCATTGGATTGGATTGGATTGGATTGGATTGGATTGGATTGGATTGGATTGGATTGGATTGGATTGGATTGGATTGGATTGGATTGGATTGGGGAGGGTGGTGATATGACGTACAGGTATATACGATCGCGACTTTGAAGCCAAAAGGTTCGGATATCACGTAAGAGTAATAAGAAGAGCCAATCGGGACGGGTAATACAATTGATGACGCGAAAAGCTTAAAAGTAATATAGAGAGCCCAATCGATCTTTTTACAAATTAAAAAAGAATCTTGAGCTTTAGAAGAGAGTATGGTAATAGGAATTTAATTCGAAGGTTCAAAATCAAAAAAGACTCGAAGTCAAAATCATAAAGTGCGGATCGAGGGGGAACACGCGCCCTTTTGAACCCTCAGTCTTCCCACACCCCCCCATCAACCCTCTTCGCCGGGTCTGGTAAGCCTTCTTTTTTCTTGTTGTGTATGTATGTAACTTCTTCGCCTTGTCTTGTCCCTTCGCCTTGGACCCGGGCTTCATACTACAAGTATGTAAGTAGTATGTAAGGTATGTATGTAATTGTACTAACCAAATCCCGTGCGAACGTGTTGGGATCCTTTTGTCCTTTGTTGCTTTCTCTACCATGAATTACTTACTTGCTTCTTTACCTCCCAGCAGAAGTTAGCAGTGTATTATAGTATAGCATAGTATAGTTATAGTATGGGGTTACCGGCATCTGCATTGCATTCCAAACCAAGCCTGGCCTAGCCATCGATGCGAGGGGCACTCACTCGCTAATATGCGGCTGTTCGCTGCAATCAAGTAACGAACATCCAATCGGCATTTACTTACACCCATAGGCTTGTGCTCAAACCAGCATAACGTTGGGCAAAAAAAACCAATTGTCTCTCCCCTCCACCTTGGAAGCATGGTCGGTAAGTATATACTTGTATTAAATGGTCGTGTGCATGAAAGGTGTGGGTAAAAAACAAAAAGGTGTAACCCGGATCCCGCGATCCATGAGGAGAGCCCTGTCGGCTCCAACCGTCTAGCTTCTGGCTACTACGCTGCTCAGAGGCTAGTCAACTCTAGTCTCCATGCATCGCATCGGGTGCCAATGCATTGCATTCCAAGTTTTGCGAGAAAAAAATCCTAACTAGCCAAGGATCACTAATGATACCAGCTAGTAGTCAATCTGCAGCCTCTTTCCTTTTGGGAGTTGCCTTTCAGCTCTAGAACTGTCGTATGCAATCCGGGTGTAACGAAAAAAACCGCCGGCCGTTTATCGAACTAGATCGTACCACATGCACCGTGCGCTGTACTTACATGTATATACTCGAAAGCAGAGACACCTCGAAATATCCTCTATCTTCTAATCCGCTGATGTATATATATACAATATAAAGAGAAAAATTCGAAGAAAGGATTTATATACAAATCGTACAATTCTCTCCTTAGCCAGACAGAAAATCGCACAGAGAAAAAAAGTATGTCCAAAGAATAGAACAGTTATATGCCAGTAAATTTAAAAAAGAGCTCGCAATATATACAACCCGAAGGGGGGGAAAATACCACAAACTTACATTTACATCTCCTTTGTCGAATCGTATATATAGTCATCCATATCTTTACGCCCTCCGCTTTCCTCTTCGTCATCCTTGGGCAGGGCTGCCTGATAAGCAGCTTCAAAGTCTGCTCTAATCTGCGCATCAACTTCCGCCTCGCGCACAGCATCATTCCTCTTCAATCTCTCCGTATTCACTTTGTCGTGATCATCCCAAAAGAAGCCTTCTTCTTCCTCGTTTCTGTTCTCTTGATCTTCATAGGGGATAGGCGGCTTCTTCCACGAGCTAATTGCATCGCTCAAAGCCCCACCCATCTCACGTTCTAAAAATGGATTGTTAAAGTGAGCCTCTTTCACTTCATCATAGTCATCATCACCGCCGCCACCGGATAAATTAAGGGGATCCAAGTCGTCGCTGATGATGTGCTCATAAAACGCGTACAGGTCTTCCTTACCTGCCAGCATCATTCTCTTCTCTTCTTCCTTTTCTCTTTCAAATTCCTGTATATCGGCCTGGCTTAGGCTCTTGATGTCGGGTATTATCCGGCTTGGCCTATCGATCGGTGGGGCACTCATCGATGGGTGATCGAGCCAACGGAGACTCAAGTGTGTCGGCATGTTGTTCATTAGAGCGTAGTTCTTAGCCCAGATCATTTCTTCATCTCTGATTCTTCCTTCCTTCTTTGCTGCTTCTTGCCGCTTCTTGACTCTCTCCCAGGCCAATATCTGTCCTATATTGTCGTCCCGGCCCACTCTTCGCACCTGGAACAAACTCCATGCCCATGTCAACATTGACCAGTCATGGCACTGTGGATGCTTCTTCCTCAAAAACAGATCCCTCCTCAACGCTGTCACCAAGTCTGCTGAAAAGCCCCGTCTTGGTTTAAACTTCTGGTGGGAGCTAAGATCCATTCTCAAGAGCTCCATTCGCATCCTAATAACCCGTTTCTCAAAGATCCGCATAGCTTTCTCCCTCTCCTTCACATCTTTGAGATCTCTCATAAACTCCATGTTCCGATAAACCCCTCCCTCACTAGCCAAATAACCCAGAGGATCTCTAGCCTTTGATATAAGCCTCATCGCCCAAACGGGGGTCTTAACCACCGCTTCAGTGTCCTCCGAACATACTCCCAACGCCAATTTCCCGGGCTTTCCAGCTGACCGTCCAGTTTCATAGATATCCGCTCGCATGCGATCGATCATTCCTTTCGTAGCCAGATTCCTTAAACAAGCGTGCGCCCAAACCGTTCTCACAACATTGTAATATCTAAATCTGTGCGCCTGCTGGAATATCATCTGCATGATATCACCTTCCGCTCTGATCCCGAACTTATCCTCAAAAATGCGGATAGCCCTGACCATCGGGATAATCGTGCCTGTAACTCGAGCTTGTCGAACGATAATTCTCATGGTCCCGTAGTTAGGCTGCATCTTCAGTTGCTTCGACGCTCTATCGAAAAGTGTCCGGGCGTCATCGTAGGCGTAGTTTTCGTATAGGAATTCGAGGATCGGGTTGAGTGTAGAAGCGTCTAGATGTATCCCAGCCAAATTCTTCCAAGGAACAGGAGCATTAATGTTCCCATGCCTCAGCTGATCTCTATACATCTTGAAAGAGAGCGAAATGAGTTGTCCGGGTGCAATTCTTTTCGGATCCAATCCAATCTTCTTCATTGTCTGCAGAACTTGAATTTGTTGGCCGGGTGTATGACAACATAACATCAAAGCTTTCCAAGTCTCATGATCGAACTTGATTCTCTTTTGCATCAGGCGTCGGAGGAGTCGTTCGAAGACGAATAGATCCTTGTGTTTGGCCGCAGATAGTAATCCTTCTCGGAAAGTTCCAGCATTCATGTGAATCTTTAAATGGTCCATAAGGTCAATCAAATGCCGTCCCTTCTTAACCTGATTCGCCCGCATCAAGTAGTTAATTGCAGCGTTGAAAATCTGTGTATTCAGAACCTTGTTTTGTTCGTGCGAGAGGATGAGCGAAACGATGGTACTCGAGATGAACTCGACGCTGTCTGTATACCCCGGTGGAAGAAGATATCTTATATCCTGCTTCGAGATTTTCAACGATGTTAGAGATTGTATCAACGCTAAAAGCTTATTGCTGGACAACGGTAGCTTTTTCTCGACGTTGACTCTAAAGACTTTTGCTAAACCCTCGAGGTCAATTTGTCCTAGATACTCGAGCCGGAATTCGTCAATCTCATTCGGTAGAAGGCCCGAGGACGTCCAGTTCTTCATCGAAGACATCATAGTGTCCCTCTCTTTCACCGTCGTTTCGATTAGCTGATAGCTATCCGGTTCCAAAGCCAACAATTCCTCTCGCGATTCTTGTGCAAGATCATCTAGCGGAACTGGCTTTTCTCCAGTTTCGAGAGAACCTCCAACCTCAGCAAGTTGTAATTTATGAAACGGCTCCCCACGGAATCGATACTTGGCTATCGTTTCCGGGGAAGTGAACCTCTCCAGCATGAACAATGAATTCGCAAAACATAACCGCAGATCAGGCGCATTCCACCAATGTCTTCGTTGCGCATACCACTCCGTGATACTCCCGACGTGCTCCCAGAAAAAACGAGTATATTCGATCTTCAGTTCTCCACGGGTAGGCTTCCAACCTTCCGGTCTACCCAGAAATACAGTGGGGTCACCGCTGCGGAATCGACGGCTGTAATCCACTTTGAACTTTTGCCAAATACTTTCTTCGTAGCCGTCAGTTATTGTTTCAGGCCTCGTGACCACATGGTCACGACGGCGGGCTCTTCGGGGTTCGACTAATCCCAAACCACCGCGGGCGAGGCGAGCATTCATGCGTTCAAGGTCGCGAACGAGAGAAGCACGGGTGACCTGGGGCTTTCGACGGAGCTGGCGATTTTCACCAAGTGTACGAGTCCAATCAGGCGCTCGGGTAGGATCTGCGAGCTCAGCAGCTACTCTTCGAGGGACAGGAGGTTGCGTAGCGATATCTCGGGGTGGTAAAGTTTCGTCCTCAAGGTCCGGGTCAGCTATATAGACATAATTGAGCTTGTCAGGATGTTCTGGTTTGTGACGTTGGTAGGGGTATATAGGCCGTTGGCGGTTATTGGGGTCATCCTGAATATCTTGTGACGGGTCGTCGAGGTCGTCAATAAATAGTTCTAAATCCTCGTCCTCAGGTTGTTCGTAAGGCTCTATATCCTCTCCCGTTCCATTCTCCAATCTCTCTAGTTCCCGCATCCGGGCATCATCATCCTCTAATCCTGCATCTTTCGAGTACCATCGCTTCCCCTGGCTCAACGAGCTCCTGTCGTTTACGCCCAAAAATACTACAGGTCGCCGCCACGGCAAAGTTCGTCTATCGAAGGCAGTTGTCGATCCGTTGGACGACCTAACCGTCTGTCTTCGGCCATTATTATTAATATTAATGTTAATATTATAACCCAGCCTTTTCTGACAGTCGCTACATATCCAATTGTAGCTTCGGCGGGCCCGTAGCGTCACCTTCTGGAGCATGGGTCGCAGAAGGGTGTGGTGGGGTGGAGAGGTGTGAAGGTGTAAAGTATTGATATTGGGCGCATCGTTCTACCTAAAACAAGTCATTGATTAGCCTAAGCCGTGTGGAAAAATAATTGAAAGGGAAACGATAGCGTGGAAATACCTAATGAACACCCCGCCGTAAATGGGCAAATCGCCCGTGGTCTTAATCGTGACTGGATGTCGTTCTGCTGTTTTTGTTGGATGTTAAAGGTGGGATGTGGCAGCAGGCCTGGCCGAAGCTAAAAAATATTTTTTTTGCTCTGCGGGATGAGAGGCCGAAACAACGCACACAAGATCCAACAGACTTCCTCGGTCAACCTCAAATATCTATCTCGAAATATCACATTGATAGTCTCAATAAATTACGTAAATACGATGGGTAGGCTCAGTATTATTATTTCGCAATGCTTAAGGAACCGATGTGGGAACGAATCAAAAATTACTATTACATTAACCTCCCTCTATACGAATCACACGACATCCTTCAACTTCGAAAACCCGCCTTCGGACGGCTGCAGCCAATTCTTCGCATCGTATTCATACTCCCCTTCAATCATATGAAAAGTATAGATCCATCTACTGTTCAAACTCCTATTCCTCTCACTCTTATGTAGCACACTCCCATGAATCAATACCAAAGTCCCAGCTTTCACCTCTGCCAATTGATACTTCTTTTCCTCCGCCAACTTCTCCCTCTCCTCTTTAGTCGGATGTGGAGCATGAACATCCGCAGGCCATGTTTCTGGAATATTCTCAAACCCAGTTCCATCTGCTCCGCCGTTTATCCGAACTAATCGGTTGGTAATCGGGGAGTACTTGTGCGAGCCTGGGATGAACCCAAGACATCCGTTTGTGATTGTACAATCTTCAAGGGCGTACCAGAACCCCATTGCCGATGGCGGGTTTGTGAACAAAAACGGCGAGTCTTGGTGAGAACCTACTTCGCCACCGATCTCTGGCTGCTTGCAGATAATCATTGATTGAAGAACTCGGGGATCTTTAAATCCGAGAGATAGCGCGATGCTGAGATTTTGAGGAGTGAGAGTCATGGCACGGAAGGCAGCGTCTTCTGTGTGTAGACCATGGCCGATTTTGTTAATAGACTTCTCTTTGGGACGAGTGAGGCTCCCAGTGGAGTCAAAGGCATCTAGACATATCATATTCAGTATTTATATTCATTACTTCGAAGTTGATGTGGATGCTCACCTTCTTCAAAGAAAAACCGAACCTTATCTCCACTCTCCAAGAAATACTGGTCACCAACATGCTTATTCCCTTTCTCGCCCGTCGAGAACTTAGTCATCGGATGTCCTTCCAACGAGAAATCCTCAAGCAAGGATTTCGTCCGCTCCTTCAACCCAGCAATAGTCTCAGCATCTAATGCATTCTCAATTAGGAGATATCCATTATCATGAAAGAATTGAACTTGTTCGTCCGTTAGGACTTGAGGAATTGTAGCTGATGGAGACATCTTTGTTTGGTATAATATTAAGATTCAAATCGTCGAAGCTACGACGAACGTGAACAAGTTTTTGAGATGACGTTGGAAGATGAAGCTTATGCATCGCCCAGCTGCCTTATCAGATATGCCTTTTTGTGAAGACCCGTTAACGTTACTTTAAGCCGGGGTGCATACCGGGATGCCCCGCCATCTGGCTGCATGCGCGTGCCGCCGCAAGCCGGTCCAACATTTTCAACACATATCTAATATATTATCAAATACTTCGATTGAATAGATCTAGAAGAAACTATTTTGACCATCCAATTTTTTTTAAAAAAGAATTGGGTTGGGGAGGCCCGAGCTAGTATAATAAAACCCTAAAATAACTTGGGAGGGTCCGAGGCTCCGTATTGTTTCTGGGTCTAGTTGCCTAAACTAGTGCAGTTAACCTGCTGGAGTAATTAGAAACACATTTATTTGCATTTAACACTGTACAGTAATCCTTTGGAAAATTAAACATCAATAACTAAAATTTCTTGATTTACAAAACATCAAGAGCCTCGCACCGTGATCGATGAGTAGGCTTTTCTATCCGGGATTCTCTAAACTCTATCTAAAACCTAGATCTGAACTGGCAGGGCTTACATAAAACGACATGTCAATAGAGTTACTATCTTTCAATATCTATTTTAGAAATTATATACTCAAAAACCACTAAAGAACCGACGCAGAATATAATATGCAGGAATGTCTTTGATCCCCAGGGGCAAAAAACCCGACTTCCATCAATTCTCTATCTCCAAGGATCGTGACTAGAGGAGTTTCGAAACACGGCCGGGAAGTGCCGTGCCCGTGCTCCAGCTAGATGTGCTATGGTATGCCATTAACAAATTCCGAACTTGGCAGCAGAGTCGAGAACATTAACACTGATTCTTGATCTATTGATTTGGAGATGATATGAAGTCGGTTGATTAACAGGGAGGCAACCTCGTACTATCATCGGCCCAAGCAAACATGCAATGCAACTCCGGCTTCTACCGTGATCGCCATGTATACACGTATATCCTTTATCTAGTCATAGACCGGTCGATCCAGCTACTGTAATAGCCGCCCTTTCATCGAATTCGTGGCTAACCTTCATGGAAAATCGATTTTTAAGATCTTTAATGCATATATTTCTTGATCTCGGCTATGTCCGTTTACTAAAGAATATCGATATGTATGTCTCAGGGCAAGGATAGAAATCTATATCTGCGATCTGGATTTAATCCGCATTCTGTTTAAGACACTCTAATCGAGTAATAAATCTCAAAAATCCTGCTTCTAAAAGTCGGCCCTGCCTGGTTTATACTTTTTATTTTTACAAACTGGGTCGATTGGGTTTTTAACTACGACGCCATAGCTAGTTACCGTAGAACCAAAGTGTGGACCGCGTCTGCAATACGAGACTACCGTAGAACACCGCAAATTGAATACTATTATAGTCTCGATACCCAATTAATTAGCTAGCTAGTCTCTTTTGGGTTATATTTCCCCGGAAAGTCTGCTTGCATAATCGATCTCTCTACTGATAAAAATGCAAGATTACATTTCAAGCCGCTGAAGCAAGTAATCGTGATTGGATGAGTAATGACGTCGCCAGATCTAGATATATATGTAAAAAAAGGTTTCTCCCAGCGCTATAGCCCCCTCATGACAACTCTAGATCCCCCAACCGAATCCGCTTCACATATGCCGAGATAAGACATATATCGTCAATCCATTTCCCAATGAGCTTCAAATACAGTTGTTCAGCCCGTTGGCGATCCCTTTGAGTTATTACGTACATATCATATCTTACGGATTCATCCAAAGGAAACAACCGATTCCAGAATCCTCTGAAAATTGAATTAATTAACTTTAAAGTCCTGCTCGAAAACTAGGTATCACAATGGTATATTCCGCCTAACATGTAACCCTAACACGGGATTGATTGATTCGAAGAAGGGGTCGGGTGTGGGTATTCCTGGCCGAGGGCTGTGCTTTCTATAACGCTATGACGCTTCATCCCGTTGATTCTTTATTGATATCATGGTTACTAGCCTGAGGGTACTCATAAACAAGAATATGAGAATCGGTCAAGCTCAAGTAATGTTTTATTTGGTGTATAATGAAGTAGTGTATCCTGCGCAGAAGAATTAAGTATAAAATCAGCCTCTCCTCTCCGGACTCTGGCTCCTCATTCAATTGAATAGTCTACAGTATCATCTTCCAGAATATCTATCCATTACAATTGAAGCGTAATATATAACTTAGCTATAACCTCTGATCATCTCAAGTCTTAAATCATTAAATCATAGCTATCCTCCACAATGAAACTCACAAACATAATCCTCACACTATTCAGCTTCATCACGATCGGTAAACTTTCCCAACTCTCCTTTAATATTATAGCAATCTAAATTTTATTTTTTTTAAAAAATAAGAATACTAACTAATAAACCTAACAGCCGCCGCAATTCCAGCCCCCATCCCCGCAACCTCCACAAATCCCCACCTCCTTCAACCCCGCGAACTAACCAAACCAGAGGCTCAAGGATCCCTCACAAAACGCGGCAACAGTTGTCCAAATCTAATCTTAGACGTTCAAGTCTGTATCGACGCCATCATCGCCATAAATAACAAATATGTAAGCCCTATACCCCCCCAAAAAAAACTTTAAAATTTTGAAACCCCGAATATTACCGTTCTTATATCGTCATACTAACCTTTCAACTAGTCCGCCAGGAAACCCTACACCAAAGCCGCTTGCCGAAGCTGGGCTGGCGAGGTAATCATAAAACTCAAAGCATTGATCACAGTGATCACCGCCTACCCATCCAGGTGTCGTAGTACATTCCCACCGATCAATGTCTGCGCCAGCATATTTGTGAAGTTACTAGTTACGATATTTGTCCAACTCGAGGTTTTTGTTAATGTTGGGGGGCTACGTAAGTCTCTTAAGTAGTTTTTGGTCAGATACTTCGATAACTTATATATACTAATATCCTTTTTTTTTTAATAGTAGGAATAGTCATTCTCAACATCGATTTACTATTGGCGCTTCTACTGGGACTCTGCGGCGATATGTTGAACGTTATAGTAACATTATGCGTACTAATCGAAGCTAAGATTAAAGTCGGAATTTGTGGATTGGTAAGTAAAATAATCCTAGTTTATTCAATGGCTTATCTTTTTACGCGGAAAAAGATTCTGACAACTTGTTTTATGAGTGTATAGATCATACAGGGTTGTGGTGGTTTGGTCCATGGTCTTTATCTTCAAGTCCTTATCAAGTTGTTAGTTCAGGTGGGGCTTTCGATTAATTTGTGATTATGTTGGATGTAAGAGCGCTCCTTACTCGCGCTGTTACAGTTGAAAATTTAATATATGGATGAATGGGATATGGGAGAAGTGAGGTAGTATTGTATTCGAGTAACTAGCATTTTTGGCTACGAAGGAAGTTAGTGACTAGGATACAGATTGATTTAGTGTTTAAAAGTTAACGGTTTTATGTATGTAGCTATATCTATTCAGATGCTTTGCTTTGGAGTGTTCGAGCTAGTTAGGTAGTTTATTCAATCCAGCTTCAAGCTTTGAAGCATCAAATCGACCAAAAGCACTCGAGAAACTTGAAGGTGTTGGATTCGTTGTAATTTTTTCCCGTTACTCTTCTGGCCATGTGCAAAGCGGATCAAGGCCCCAGCTAGTTAGACCGACTAATCCCAAGCCGGCGCAGTAACCTTGGTCAAGCTACTTCGGTGGAACCCCGAATACACATATTTCACATGCTTATATCGATATATCAATACACACACGAGACTAGTCACAAGTCATTCATTGATTCAAAATGGAACTGCGATATCAAATTGGTATCCATTCTAACAAGCTTATTCTTACATACCAAATGGCTTCAAAGAAACAAGAAAGAAAAAAAGGTAGGTAAAAATAATTACATCAAAAGTTAAAAAAAAAGAACAAGGAACCTCATTAAATGCCCACGATGGTATATCTAAAAAGCTCAACACCAACAGAAAAAGCCACTCCCAGCCTATACTCACGCCCTAAAGAGGGGAAACATTTAATGTCCCTTGAATTGATCCTCAGTTACACCAGCACCCATGGCAGCAGTGGAAGATACACCTCCAGTTACCATCTTCAATAGGTTATCGACGTAGTTGGCGCCAGACCATTTCTATAACAAAGAGTAATTAGTAAAACGTTCAAAGCCTAAAAATAAAGTGAAAGTAATAACATACCTGATGTGTAACGACCTCAATCTTATTCCTCATCTCAGGCTCCTGCACAAGTTCTCCATAAGCCTTCATTCCAATCTGGCTATAAGCCTTAGCGAAGGTATCAGAGATCAAAGCATTGGTATGTAATCCAGCAAGCGTAATGAATTGCCAGACGTATCCAAGGCTTCCCAATCGGGAGATATAAGTCTCCTGTTCCTCAGGCGACATAGCAGTCTTCCAGTTGAATGATGGAGAAAGGTTGTATGCCAACTTCTGCTCTGGCCAAACTTGGTGAACACCGGCGGCGAATTCCTTGGCTTGTGCGTAATCTGGCTTCTTGGACTCCATCCATAGGAGATCGCAGTATGGGGCGTATGCGACGGCACGGTTGACGGCACATTGGGTACCACCTTGGTAGCGGTAGAATCCCTCACGGGTACGGCAAGATTCCCAATCGAAGAAGACGTCGAGGCCGGTGAGGCTCTTGGCGATGGCGCGGGCTTCTTTGTTGGACTTGTGGGAGGCCTTGGTGAGGTATTCCTTGATGAGAGCGGGTTTGTTGGAGAGGGAGGAGGCGTTGATGGCGTCGACAACGGCGTCGTCGAAGAGTTTGATACCGGCTTCACGGACCCAGGAGTCTTCAATGGCTTGTAGGGCATCGCCGAACTTTCCGGCACGTTCAGCGGCAACCATCAAGTCGGCGAGGGGTTGAAGCTTGGAGTTTGTGGTTCCCAAGATGAAGGAGTGGTCTCTTGGGTCAATGGTGGAAGTGATGAGGGTGGCAGCTTCGGAGTCGGTTCTGGCAACAGAGATCAAATCGACACCCATGATGTCTGCTTGGGCACGGATAGCGACGAGACGGTTGCAGTGCTCGGAGATTGGGACGAGGACCTTGCCAGCCATGTGACCGCACTTCTTGGTACCAGGAGCCTGATCTTCAATGTGGATTCCGGCGGCACCTCGCTCGACGAACATCTTGGTAAGCTTCATGATGGCGGTGAGACCACCGTGACCGGTGTCAGCGTCAGCAATGATGGGTCTTAGGTAGTCAACTGCGGGGCCGCGCTTGGATGGGTCGGTGGTCAAGCGCTCTTCACGCTGTTTTCGGTCGTGGAAGAGCTGGGCCATGAAAAGGTGCTGGACCTTGTTTGGAACAGTGTCCTATAATCGTAGTTAGAATCTCAAGTTTACAAGATATGCTATAGTTTATGCAATTGAACATACCATGGGGTAATCAGCCAGATCCGGGCTGGGCTCGTGGCTAGTGCTAGCTGTCGACGAGCATTGCCATCCAGAAACATAGACGGTCTCGAGGTACTTCGCCATCTGGGTGACCATCACGGGGTCCAAACATCCGTAAGTGTAAGAGGCAGTCCTCTCCTAAAGAATCCAATATAGATTAGCCCTCGTTCTTGCAACTCGTATTCATATTTTGAAGAATTGAAATAAGACTCACAGGGAACCTCTTCTCCAAAATCCCCCACAGTTTCTTAGCCTGGACATTGCTGGGATATTCGATCTTGATGTTGCCTCTCTTCTGAACGATCTGCTCAGCGCTGTATGGACGCTTGGTGAAGCGGAATCTCGACGAGCTCCACCATTGCTTAAGAGCCTCGACCTCGGCGAGGTAAGTAGCCTGTTCTTCCTTGACGTTTATCGACATTGTTGAAGTTGATATAAATATATATATACACTCACACACACTTTCTCACTGGGTAATAGAAAAGGAATGATGAAATTGGGTATATGTCGACAAGAAGCAGACAAGAGGACAAAGTCACAAATATGTATGAAAGAAAAGAGGATAAATAAAGAAGCTCGTGAAAAAAGAAGGTTCACATTCACAAGATGGGGAAGAGTGATGTATATATCAACCCTCATTTTAAGCTTCCCATCCTCTCTTATTCCTCGCCCGCTCGCATGCCACCATTTCGTCAGAGCCGAGGGCTAACCTGCCTCGAACACCGGCGCGGAGCCATGCACAAGACAAGATCAGACCCAGCAGGAAATCCCAAGCATCACTGGGATACTACACCGAAACAACTAACAAAAAAAAAAGATTTGTATGAGTCTGCCCTTTGACCCGGACCCAAGCCGAGCTAAACCGCTTGATGGGAGCAAGATGCTCACCTAAAACTTGGTGTGTGCGCAGGTTACCGGATATGGCGCTGTATCGAGATAAGATTTCGGTTTAGCGGATGAATCTGTGGTTGGCTGGCTGCACCTCACTCCTTGCAGCACAGCTGGGATTGGGGTCCTGAACAGGAATAACAGGGAAGAACTTTCATGTGAAGGCATAGTCTAAAAAAGATGGATCAGCTATAGCGATATCGCATTCAGTTCCAACAATAGCTAGCCCAGCCTGTGGCAAGTCGTCATTGCCCTGTGGTGGGACATGTGAATTCCGCGCGGTGGTAGCAAGTCCAGGCCATGGCAAATGGTAAAGATATGCCGCACATGGTTTGGGCCAGCCAACACCTCGGCTGAACGGCTTCACCACAAGAAATCGTTTGTCGGCCGCTGCCCGGCTGGGTTCAACTTGAGATACTAAATGTTTGACGTCAAATAGGACAGGCGGGAGGTCGTTATCGTGGTTCGGAGAATATCGTAACTGACCAGGTATGTATGTTAATGTAAGGGCAGTGCGTCTCTTTAATTCTTATGCAAGTCAGACTAGTAATGGACGTAATATACAAGCATCGAACCCATGAGAATTCGAGTTCGAATCGTAAAAAAAAAAGCTCATGCGCCTCTAACGTGACCCCAAACAGTGCAGTGAGAACAAAAAGGAGGAAAACAATTAATCTGCAAAGGAACAATATGCTGCAATACGCTGCAATGCGATATTAACAAACGGTGTGAGAAGAAGATGAAAAAAGAAAAGAGAAAGAAAAGAAACAATTCAGCCTCAGGCCTTCTATTCCTCCTCGATATACTTCCACCCCTCAACTTTAGCCCTCCCATTACGATTAAAAACAACCCCGATTAATGGACTCCCCGTCGAGTCTCCCTTCCACTCTACAATCTTTACGAAATCCGTTGCAATTTCGTCAGCCAATAATCTCAAACTCCTCTCAATATCTTCACTAGCGATCGGCTTCTGCAATGACGTCTTCACATTCTGGATCACCGTAGTCATGGGGAATGAGGTAGTCGACGGAACATGAAGTTTACTCTTAGCCCCCAGAGTTGAAACCGGAGTGGTAAGCTGTAGTAATATAGGAATAATAGATTCAAGCCATTGCATTGCTGTCCGTCTCTGCAAAACCGCTGGAGGAGGTGGAGCAGGCGCCGAATTCGCAGCTTGGGCTTTAGCGCGTATGCGTTCGAGTAACGAGGATTTCCTGTTCGCAACAGACGGCGAGTTCCCCGTTGATAACGAAATGTTTTCCTTTTTCTTACTAGGAGACGGTGACAACGAGGTCTGCTTTGACAGCGTAAAGTTCTTCAAATCTTGCAGTCTTCTCTGTCCCTTCGATAACGGGGTTGTCGTTACTCCCTTAGGTTTCGACGGTGTTACGGGAGGAGTCTGAAGTCCTGTTGTCGCCTGAGAAGAGGAAGTCGAAGAGGTGGTATTTTCTGGGAGAATCTCTGCCAATTCAATGCTGCCCAGTAATTTATCTTCATCCTTCCTCTCTGCTTTCGTCTTTCCTTCCCACCACTTCTCAATTCGAGCCTTAAACTTTTGTCCCAAATTCGATGTCTTCCAATTGACTCCATTAACCAATTCAATAGCATTCCCTCGATTCTCCACCACAAGTAAACGTATAGTTCCTTCCGAAAGCGTAACAATTCGTTGTAAATCAACGAGTGTGATATTTGTATTTGCATTTCTTGAAATCTGTGGGAGGTATTCGGCCAATATCGCTGGTTGCGTGGCGTAATCAAGAAGAAGGAGCGAGATAATACTGTTGTGAATGGTGATAAGGCGGATTATCCGTTTGGGGAGGGCATTGTCCTCTTCTTCCTCTTCCTCTTCTTCATCGTCGCCCTTTTCTTCTTGTTCAATTGGTTTTGAGACTTTTGATGAAGCTGTTGCGGGAGCAGAGGATGTAGTCCTTCGTTTCGACGGAGTAGGAGTTTGAACTGGTTCATCGGCGGTGTCGTCAAGCTTCACTCTCTTGGAGACCGAGTCTTCCAGGACATCTTCGATTGTACGTTTATTCCTAGTCTTTCGCGGTGTAACCGGCACTTTTTCTTCTTTTGTCTCCTTACTCTCTACACTCGTCGTTGTAGTCGTAGTAGCAGCAGTAGCATTGGTGGCAGTAGTAGTAGAAGCGACTTCCTCAACCACTGCCTTCTTCTCAACTTCAACTTTCACAACCTCCTCCGCGGCTTCCTTTTCTTTCTTTTTCTCACTCGCTCTTGTAACTTTTGATGCCTTAAATTTGATTCCAGATGCAGCAGTAGAAGTAGTACTCTTAGTCAAAGAATTTTTGAGTGTAGTCTGTGTCTTAAGTGTAGCCTGACCTTTCACAGCAGCCGCACTCTTGGAGGATTTGGCCCCCTTCTTTGCTGCTGTCGCAGTGGAAGACTTCTTCGGTCGGCCCATTGTTTCTAGGTGAGTCCGTACTATGGTAACGATTACAAGCCTTTTATATACTGAGCTGGTGCGTCGAATCCTAGGAGTCAAGTGATACGGAGAGTCTTTTTCAATAGCGGGGTGTATCCAGTAGGGGAAAAACTGTGTTACCGAACTACAGAGCCGCTGGGTAAGGCAAAAGTCTTGACAACCGTTAAGAAAAAAGGTGAAGGTATCTCGGTGATAGAAGTTTGTGGGCGACGATAACGACGGCGACGGTAGCTAAGAGAGGTAGTGGTGGATTTAGTAACGAAGCTGCAGTGATACTAGTTTGGTTGGTTGTGAAGGAGACACTTTTTTCGGCTATGTTTTGGTCGGGTTGCGGTGAGCGTGTCAGGGCAACCAGCCTGATTTGGAAAGGGTGTCAATTACAATTCCTGTTTGGGAGTGGTGATTGGGATACCACGCGAGTCGCGTTCCAACGCTGTCAACGCAGAATCTTCCCTTCCTTAAGTTCTACAGGTGATGTTTTCTAGTGCTTATAAGTGCTATGAGCCGCTATTAGGTCCACAAAATGCTTTGCCCGGAACAACCAAGTTCGTATTTTCCAATGCTAAGTACTCCAAAAACCATACAAACTATACTATATAAAGTTATAATCATAATAATGAAAGGGGAAAACCATAAACTACTTCGTCAAATCAACAACCTGAACATCTGCCCCGCTAGCCTTCAAGTCAACCCCAACGGTCACCGTCTTACTAACCTTCTCTACATCTCCCGCCTCCACAATTTCCACCTTCTTCTCTTGCTCTAAAGGTCCATTGACAAGCACCTGCAATCCCTTAAGCACATCTCCATCCGCGGTATTCAATCCTGGAGTATATGCCACCGCGGCACCAGGCCTTACCAAAATCGGCAGGGTATCAAATCCATGTGTCTCAGTATACCAATTTCCTTCCTCATAAGTTTTCTTATGATCAAACCAGCTCCTCCACTTTGCACCAGACTTATTATCAGTCTTGGGTACGTAAAAACTAACTTCTCCATCGCGGCTGAATACCGGAGCGACTAAGAGTTCGCTACCGAGCATGTACTGCGTATCCAACTGCCAAACATTCGGGTCCGTCTCGCCAAACTCCAATAACATGGCTCTCATAACCGATGCGCCAGTTTCTTTTGCCTCCAAAGCGGTGCGTAGTAGGTATGGCATCAACTCCAATTTCCTATTAACACTCTCGCGGAGAACCTTCGAGCACTCTTCAGCTTCACCGGGGTAATCCTTTTCATCATAGATCCATGGAACACGGTACGAAGAAGACCCATGTAATCTCGTATGACTACCCAAACTTCCAAACTGTACCCATCGTTTATACAACGCTGGTTCGGGTAATCCTTCAAACCCACCGATATCATGAGCCCAGAATGCGAACCCACTGAGCGTAAGCGATAACCCTCCTCTGAGGGTTTCAGCCATAGCTTCGAAGGTACTTTCACAATCACCACCCCAATGGACGGGGAACTGTTGACCACCGGTAGTAGCAGAACGAGCGAATAGACAACCCGGTTTCCCGTGGTTTTGCATAGTTTCGAAAACGACCTTGTTGTAGATGAATGTATAGTAGTTGTGCATTTTTTCGGTATCGCTGTTGTTGAAGTATTTCACGATTCGAGGGTCGAAGGGGATTCTTTCACCAAAGTCGGTTTTGAAGGAGTCGATACCCATGTCCATTAACCTTTTGAGGTGGGAGGAGTACCATTCACATGCAGCGGGGTTGGTGAAATCGACAAGTGCCATACCGGCTTGCCATTCATCCCATTGCCAGACGGTGGGACGGGGTTTATCTGCTCTCATAACGAAATATCCGTTCTTCTTGCCTTCGGCGAAAAGAGGAGATGCTTGGCCGATGTATGGGTTAATCCAGACGCAGGTCTTGAAACCTTTGGCTTTGAGACGATCAATATATGCTTTCGGATCTGGGAAGTTTTCTTCATCAAATTCGAAATCGCACCATTGGTATGATTTCATCCAGAAGCAGTCGAAATGGAAAACGGCGAGGGGAATGTTACGTTCTTTGAAACCGTCGAGGAAACCGGTGACAGTTTCTTCGGAGTAGGAGGTTGTGAAGGAAGTTGTGAGCCAGAGACCGTAACTCCACGCTGGCGGGAGGGATGGACGACCAGTTAGAGCGGTGTACCTATTTATGATATCCTTGGGAGTCGGACCGGCAATGATCATATACTCGAGACTTTCACCCTTAACGACGATGTTGACTCTTGTTGTTCTTTCGGATTGTATCTCCAACATGACCTTTCCAGGATTATTGATGAAGACACCATACCCCCTACTAGAGATATAAAACGGAATATTCTTATACGCAAGTTCGGAAGAAGTACCACCGTCCTCATTCCAAACCTCCACCGTCTGTCCATTCTTCACAAATGGTCCAAACCTCTCTCCTAACCCATAAATCTTCTCATTAACAGAAACGTCCAATTCAAGGAGGATATAAGTATCCTTCTGCGCATAGATACTGTCCTCCCATTTCGTCTTCTCGGTCGTAATATCGTTCACAAATGCAATTGACCGGAAAGAATGACCCGTCAATCGTTTTTCCTTGGCATCAGTATAGTCGAACGCCAAATTATTGGTAGAAGTATTAACATCAAGCGTCAACCCTCCGTTCACATACTTCAGATTCTTCCCGGGCTCATTCTGAATCGTGACTTTTGGTTGAGAAACATTTAACTGGAAATCCGGTCCTAATTCCTCTTCTCCATGCCAGTGTGAGAATTTCACGGCGGTTACACCTTCGAGTGGTGATGTGATCTTTGCGTTTAAGGTACCGGCGTTTAAGGTATCGCCGCGATGTCTGGTGAGTTTTGCGAGGAGTAAAGAGGCAGATGTTTCATCTGTGGAGATTATTCGTTCGACGTGGGACATCCAGTTTGGCTGGATGCCGCCGCGGATTTTCCACATTCCTTCGGTGAACTTCATTTTTTATACTGATGTTTGAATCGGTATAAAGTTCAATCAATAGGTAGGAATTGGATGGAGAGTATAACGTTCAACGTTTTACTTTCAAAAGTAAATAGATCAACTAGAGGTGAGGAGGTCAGAATGAAGAGGGAAAAAAACTACCACCGATGAGAAGTACGATCAAGCCATGGAAAGGTTATATATATATACGTCAAAGAAACCATGGCGAGCAAATCAGGGCGCGGGCGTATAGGTAAGGTTCCCATAAGTTAGTTGCATTGCATACCGGCAGAACTCGTCCCGAAGAATAATTACCATGGGTGAGCATACCCACGAACTATGGATCCATTTTTGCAAACGAACGGCGGAACCCTGGAATAATAGGTAGCTTCTAAAGGGGACCCCACAATTGCTTCATACATGAGGTAGACGCACAATGCGAAAGCTATTCGGTTAATTAAAGTATGGAATTTAGGCAAAAAGGGTTCATCCCGCGGGGGGGCAGACTTATTTTTGACGTTTAGGAATGTTAGTGGGTTTGGTGTGGGGATGCATGTATATGTCTCTGATCATCACGATGCAAGCTCAAGTATCTTTGGTATCGCTGGGGAAGCCTCAGTCCTTTTTTTTTATCTTTTTCGCGGGGTGGATGGTGGGGCAAACGGTTTAGCTTGGCCTAGCTTATTGCTTGCGAACGAGTTTAACCAGGCATAACGGGACCGGCATGGGGTATGGACATCTATGCAGACCGTCTACAACAAGGCTACAAGCCGAAACGAAATCATCGTCGAGGCTAAACGGGAAATCCTCGATCATGAGGTTACCCTGGTACAGTACAGTGTGGCTGCCGCTGCAGGTTTAGTGTACTCTTTTACTTTTCGGCGAAATATCAACCGAAGCGAACAGTTTATAAGTGTGATAGTTTCACTCCGGAACTCTTCTCGGTCATAGTTTCTCCACAATTCAACCGAAGATGTGGTACAAATATGGGAAGAATGGGTTCTTGAGGCTGCCGTGGGTTCTTTGATTCAGATTGGAATAGATCGTAGAGCGTGTTCAAAAAATAGGTTTGGTATATTAATCATATATTTGATTATTTCTTACTTCCTTGAGATCCGTATTCGGAAATAAGGAAGGTGGGTAAAATGATAATGGGTATATGCTGCTGCTTGTGTCAACCGAAAAAAAGCACGAAACAAAAAGCGGATAATACTATAATCCGTCCCCAATGCAAACCACAAAGACGAACTTCAAATGGGGAAACAAGATCGTGACATTAAACACCCAGATAGAAAAACGAGTGCTCTATCAAAGGAGCCCCCCAAAAGCAGTAAACATTACAAAATTAGTAGTGGCAGCAGGAAGGGGAAACAATGGTATGTCGGTAATAATGCTGCAAGACCCAATCTTCAACTTTTCCCAAAAGCTCCGATGCTTTCGCACGAATCAACCAAAAAAACCAAAACGCCTTCAAACGCCGAGAGAGAAATAGAAAAAAAAAAAAAAAGATGAACTGGAAGAAAGAAATGGTGGGCTGATTCGCGTCTGCAGCTTGCTCAATCTGTTGCTTTTCCTTTACCCTTCTGCCGTGCCGTGATGGACCGACGGTCCACGTCCGTGTCCCTACTCTCGAGCGTGCTCCCATCGCTCTCATCCCGCTCCGCAAATTCCCCTCGCGCTTTGCCCGCAATCTGCTCTTTTCTTTTGTTAATAAACTTGCTTCTGGCCTTCCAGATATTTGCATATTCATAATCCGAGCCGTCTGGGCTGATTGGACCTTTATGGTGGTGATGGCTGTTCTCCACACCCTCGTAACCATGGTGCTGCGCTTTCTTAATGTCGCTCCAGAACTCTAGTTTTCGAACCTCCTCTTCTCCTGCGTCCACTGCCCTTCCTATACCATCGATGAATCGCTTCTCTTCGTCATCGTCGTAGTCTTCGGGTTCCTCTCTAAGAGACCCATTCCCTAGGTTTCTTGACTGTCGCTTGTCGTTTGATTTGTTTAGGTTGTCGAGAAGCAGCTGTAATATCTGTCGGCGAGACTGCTGAAATATCATACTCCTCATAATTTTTGGTATCTATATCATGTTTTATTAGCGGATTGTCCTACACCATGTGCATTCGGCAATTGACTTACATTATCAGCAAGGTAAAGAACCTCAGACCCGCCATGCTGCAAAAAGTTTGACAAAGCTTCAACCTTCTCCCGATCCAACCTTGCCATCTTAAAGGCCTTCATTAGCGTAGGGATATCCTGCACTTCGTAATCCTCGAACTCGCTATCGTCAGACTCCTGCGTTGCGGTTGGGTATCCCTCCAGTTTACTGTTCCTCTCTAAACTACGGATGGAACTTGAATAATACCCTGACCGTCGCTGTGTCGTCTGGGTCGCATTGCGAGAGTGTATTGTAAAATATTCCGGTGTAAGATGATGGGCGTCGTCCAGGTCCGGTAGCCTTCTTTGTACACGCTTACGAATCCATCGGCGTCTACGAACAAAGCCATGCCACCATACGGCGTTACCATGCCATCGAGTACCCCGGAAGGCGAAGGAGTATTGCCAGCCTTCCTCGTCGACGTCACCGGTCATATCCACTGCGAAAGACTTCCATGCCCACACCCACGAAGGGTCTGGAACTTGTGCTGTGAAGATATTAACGGCGCTTGGGGCGTGTTGACGGGTTGTCCATGCTGCAGAGTCGACGGGTAGTAGGGATTTAGCAGAGAACATTGGAATTCCAAAGAAAAATGTTCCTCTCTGATTTTCGTAGAGTATATCTAATTCACCGGCATCGTCGACCAATTCTTCCTTTCGTACTTTTCTTCCTACTTGTTTGGCCTTTCTGAATGCTCTCGTACCCTTTGATTGAATCTCATCCTTTTTCGTCAAGACTGCCGTCGGGAGTCCTTTCACTTTGTCGATTTCATCCTTGTATCTACGCGAATCTATCCTTTTTATTTTCTTCGAATCCTTGCCGTTCGGCCTTTGTACCCTTTCAACTTCCTCGTCCGATGAACTGGTATTGGAACTATTCGAAGACGACTTCCCAGAGACTTCGCCAATAGTATTATTATGATCTTGTTTCCATTCTCTATGGTACTTTCTCTCTGCTAGATGTTTCCTCAAAGACTCCTTCCTTTTATGACCAGGTGCGTACGCAGGAGTCGAAGAAGTCGCACTATTCCCACTAGTCGAAGTAAAAGTTCCGGCGGTGGTATTGAAAGTTCCGATTCTATCGTTTAACGAAGCGATCGATTGTACCCGCGAGACGGTGGTAGAAGCGACGGGACTGTTGTTTTCGCTGAAGTTTGTGGTTGCACGGGAGAGGTTTTGTCCAGGGGGGGTTGTGCCGTTGCCGTTGCCGTTCCCATTCCCATTCCCATTTCCATTCGGAAGGGTGTTATCCTTGAGGGTGATGAAGTGATCGTAGGTATTGTCCGATTCGTTCGTCCGTTGGGAGTTTAGGGTGAAGCCGCGGACCGACATCTCGGAGGATATATTGTTTTTGTATGATTGAAGAGAGGAAAGGCTTTCAGCCCTTTGAGGGTTGAAGTTGATAACAGCCTGGATTCGAATTTGATGGGTTTAAAAGGGATGGTGGGATCGCCAGAAGCCGCCAGCAGATTTGACGAGATGGAAATTAGAAACAAGAGAAATTACATAATTGAAGAAACACAAGACAAGGAGAAAAGGACAAGCAGCCACGGTTTTCGTAGTCGAAGGAGTACAAAGCACGATAAGACTATACTTCTGAACTATAATTATTACATAGCGCGAAAGAAAAGGTTGAAGGAAAAAAAACCAAGGGCACCGATGGCATGGGATGTGATTTGTTTACGGTAGAAAAAGGCGGGCGGAATGGCAAATGACGACGCTGCGCTTTGTCGAACAGGGCAAGACCAAGAGCCCAGATCCAGCTGCGAGCCAATCAAAGCCCAGCAGCACCCATGTGAATGCGGACATTCTTGATCTCGAATTAGCCGGGGTCTCTCGAACCGGACGTCAAAAACGAAGATTCAGGTTCGCGAAGCTAAATGCAGGGTGATATACACTCTGTAATTGATGAACCCTGAATATCGACACCCGTGGCTCATTCGATGCATTCTACTGACCGGCTCCATCTACGTATATGCCTACATACAAACCAAACACCCAGTTTTTATGTAGATATTCTGTACCTGTACGGGACTAGCTATGAAATTCATAGATAAGTAAGTATCTATGAGAGCAAAGATGCTGGATAGCTACTATGATTAGAGCAAGGCCAAGGTCACAGTCATTGCATATGATCATGACGCAGCGTCACAGCCAGGACAATTCCAACATACTCAACACATGCTTGCGCATAGGATCTTGTCAAGAATAACATTCAGTATAAGGTACCCATTCATAACTACAAGATGCAGGACTATATTACAAAAAAAACACCTCGTATCGTCAAAATCATACTAAACGCTGATCTGAAAGGTAAAATCAAAAATACTTAGTAAACGCATCTTCATCGATCTCAAGATGTTCCAAACAAGAAGAATCGGTCAGCATCACAAAGAGAGAACCATGCTTGTATAGCTCCTTCGGTCGATACCCTACGGGAAACCAAAGAGACTTAACGGGATTTATACCCCAGTAAAGCCACCCATCTGCATCGCAGTAATAGTGTTTCTGACTAGGGGAAAAAACAACGCGGTGAGGATCTGACCCGAGGAGACTCATGTCTATGAGGCCTGTGTCTAGCCTCAAAGTGGTGCCGTCTGATGAAAATGATACACAATTTTCTTTGGGGCTAAAACCCGTGCAACTGATCTTAAAGTTGGTTTGGTTCTGCTTCATTAGGCTGGATTCGTCTCCATGCGAATCGTATATACCACCTAAGCGTTTGAACCCTTTTGAAGCCATGTCGATGCCCCAGAGTTCGACTACGGCGTCTGATATTGTCACAAGTCGATTACCATCCGGTGAAAATGCTAGCGTTGCAATTTCGAAATCTCTGTGAAAATAATCAAAGTTGTATAGGAGATCCTCCGAAAGAGTGCTCCCGAATTTAAGCCCGCACATTGGGTTTAAAGCCGCGATGATGGTACTATCCGGCGAGAATGCTATATATTCTGCTATACCATTACTCTGATAAGCTTTCAAAAATGCCCCGGAGCCAACATCCCATAACTCAACTGTAAGCTTATATGTTCCAGTTGCAAGCACTTGGTTATCCGGTGAGAATGTCATTGATGTTACTGAATGACCTCCAAGTGTGCGTATGAGCTCCCCGGATTTCGCATCCCAGATTTGAATTTGTCTGGTGCCTTCAAACGCCACAGCTAATTTCCTATTAGAAGACCATGAAACTATCTTAGGCCTACTTTGAAGATTGAGTGTAAGTATATGGGTGCCCGATATCAGATCCCAGACTTCGACACCCGTTGAATCTAACGGTTTTACGGCTACCAGTCTGCGTTCTGGCGATAATCCCACTATCTGCCCCGGGAAAACATATCTCCTATGCGTTTGGGCGATATTTGAGTGTAGATCACTCCCCTCTTTGCGAAGCTTACAGTCAGAGTCAAGTTTACCCCAGAACTTAGTTGCGTCCCAAAGCTTGGTGGTCCGATCCCGTGATGATGACGCAAACAACGTGCCATCGGGTGAAAATGACACGGAACTCGCATCGTCGCTATGGTTATATATTTCCGTCATGAGAGTCCAGGGATCTGTGCGCAAGTCCCACAGTCCGACCCCTCCCCCTTTGATTGCAGATATTAGTCCTCTGCCATCTGGTGACAACGAAACTGAGTATATCGCTGGATCTTTAGGCTGGCGAAGCGTCTGAATGACGGCTCCTGAGTTCACATCCCAGATTTTAATCGTTGAGTCCGGCGATCCAGTCACTAGTAATGTCCCATTCGCAGAGAATACCACCGAACTCACATAATTTGTATGTCCACAAAAGGTTTGTAATAGCGTGCCGGCCATTACATCCCACAATTTAGCTGTATTTTCGAACGCCGCTGATGCTAGCAGCTTGCTGTTTGGTGAGAATGTTACACAGATAATAGGAGTTTCATGGCTGAGGAATGATTGCAAAAGAACCCCGGAATTTGCGTCCCAAAGCCATATTTCCCCGCCGATTGAGCCCGCTGCGAGTTGCCTACCATCTGGAGAATATGCAAGGGATGACACAGATCTATGTCGATGATCTCGACCCACCGTCTGTATCAGTTCTCCAGATGCCACATTCCATATAGAGATTCTTCGGGACCCTAATGCGAGCTGTTCTCCATCTGGCGAGAAAGCGGCGGACGTGACCTCGGGCTCCTCCAATGTATGTATATTCCATCCGGAGACTGTGTCCCACAATTTAATCGTTTGATCACGTTTCGACACTGACGCTAACAACTTACTGTCCAGCGAGAATATTACGGACGAAACACAGCCCTTATGACCTTCGAGTGTTTGTAGCTGCAGTCCCCAATCTTCCTCGATGACCGGTGTCTTTCGAACCCAGTCTAAACAACTAGGGGAGAAGAGAGCCTTGACTACACTTTTTTCTGGCAAAAAAAGTAATGCAGACATATACATCTGCAGGGGAGCCTCGGCAATTAAGGATTGATTGAATCGGATAAATCTTTCGATATCCCTTAGGAGTTCCAAGAGTTTGACTGCTTTGTCGTCGTTCTATATTCGCTTTATCAGTAACTACCATGTATTGGAAGGTTCTAACCAATTTACTTGCTTACCCGCGCTATAGATTGTAGATCTTTGATTAAATATATATTATTCGAGGATATGGCCAAAATACTTGTTGCTTCGAACCAATGCAACAGATGAACTTGGAGGAAATCGTGTACGTAGCCGCCATCTTCAATGAGGCATTGGCTTTTCTTAACATGGTGTACCCAGTACTTACAAGCATACTCAAGGCTTGTAGATATATTCTGTCGTTTGATTTCGTGGTCATCTATCAGCCTTAAAGGCCCTGCGAATTTCAGGCTGCAGATATTCCTCCTAAGGTTTTGTGATAACAGCCTGATACAATCTTTAGCTAGGCTCTGATGAGTTGCGACTTCATCCACCGAGATATAGCCTTGTAGAGTAGAGTTTTCGGCCCTCTTTTTTAAATCTTCGTCAAGAAGGAAGTCTCTGAAAGAGAGGTGGAAGGTTTGCACGAGGCCATGGGGATTGGCCGGAACCTTTAGAATTGATCGAAATGCCTGGAGTCTGTAATAAATTGTTTCATCCTCCATATTGATCAAATCTGAGAGCGAATTCCGGGAGAGAGGAGATTCGAGCGTGACAATAGTGCTGATAATTTTTCGAGTTTCCTTAGTTATCGTTTCTCTGTCCTGGATACTCAATTCGTCTAGGTCGCGAAGTATTTGCTCAAAGACTGTGATGTATATTCTATAAACCCCGGACACTTTGCAACCTGATGTCAAGATTGTGTTCAGACGCTGGTTTGGCGAGAAGTGCCGTTCGTTATTGTCGTCGATGAAACGGCATATTGTCGCTGCCGATATGAACCAAGGCTCCGAAATATTCACAAGCTGTTCAATAACCGTACTTCCTGGCCAGTCATCTGTGATTTTGTTGGACCTCTTAGAACAGCGATCCCGTATTCGAGCAAACTCGTGCACTAGGAAAATCCGTATATCGTGCCTGACGGTTTCAAGGGCGACATCATGCAAAGCCAAGTCGTGATATTGTATTTTCTGATGAGATAGTTCCTCAAAACTCGTAGAGGGTGCGTGATCCGGTCTACTCGTGATGAAAACTCGTATGTCGATATCTTTTAGCTCACTAAGCCGTGCCAGAGGACCAAGAATGAGCGGTATCTCCCTCCCGTTTTCACATTCATCAAGAGCGTCAATTACTATGACTACCGTTAGATTGCAGATTATTTTTGAAAGGGGTTCCAGCAAGAATTTCTCGAACTGCTCTTTGAAGCTTTTTTTAAGTGTATCAAAATCGTCCTCGATCGCTTTGCTGACGTGTGGAAGTAGCTCCGGCAGATATTTGGCAAGGCCATAGGCTAAGGTAGGGAAGAACTTCGAAGCATTGTTGCGGCCAGCCTCAGATTTCTTGAAGAAAAAGCTTGCACCCAACTGGCTAGTGCTCTCGAGTTTGAGAGCAATTGTGCGCGCTATCGTAGACTTGCCAGTCCCAGCTATTCCGCGTAGCCAGAAGATGTTGCTATCACGCTGGCCTGAAATCCATGTTTCAATGATATTGAGAACTTCAATTCTATTTTGAGGGAGGCATTGTGGCTCTTCCTGGTCCTGGGCCGATCCAAACATCGCTTCTTTAACAGAAGCATCGCCCAGTTTGTCGATATTCTTGTTTTGGTCTCTAGCAGCGTCAAGTGCGACCCCGTCAACCACAAGGGCTAAAGTGATATCCTTCTTCAAAGTTTCCAGATTTTCGAATACTTTGTTAATGTTGCTTTTCTTAAAAGGCCATGTTAAGCTCTCGACATTTAGGGATTCCGGTAATTTACTTAGAAACCTTGCTGTCTTCGATTTTTGCCCTCGCTCCAACTTTTTCTGAATGTCCTCAAGTATATTCATGCTATTTTTAAGAACATCCTTCAGTCCCCGCGAGGCTTCCAATTTGGCGCCAGACGGCCCTTTAAGCAGGTCGTCAACCTTGGTGAATAGATCTTCGAGAACCTTTGCCTCCGTCTGGAGTCTTTCTGCCTCAGCTTTGGCACTTCGGACTTCGTTGGTATATCTGGCGCATAATAACCCAATCTTCCCGGCCACCTCCACAAGCGTAATTACGCTTGCAACACCACCTACTACTTCCATGGGTGTGTCCGACTGAATTACGCGGGGGAAAATTTTTTGAATGTTTGCTCTGGCTTCGAAGTTTTGCTGTAATGTGAATTCACAACGAAATTAATTTGGGTAAGAGTTGGACGTCTCCTATCTACATAGCTGAGTAGGTGGGAGGTCAAGCTATAGCCAGGCGTGAATTTTGCTGTGGGCGGGGTAAGCAGCCCCTCAATTGTGTTTTTGAGGTTTCTCTTATCGTGCAAGGCTGTGTTCTTTTCTTCAATGGACAAGCGTACAGTGCTACCTCATTGGCAGATTTGGTGACGAACAGTACATTCGAAGTATCCGACGTGCTGTGTATAGGTACTTAGTGAATTGGTGGCTTAGGTGCTCGCGCTCGCGCTGGCGAACAACAATAGACCTATAGGCAACGATCCTATGCAATGATTTAGCGACAATACGAGCGCGAGGCTAGGCGATACTGTAAGCTTATAAGACGTAAGTGAATAGAAATATTGGAATTTACTAAGCTATATAAGTACATATACGCAGTATAAGTATAAACCAGGGTTGAGCCTGCATATTGAAAACTAGGGTCGGAGCTAGAGAAGGGTGATAGACCAATTAAAACAACGCATTTCGATATTTCGAAGTTGTTGTATTTTTCACACTCAGAATCGAAATTTAATTAAATTCGCTCCAGAACATTGACAGCAATCAATCAACTAGCCTTAAGGTCAAAGCTATTGTAGGGTAGTGGCTAACTTGATATCAACATGGCTAATTCATCATGAAACATGTTCGTAAAACCAATTTCCCCCTCTGAGCATTTTAGAAGTCCCATAATTAATTAACATTAAGAAACATTGATATATAATATATACCACTATATGATCAAATGCGGGTATATAATAAATAGGATTAATTAATTAAGTCATTAAACAATCAATCAATATCGTTTGAAAGTGTCGAAATTAATAACCCTCGTCCCAACTCCTTCAGCTACAACCCCAACATATCTAGCCCGAGTAATCCTCTCTTGAGTGGTTGTCCCACTCTCCTGTACTTAAACCTCTTACACCCGGGCCCGTTGGCAACAATAGTCGGGGGCTGGCCAAAGTACCACTGATACTCGTATCTATGCTGACGACAAGTGCCTCCACCAGCACCTCCAGAGATAGCCAGTTCGCATCTGCTATACCACTTTGGTTCGGGGAATGGGCAAACATCCCAGTCGAGTTCAGGGCAATCTGGTGGTCCCCAAGCGCCTAGGTAGTTATAGACACTACCCATACATACTCCGGGGCCGGAATAAGTTTGACAAGCCACGCAACAGTCGTATTGGGTTCCGTTGCTCCAAACTAACTTTAGGATTTCATCTGCATCGGGGGCTGCGCCGGCGGCGTAGAATCTGTCTTCTTCGGGTGGTGGACCATGATTTCTTGCTCCGCATGCCGCGAGGAAAGTAGTTTTAGGAAGTGATGTGGTAATCGTCGTTAAGTATGATATACTATACGTAGTAGTCGTTACAGTGGTATGTGTAAACGCACTTGCGGTTTTGGTAATTGTTGTGACTGTTATAACCGGGTTCTGCTTGGTCACGGACTTGGTTGTCTTAACCGTTTGGGTGGCCCAGACTTTCTTGGTCACGGTGCCCGCTGTCTTTGTTGTCGTCTTCCAAAGGTCGCTGGTTCCCGTCTTTGTAAGAAGAGTCTTTGTGCAGGTTATTGCTGTTATGTACTTCTTTGGAGCACCAGGTTCGGGTTCAGGCTCTGCCTCACGGCGCTTGATTTCTTGTCCCGCTAGTCTGTTGTCAGGGTCATCATTTACACCAACGAATCCCGGCGGGGGCGGGATGGTAACTGTGGATTGGAGAGTTGCAGTGGTAATTGACTGGGTCCCCAAGAAGCTAGTAACAGTTATAGTGGACCTTGAAGCAAAGGTCACAGTATCTGTTTTCGTAGATGTTCTGGTAACAGTAGAAATAGTTTTTGTTACTGTTGCGGTGACCTTTTTCGTTTCCGTAATTGTTTTTGTAGCCTTTGGCTTTGTGACCGTTTTCCAGCGCGTTACTGTATACCGCCCGGTCGTGTGGATGGTCTTAGTGATCTTGTACACCTTGGATTTTGGGACGGGCTGGTTGCAATAACGAGTGGTGCATTTTCCATCAATAGCAACAATGGTGCGTGCCGTGCAAAAGGAAGCGAATGTGATCAAGGCAAGCACCAACAAATTAAAACGAGAGAAGTCGCGCATGGTTAAAAATCGGTTGCATCCGAAATTTAGGACGCTTTAATAGTAGTCTTTGAAGTTGGAAACCAAAAACCTGGGGTAATGGTGAAAACCTGGGGGGTGGGTTACTTTTAAATTCGAAATGGATCCGGATATCCGTTAACCAGAGGACCATCATGCCAGAATCCACATATGGGATAATAGCGAAGAACTAACAAAGGAGTTGAATCACATGACTAACATCTGCAGTATCACACAGATATTACATAACACTTTGCCAGAGTATATGTGTGACAAACTCTACCAGCCTGCTATCAGAATTATTTCTGTCGCCGAATTTCGCGAAGGTGGACCGACTACCCTCAAGTCAGCCCCAACTTGGCATTCCATGGCGCCAATTGTGGGGTTGCATGCATCTCGACCGGCAGGTCACCCGCTGGCCAATGGCAGCTCAGCTTCACCGAGGAACTAATACTTAAGGCTAATAATGCTGCATGGTGTCTATAAGGAAAGAATTTCGAGCAGGAAGTCATTACTTAAGCTGAATGTCGAAGCTTCCTTGGCCTCTGACATTTGAACCCTGGATTTCAGGGAAGCGAAAGTCTATGTTTAAGGTTTTTTCTGACTGACGACTTATATGGTATGTAGATTGAATTTTCATTGTGGAGTAGCCCCGCAGACTCTATCATATTACTAATACATCCGCGAATTAATCTTCCAACTTTGGGTATAACGTTATTGATGTTTTTCTAGCCGTTTTCATGAGCCTGGGACATGCCGTTTTCCCGTTTTTAAGAGAAACAGCTCGAGTATCTTCAAAACTATGATATTTCCTTTCTCAAAATTCCTTGAGGCTCTGTAAAGTTATAAACTGTTGGAGAATTGGAATATATACATGCAGATGCCTCAATCCAATCCATCCTTTAGAAACCATTCACTTTAAGCCATTCAATGCCATGCGCACGCCAGGATTGCACACCGGAATTGCGATTGTTGTGAACGTTGGGATTTGAACCGTTAACACGTTTGCCATTTTATAAGAGCACGTGGAGTTGATTCTGTTTGATCGGCTGGTCTGCCAAACACAGGTAGGATCGAAGACTTCAGAGAATTAATTGCAAACGCCAGGAAGCGACTCCCAGACTAGACGGACACTCTTGAAGACAGCCCTCCTTTGGGCTAGTTCAAGAGCTCTATGCAAGATAATCTTTGTATCAGGGACGCATCGGATATGTCGAGGCCGGGAAGATAGATCCGCGGAGGAACCAGGCGTTAGTTATCCTTGTAACTAGAGATATATCGCTCAGTGTAGTGCAGTGTCTGTAGGTACAGTGCATGGCATAACGGTTCTACATCGTTACTTTGAGGATTGGGGTACTCTTAAATTCTCGAAATAAAAAGGAACGAATACTCCAAATGGATGATCATGGGTGAGATACGTCGCGCTGCAGCTGTCGTGAAGCCTTGGCTGCGATACCATTCAGGGCGCGGCATACCTGCAAGTATCCGCAAATGTCTCTGAATCTTCAATTCCAACCTCGTGTCCAGCTCATTGCGTCGTTCCCAGGAACTCCTCCCTCTTCCCCAGGTCTTGGATAGAATTTTTGAAAGACAGAAAACTAAAGATCGCAGGAGGTATATTGCGGGGCAGCCATCACCTTTAATAACCCATTACAAATACCTTCCCGTTCGCGCCGCACGTGGGGTTTGTGCTTCGCTATGTTCCGCGGACCTGCCTGTCGCTGTTTGCCTAAGGAGACTATCAGAAACGTCATGTCATGCCCACAAGGGCAACCTCACATGAGCCCGCCTTCTGATCCAAAAAAAATCCTTCGTCCTCACCCCATCTCTCCTCATCTCATCGCTAGAGGTTCTGTAGAATATCTGCATTTTCTTTGCATTAAATATACGGTCGTTACCGCAATTTTTAACCTTTTTTCTTTGCATGACAATAATTAAAGACCCACGTTTCCAGGCTCGAGTCTTATCTCTCCCTCCATGCCCTCCCAAAACTCACCGATAAGAGAAACTTGACCGGTCCTCGAGATCATTATTTCTCTTTTTTGCTGCCGACCCGGCCAGCTGTCACCAGTTTTTAATTTTACCTACATATCTTTTTATACATATTCTTTCATATGACAGATGCCAGCTACGCTGAAACCGCCGCAGCCGCTATCGCGCGGCTGGCCGTCGTTCTGGCGGTCGACGTGGTATAACTGGAAAATGGTCTTTGATAACCCCCTAGGTGAAGTCGCTGGATCTTTGGGGGACTTAGGAACACTTCTTCCTTTGATAACAGCTATGGCAGCTGCTGGCACCATCGACCCGACAGCAACATTTATTTTCTCTGGACTTTGGAATATAGTGTCGGGTAGTTTATTCGGGATTCCGTATGTTTCCTAAATATTGCTTCTAATATATAAAAACTCGCTTCTAATATAACATGATTGACAACCAAATAGAATAGTTGTTCAACCGATGAAAGCTATCGCAAGTATTTCTATCGCCCGCCCCATGACCCTCCACGAAACAATGGGTGCGGGTATCTCCGTCGCCGTCATCGTCTATATCCTCACGTTCACCGGATTTCTCGCTGAATTCGGCGAACGGATACCCATACCTCTCATCAAAGGCATACAAATGGGAGCAGGTCTCTCGCTCGTTCTTAACGCTGGCGCCACACTTATGAAGCTCTCATGGTCGGCCCACTCCGCGGATAATTATATTGTTGTTGTATTAGCTTGGATTTTACTATGCTTTACGTCAAGGCATCATCAGTTTCCCTACGCACTACTTATCTTTGGGTTAGGAATGTTTTTGGTATTGAGCACTGGAGTTGAGGTGCCGAAAGCTGGGTGGAATCTACCAACTTGGACACCACCAGCTTGGGCGGATGTTATGAATGGTTTCTGGTTTGCGGGATTAGGGCAACTTCCATTGACGATTCTCAATTCTGTGGTGGCGGTTACCTATCTTTCTGCGGATCTACTTCCTGAACGACCTTCACCGTCTATTGAAGCTCTGGGCACCAGTGTTGCTACAATGAATTTGATCGGTTGCTGGTTCGGGGCTATGCCAGTATGTCACGGTAGTGGTGGACTTTCCGGTCAATATAGGTTTGGTGCAAGGTCCGGCGCAGCACCAGTTATGTTGGGTATCGCCAAAGTACTCGTTGGGTTATTTTTCGGTTCATCAGTCAGCACTCTACTCGTTAACTTTCCAAAGTCATTTTTGGTCGTCCTCGTTTTCGCCGCTGGTATCGAACTTGCGAAGGTTGGGGAGGATTTAAATTCAACAGCGAGGGATTTATGGGAGATTCAAGTTGAGAATAGGGCGATTATACATCCGACTTTAGGGCTTAGACTGCACCGCGAGAGGCTGGTCCGGGTGGATATTACAGACCGAGAGAAGAAAGAGCGATTCGTTATCATGCTTGCGACGGCTGGTGGAGTTATAGCGGCAAGGAACGATGCGGTCGGATTATTCGCAGGGACTGTATGTTATCTGGGTTATATACTCCAGGAAACACTCGAGGATACAAGTTTTACACTATTGATCTTCTCAGCATGGAAGAAAACAACTGCATGGCTGTTTAGACATGTATTTGGAATCAAGAAGAGGCAGCCAGCGCCAGTGGTGACAAGCCCGCCGGTTCGAAGCCGAGAGTCCTCCCGCACGCCTCTTCTACGAGAACGAAGATCGTTCAGCCCAAGAGCTATCGCAAGAAGTCTGAGCCCAAGAAGGTCACGAAGTCCTAGAATTTCGGTTCCTCCCACCCCGAATCGGGCACCTAGTCCTCCCCCAAGGTCTTTGAGCCCGAGAAGATCGCCTAGCCCGCGTCGGTCTTGGAGTCCACGACGGAGTTTAAGCCCTAGGCCTTCTGCTGATGTGACGCCTATTCAAAGTCCTGTTGGATCCTCGAGTGCGACCGGGATTTTGAGGAGGCCGAGAAGTCGGGGACGCTCAAGAAGCCCAAGACCAGAAGATCAGGTTTGAAATGCGTGATTGCATATGTGCATAATGCACTATTATTATTTCCAATTCGCTTCTTTTTGTTGTATTTCTTTTAATTACTTACTTTTCTTTCCCATCAGTTTGCACATTGGAACCTATTGCTTGGACTAGAATACGGAGTCTAGATATATTTCTTGTTCTTCGCGACTTCGATTTGTATTTTTTGGATGCTTCTCTGAGTACTTTGTGTTTTTTATTTGCAATCGCCGGACTTCAGTGGTGTTTTGAATTTTCTGTTTTCTGTTTTTCTGTTCTGTCCTCTAACAGGCTTGCATTTCCTGGGAGTTTTGTGTAGTATTTGGCTTGTACATTTCTGTAGAATATGACAGGCAATGGTCTTCGTATATTCGTTTTCAACAACCCACTCTGGTATTCTTTTGTAGTTTTGCAACTTTGAAATTCTTTGAATTTTAAATTGAGTGCATCGTTGCAAGTCTCGGTTTATCATAGCCGCTTTATATGTGGTGTTTTAGTGTTATTTCCATATTAGGATATTTCCATATTCAACTATTCTGCATAAGGCAATTTAGAGGTTCCTGTGGCAACACATCCCGCGTCCAAACAAGCTAAAGCTCGAGCTGCAAGGGACTGGACAAGTGCTCCCTCGGATCCATACCTTCCCCAACTTCCCATCTTCAACCGAACTACTCACCCTTCCGAATCCAAATCGGCGACATATCTCCGGTATTCAAAACTACAGAATCACTTAAAGCTTGATCAAGTACCCGTTATCGACATTGAAAAAATCTACAACCATGCCTACCGAAAAGCCCGTCAAAAAGACGAAGAAGGTCGCCGCCAAAGCCGGTGATGAGAAAGGGGATAAGGTCCACAAACTCACGCTGAAAGGCAGTGCGAAGATGGTGTCCGAGTTTGTATGTCCAAATTTATCACTCCAAATATTGGTATTGAAAGGAACCGGACGTTAATATTATCGTGTATAGTTCGAATACTCGATCCACTCGATCTTATTCCAGCGTGGTGTATACCCCGCCGATGACTTCTCGCCGTATGCCACCCCTCACCGTACCCCTAAAACACCAGTCGCTAATGGGATGTTATAATTGTAGTGTCAAAAAGTACGGCCTTAACATGTTGATGAACACCGACGACCAAGTACAAGCGTATATCAAAAAGATTATGTCACAGTTGAGCAAGTGGATGCTCCACGGAAAGATCTCGAAGTTCATTCTCGTGATTTCGGATAAAGATACCGGCAACAAACTGGAGAGGTGGCAGTTTGATGTTCATATTTTGGGAAAGGGGAAGAAGAAGGCTGCTAAAGACGCTGAAGTCGAGATGGGAGATAAGGAGAATGCTGCGGGGTATGTAATCTCGTTTACTACGTGCGGTGCAGGCCATGGTTTTGCGTGTGCTAATTTATGATTGTGTATAGTGCAAGCTCTGATGCGACGGTGGATAAAACGGATAAGGAGATTCAAGAGGAGATCCAGTCAATATTCAGACAAATCACGGCATCGGTTACCTTCTTACCCATGCTTGATGGAAATTTCAATTGCACGTTCAACGTACTGGTTTATGCGGACGGTGATGCAGAGGTTCCAATGGAATGGGGAGACGGCGAGGATGAGGGCATCCAGGATGCTGAGCAAGTACAGCTGAGATCATGGTCAAGTAGCAGCCATCGAGTAGAAACGATGGTCAGCTACCGAATTACGGATTAATTGGCCTGGCGCCATTCCGCGAATGAAATCAGTGGCTCGCCCAACGGTGCAAGTATACCTGATGCTGGGGTTTATCATGGTCATGATATCGCCTTTTCTTTCTTTCTTTTCGACATGAAGTTCATGATTATATTATTGTATGTCTTGTTTTTATTTCCTTGGTTGCATTCATTGGAGCTTGGGATATTGGCGTTTCTTTTCTTTGTCCGGCGGATATCAATATAAATCAATCTCTCCTACTACCAAAATCTTCAAAGTGTTGTGGTAGCGAAGCTTTGAGTATAAAATTTCCAACTCTCTAAAAAAACTCACAAACTAAGCTTCGAACCCGAAATTCGAAAGACTGCCATGCCGATATCATAACCCCTCGCTAGAACTACACTCATTACTCTGATGCCAATGGCCGCATCGTTCCGGGCGAGCACCGCGATACTCCCGGACTTTCTGCTTCCAAGGCTCGTCAGATCCGCGGGATGGTGCTCCCCGAAGACTCGGCTGCGAACAAATCCATCGTTGTTGTCGCAAAGATGGCAGAGACGATATGCTTCGAATGTTCGAGCGAACCCGGAGCTCGAAGCGCGGGTTGCTGCTGTTCCGATTGAGAGGTACTTCTACCTATCTGTAGACAGCCAATGGGTGGCATTAGACTAATAGTATGCGATTGGAAACCTCAGAATGCGTAACTTCTGCGTTATAGCCCATATCGTATGATACCTCTGGAAACCCGATACATAATATACAATTTGCATTCTGATGGACTATACTTGTAGGATCACGGGAAAAGCACACGTATGACATCTTACCACCGTATATTACTCCAATACCGAACAGCGCTAAGGATTAGTTGGAATACCTAGTTAGCGACCGTCTTCTCGAACTTACTGGTACCATAAAACCCGGCGGCAGTGCCCAAGTCCTCGACAAACTCGATGTCGAACGTGAGCGTGGTATTACCGTCAAAGCTCAGACATGTACTATGCTTTATAACCACAAGGGAGAAGATTATCTCCTCCATCTGGTCGATACTCCAGGTCACGTTGACTTCCGCGCCGAAGTCGCACGATCATATGCAAGTTGTAATGGAGCGTTGTTGGTTGTGGATGCATCGCAGGGTGTACAGGCACAGACTGTTGCAAACTTTTATCTAGCGTTTGCACAGGGGTTGAGTATGATTCCGGTTATTAATAAGGTAGATTTACAGCATGCGGAGCCGCAGAGGGCTGTAGAGCAGTTGAAGAGTACCTTTGAATTAGAGGATCCGGTGCTGGTGTCTGCGAAAACGGGGCTTAATGTTGGTGGGATTTTGCCGGCGGTTATCGAACGGGTGCCACCTCCGGAGGGGGGTGTGGATAAGCCGCTGAAGATGTTGTTGCTTGACTCTTGGTATTCTACATATAAGGGAGTTGTGCTTCTGGTAAGAGTTTTTGACGGTGTAGTCAAGCAAGGAGATCAGATTATGTCCGTTTCGTCGAAACTCAAGTATTTCGTCGGGGAGTTGGGAATACAGTATCCTACCGAAGTTGCAACGTCCTCGTTGAGGGCAGGGCAAGTTGGATATATGTATTTCAATCCCGGGATGAAGAATATTTCGGACGCAAAGTTGGGAGATACATTTTGCCATGTTGGGAAGGAGGTGGAGCCTTTTAGAGGGTTTGAAGAGCCACAGCCTATGGTGTTCGTGGGTGCTTTCCCGACAAATCAGGATGAATTCCAGAAGCTGGAGGACAGGTGAGTGGCCCCTAAATTTCAAAAAATGTTCGGGCAGACTAACTTTTAGTATAGTATAAACCAATTGACGTTGAACGACCGAAGCATCACATTAGCGAAGGAGTCTTCTCATGCGCTTGGGTTAGGATGGAGGTTGGGCTTCCTGGGGACACTCCACTGCTCCGTCTTCGAAGATAGATTACGACAAGAGTTTGGTGGCTCAGAGCTTCTCATTACCGCACCAACCGTACCTTTCAAGATCGTCTGGAGGGACGTTGGCAAGAACAAAGCAGGTGAAGACGGACCTAAGGAAACGATCATTACAAACCCGGCACTCTATCCTGAAGAAGACGTTGTAAGGACCAAGGTCGAAGAGATTCAAGAACCGTTCGTCTTGGCAACCATCACCGTCCCTGCCGAACCCGCTGAATTTCTTGGGCACGTTATTGAGTTATGCCAAGAAAACCGGGGGACACAGGTAGAATTGACATGGTTCGCGACTCAGGTTATTTTGAAGTATAAGCTACCATTACTGCAGCTAGTCGACAATTTCTTCGGCAAATTGAAGGGAATTACAAAGGGTTACGCTACACTAGATTACGAAGACGCCGGATATATGAAGTCAGATATCGTCAAACTGGAGTTGCTGGTGAACAAAGAGCCGGTGGATGCCATTGCACAGCTGTGCCACCGGAGTTCGGCGGAGAGGCTGGGTCGTATGTGGGTTCAGAGGTTTAAGAGCTTTGTGGATAGACAACTGTTCGAAATTGTCGTTCAAGCGGCTATCGGGAAAAGGGTTCTTGCGAGAGAGACGGTTCAAGCGTTTAGAAAGGACGTTACTGCTAAGGTTAGTTTCGGCGGATTCTCATGGGGATACAATATAATAATTCGTAATAGTTATACGGTGGCGATCATACAAGAAGAAAGAAACTCCTAGAAAAACAGAAAGCCGGAAAGAAGAAGCTTCGAGGTTAGTCGCTATTTACCTATACAGTCATATCCTGAGCACTAACGTGTCTTCTATTATAGCAATTGGCAACGTCATTATTGACCAGAAAGCATTCCAAGGTTTCCTTTCGAAAGATGGTGGAGAATCGAAGCCAAAGAAGAAATAAATTGAGATTGTAGAAATGTATGATATTAGCCATTGACGAATTCTTGTATATATTTGAGCATCCATAGAATAAGAATGTATATTCCGGCTATCGTCGCGTGGCTTTCGTGTGGGTTCGACGGCACGTTTAAATTTGCCCATCAGCGCAATACAAAGGCAAAACCAGGACTCGCGTTGTCGGCTGTTGCATTTTTTCCCTGCTATTTTTTTAGCGATCTTCTTTTTCTTGCTCCCAAATTTTTTCTGGAAAGCTTCAAACTTCAATCCCCACGACACAGTAACTTTTTGCGCCAGTCACTCCCGTCAACTCCACAACCATCACAATGGCGGCGCCAGTGGAGCATATCCAGCCCGTCAAGCTGGCTGCTCTGCCAGCAGCTTTAACCCCCGACAATCGCTACTGGCGCACCTACAAGTCCCCACTACTCATTAACTCATACTCCGCGATCAATCATATCAACTTCTCCCCGATCTCCCCCCACGATATCATAACCTCTTCAGCAACCCGCGTCCAAATATTTTCCTCCAAAACCCGTGCCGTTACGAAGACGATTGCTCGTTTCAAGGATACTGTCTACTCCGCTAACATTCGTCATGATGGAAAAATCTTGGTTGCAGGAGATGCCACGGGTCTCATCCAAATCTTTGATGTCGGTTCGCGTGCTATTCTACGTTCATTCGAGCAACATAAGCAACCAGTGCAGACCACCAAGTTTTCGCCGACGAGTATGACGACTTTGATGTCTACCAGTGACGATACTACGGTTAGACTATGGGATATTCCATCACAGGAACCGACACATGTGTTCATGGGACATACGGACTATGTCAGATCCGGTGCATTCTTACCTGGCTCCTCTGGAACGGTTATCTCAGGATCTTACGATGGGACGGTCAAGCTTTGGGATCCAAGGATATCAACTAGCAGTGCTTCGGGTGGTTGTGTCATGACCTTTACTCATGCACATGCTGTCGAAAGCGTGGTACCAATGATCGGTGGAACGACTATTTTGAGTTCTGCAGGGAATACGGTCAATGTTTTGGATATTGTTGCAGCGAAGGCATTGAAGCAGCTTGGTAATCATCAGAAAACTGTTACAGCTGTGGCGACGGCTAGTGGCAACAGAGTTCTGTCTGGTGGGTTAGATGGACATGTTAAGGTTTACGAAACAAGGGAGTGGAAGGTTGTGCATGGATTCAAGTACCCAGAACCTGTGCTCTGCTTGGGTGTCTCACCAGATGACAAGCACTTGGTTGTTGGTATGTCGAATGGATTGTTGAGCATCAAGACAAGGGCCTCTGGAGCGCAGAAGCTCGATGTACTGTCTCAAATCGGACAATTGGCAGATTTGGGTATTGAGGAGGTTATTAAGCGGGAAAAGAAGCAGAAGTCTAAGAATTACCAGAGGAAGATCAGGGGTATGGATTACAAGGGTGGAGCCGAGGACATTGCCGTGATGGACAAGGATACCAAGAAGAAGCTACAGAAGTGGGAGCGTTCATTTAGGAATGCAAATTACGCAGAGGCTTTAGATGAGGTTTTGATGGTAAGCGCTTGCCCCGTATGGTTATACGGAATTAATGCTAACGTCACGATAGTTCAAGGATCCAACAATACCATACACAGCTCTAACAGCCCTCAAGCACCAGTCTGCCCTCCGTGCTGCCCTTCAGGGCAGGAACGAGGAGACCCTGCAGCCTATCATGAAGTACTTAGCAAAGTACCTCCAAGACCCTCGGTTTTTCAACTTCCTTGCCGATGTCACCATGCTCCTGCTAGACATATACGCTAGCTCGTTCGGACAATCGAAGCAAATTGATAATTTAGTTGTAAAGCTTCACGAGCGAGTCAACGAGGAGATCCGAAAGAGCAAAAGTGCTACTGAGGTCCATGGGATGCTTAGCTTGCTACTTGCCGGATCCGAGTAGTTGATGGGCTACCGTTGTGGTTTTGTTAGGAGTTGCATTTAGCAGGCGTCTTCTGGTATCTTTTTCTCTCTCTGACATATTTTATTACTAAAAGTTTTTGGACGGATAGTAAACCTTCTTTTGCTTTCTTTTCTTCGTGTATATTAGATGTTCGGCGCTATGATGGGGTTCCTGGGATGTGTATTCTATGGATCTAGAGTACTGTAATATATACATCGAGATGGCATACCACGTATTAGTATTGTGTACCGTGTATTCTAAAGGAGGATTATCTATCATATTCACCATCAACTATAGCTATTCTAAAATGTTTCGAGGAACGTTAGGGTCAGTTACGGGTTAGACGACGTTTATTCAGCGTTTAGAGTGTCCTAATAACCCCAACATCTGTCTTAACACGGCACTTTCATCTTAGCAGCCCTTTGGTTTCCTATAGAGGATATCTACCAAATTAGAGCAGCATCTACCTAAGAAAGTGGATATCGATCTTTATAGGCCTCGAGGCTAGATGCGAACCTGCAGGTATGTAGACAGACCTGTCATTTTCGATATGAATTTCAATAGGGTTTCAACAATGCCATTAAGATCCTGAGCACTGTACATAAAATTGGACCCAGAATGCGCAGCCCTAATAGTAGAGGACGTAATTCAGGACGTAGTACCCCCTCCCACAGAACGCAGGCCTTTAACTCAACCTGCACAAATAATTATTTTAGTTATCCTCCCACAACCACCTCTTTTCTTGAATCACCAACCATTGTAAAATTTTCCAGCATCACCTTCATCCATCCACATCTTTCCATTCCCTTTGCATAGTTCTACCAAACCATTCCCTTCCAGAAGAACTAGACTAGTTCATAACCTTTGACCAAAATGTCAGAAAGGTCCGAAGATTCCCCGACTCCTGGCTTCACTGTTGAAGACCTCATCAACAGAGCTCAGAAGGGAGCTCCATACTACCTAGACGAACCTAAAAAGGCCTCCTTTCGACAGAAACCAATCGGAAATATTCAAGAGCGTTTCCCAGAGAACCTTCGTGACCAGTTTCGAGAGCGATATCGAAATGATTTTCACTGCAACTTCCAACACCAGGCCGAACGACAGTTCGAAGAAGCATTCCTCAAGAAGGAAAAGACCCTTACTCCGGAGGAAGAAAGCCTCAGCTCGGACGATGCTTCTAGTGAAGCCAGTATTCCCAGCATAGAAACAATCCCTGACCCGGTCAGCTACACACCTAGCCCAGAAAGAATACCTACTCCAGTTATTGCTCCCGGCCTCATCAGCAGTACAGATCCGAACATCGACTCATGCCTGGCCAACATATCAAACTCGACTCCGATGGCTCCTAAAACAAACCCACGATCTGACCCATGGATCGGAGGACACTTACCACTGTTTGAACAAGGTTACAGTGGACCTCGCCGCGACGGGCAAATTCCAGACGCTATTTGGCGCAGGTTCGACGAGTTCCAAGCCGGCGGACACTTTGACCCGGCTCCAGTTAACGAAAATCCCATCGCTGAAACTCCCATCACCGAAATCCCTCTCACTCACTCCCAAATGTGGGATCAAGGGATTGCGAACAAAATCTTTCAAGATTATATTTCTCAATGTGAGGAAAACCCTAGCGTAATCCTCAAAGATATGGGTATGGGCGAGGGCTTCCAGCCATCCGCCACGGGGGAAGATTCTGAGCTCCCGGACTTATCTTATCCTGATCTCGACTCTCGTAATGAAGAATCATATCAAGATGCCCGTGAGTATCTATCTCCGATGCCTGGGGTCGGTGAGCATCAAACTAGCAATTTCATTGACCTTACGAAAGGTTCGCCGGCCGTAACCCAAACGGCGAGCTACAACAGCGAGATCGATCGAGTAGTCGAGCGAGCAATAGAGATGTTCTTCGAAAAAGAGCCACGCTTCATCTCTGGAGCTTCTCTAGTCCCCCCTAAGATGACTTTCGTACCTAGTTCCAGCCAAAATCTAACGACGGAAGACGACTATGAGAGAGACGTTGAGATGATATCGCCCGAAGGACCTGAGTCCGAATTTCCATACCCAGATCAGCAAGCGGCTTCTGTGATTTTCAAAGGAATTTACAATAAGTCTGCAAAGGATGCGAAAATGTTACCTGATATTTTTGTACACCCGAGAGAATATCTCATCAACTCATCTCAACTTCCTCCAAGCAAGGTCAATCCCTTACCGATTGTAATCAGTGACCATAGTGCTAGCAATGAGGCTGTTGGTACCAACGAGACCAGGAGTGAGTTACCGCCGGGACGCAAGATAATTACCCTCAAGGTTGGCCCCGAAAAACTTCAAGAGAACAAGGGGGATTCCAAGGTTACCTTCAAGAGGGTTGTCGAATATCGAAAAGAAATCCGAGGGATGCAGAGAGACGGAAGATTCAAAGACGGGGATGAGGTCGATCTGGTTAAGATGGAAGTCAAGTTCCCCGAATTACAGGAACTTGTGGATAATATCTGGAGAAGAATGAAGGCTTGCTTAATTGTAAGTTTTCCACCTGTTTTTTCCCTTATATCACGACCCAGGAACATGGTGAAATTGTTGCATTTTTCGTGTTGAAGGCCCTCGAAGCCGGTCACACGAGTATCTCGTGGATATCCGTACTACCAAACCTAAATCACATTCTAACGTTTGATCTGCGAATAGCTACACGAAGATCTATTCTACGGCGTTGTTGGATTCAGCCGCTGGTCTGTGGAGGGACGTTGTCAGGACCCCGAACTCTTCGACATGTTGATGTGCTTCAACCGCATTGCCCATGAATGTCAAAAAGAGGAGTCTACCTTAACACTCCTAGACATTGTTCAGGAATACACAACTCCGGAGAGACGGTTGGTCTTCTTATTCCTTCATACCATCTCTTACAAAATGATAAAAAACTAATGCAAAGAATATCTACACTAACACATCGAATCTAAAATAGAGTCGACTGTCACGAATTCTCCACCCAAGTCTTCCCTCTCCCAATCAGATTCTTCACTACAGACCAACTAGAGGTCGAAGATCCCAATCAATCCTCCAGCTCCGAAAATTCAGATAACGACGATAACAACGGCAGTAAGAAGCGCAAGCACAAAACCGCCAGTCGCCTCTCTAAACCAAAAGTTGCCGCCTTGAGTTTTATGGGCAAAGTCGCCGTTCGCTTCAACCGTTCGAACGGAGAGTTCTGCTTCTCTGGTTTGTACCATCTAGTTAAGTTCGGTGGACGCCCACAAAGTGATATTGACTTTCATAAACATCAAAAGAATGGGAGTCCGTTTGCACCTGGATCTGGAGGGACGGGATCTAGTCTTCGATACCAACGATACGGAGGCTCGTCAACTAGGTCTAGACTTGGTCTATGAAGTGAAAGCGAAGGTGGTAGTATCCTCAGTCTTTCATTCTACTGATTTTTAATCTTTCATTCTTTCCTTGAGTTCAAGAAGAGGTTTTAATATGACCGTCGTCTCAAACAGATGGCGGTAACATCATGATAAGATGAGGCAAACTTATATTGTCCCCTCATTATCGTCTTTTCTCTCCTTATTCTAGCGATTATTAGCAGCATCTTTCTTTTCTCACATGCAGAACCCCTCATCTGACACTCTCCACTTAACTTTTTAACGAATACATTCTTCCCTTTTCTGTTTTGCACTCACTACCAGTCGACACTATCGACTTCATCTTGCAGTTCCCTTTCTACGACACACATTAGCGGGCGTTTCAAACTAAACAAACCTTCTTCCTAACTTGCAACTAGAATTATCAACCTAACCAGGCGTTCTTCTTTTTGCTAAAAAAAATGCACGACAACCGGCGTTATCAACCTAAACAATTTTCCTTTCTCCCTTCCACAGCATACTAGGCGTCTACAGTATACCTCTTACTCCACTTTACCCCCCTTCTAGCGATCTTTCCCCTCTTCTCCTTCCTTCCTTGATCCCATAAAAACCCTCCCCAACCACTCTCCTTTCTCTTTATCAAACCACTCTCATCGTTTCCAGATAAGAGATTTTTTAACTCCTCCCTCCTTTCCTTTCCTTTCCTTCCAAAGAAGATTACATATGTTATACAACCAGCATCGATAGCTATTCTCAACTCCTTTAGCTTTTTCGATGCTCAGGATAACCTAATTCACCTTCTTATAGCAGGCAGTCTTTTTATTATTATTATTATTATGGGTTTATGGCGTTTAATACACCCCGTTTTCATTTATAAAAAAAGCGTTAAGCCAGCTACTATAGCACCATAACGGCTTTCTTCCTGTCAACTAATAAACCAATAAAAATATCTTTTATAAAAAAAGAAACCACGCAAGTTTTAGTAAACCGTACTTTCTAGCTGTGACAAGCTCAAAAAACACTACTAATTAATGAATGAATGAATGAAGAAACCTAAGGCTCATGAATTCCGTGATGATAAAAAAAAAGTAGTAGCAGTAGTAGTCGTGGTGTATCTAGGGGTATACAACAAAGGTAACGTATAGGGTATAAACTAAAAAAATAATCTATACTCTAAAAAAAGACGAAAAAGTCCCTTCTCTAGATGTTTAAAATCACCACTGTTTCTTCCACCTCTCCTTCACTAAAAGAAAAAGAGAAAGAAAAAGAAAAAAGGTATTGGCGTCGCTATGCCATGCTCCCCTTCCGATTCCTTCTTCCGAAATAGTTTCTCCCAGAAAGGAACCAACCATCTATCATAAAATCCCAGTGTAAATCCCCAATAACCCCCCCTCCCTAAACTTCCGCTTAAAAAAAGACCTACAACTTACTCTCCAAAGCACTCTTCAACCGTCTCTCAACGGCATCGAAGTACTGAGCTGTATTAACCCAAGCGCTCCTATCGGTCTTACCTTGCGCCAAGGCAAGATCTTTAGTCATAATACCGTCCTTGTCGACAGCATCGATACAAGCCTTTTCGAGGGCTTCAGCGAAGGCGACGACTTCTGGAGTTTCATCGAGTTTTCCTCGTTGGATTAGACCGCGGGTCCAGGCGAACTATATTTTTATCATATATTAGTATTTTTCTTTCTTTTTTCTTCTCTTTTTAGGAGGGAGGAGGACGTACGATAGAGGCGATAGGGTTGGTTGATGTTTCTTTTCCTTTCTGGTGTTCACGGTAATGACGGGTGACTGTGCCGTGGGCGGCTTCGGATTCGAAGGTCTTGCCGTCTGGGGTGATTAGGACTGATGTCATGAGGCCGAGGGAGCCGTAACCTTGTGCTACGATGTCGGATTGGACGTCGCCGTCGTCTGTATCAAGCAAGCAATTAGTTATTTGTCTGTAGGGAGATTATGAGGGAAAAGGAGGGACATACAGTTCTTCAAGGCCATGACGAAGCCACCGGTGGATTTGATCATTTGGGCGACCATGTCATCGATCTATTTCAATTAGTACCTCTTGTCCTTCTACTCTCGGGAGGAACGTTTGTGGGGTTGTAGGCATACCAAACGATGTTCATACCATAGTCCCTTAGCTTCGAACTGGCTCTTATATTCGGCTTCATAGATCTCCTGGAAGATATCCTTGAATCTACCATCGTATTTCTTAAGGATTGTGTTCTTGGTGGACATGTAGAGTGGGTATCCCCTGTCCAAGGCGAGTTTGAAAGAGGCGTGGGCGAATCCTCGGATCGATTCGTCGGTGTTGTACATTGCCATTGCGACGCCGCCGCCGTTCTTTTTGACCCCCGTTTATTAGCTTCTCTCCCTTCTAACCTTTCTTTAGGTGGTGGATGTAAAGGAGAAAATACCTTGTAATCATAAACATGAATCTTCTCAGCCGGTCCACCGTTCTTAGGAGTAAAAACTAACTCCAAAGTTCCCTCCTCCTTTGCAACATAATCCTTAGCTTTATACTGATCACCGTGAGCGTGTCTACCGATAATAATCGGTTTCTCCCAACCAGGGACAAGTCTTGGGATCGCTGGGATGACAATTGGTTCTCTGAAAACAGTTCCTCCTAGGATGTTACGGATGGTACCGTTGGGGGATAACCACATCTGTTTGAGGTTGAATTCTTTGACACGGGCTTCGTCGGGTGTGATGGTGGCGCATTTTACACCGACTGAGTACTTTTTGATGGCTTCGGCGGCGTCGATGGTTACTTGGTCGTTTGTTTGGTCACGGTATTCGATGCCCTGTTTTTTTATGTTTTTGTTAGGAAGGAGATTGTTTAGTGGAGGTGGGGTGGGGGAGGGGTACCAGATCGTAGTATTTGAGGTCGACGTCAAGGAATCTATAATTACTTAATTACTACTTTTATATCAAAAAGGATTAAGCTTTGGAAGCCTTACGGAAGGATAAGCTGTTTACACCAGTTAGCATCTCAATTCATGATTTATACTGAAAAGAAAAGAGAGGAACATACTCTATCCTTGATCATCTGCCAAATGATTCTAGTTTGCTCCTATCGATAACAATAACATCCATTAACTCTCTCTCCACCACCTTTTTTATTTCTAACAGAGAAGAAAGATTGGTGGTTCATACATCTCCGTCAAGCTCCACAACTGGGTTCTTGACCTTAATCTTACGTCCTGAAGTTCACAATCAAATATGTTAGTATCTCAGTGGTTACTAAGGTTGTGAGTGGATGAAAGTGGACCATACCGTCAGAAGACATGTTTCGTGTTACAACGAACGATGTAAAAGCAAGTTGATTTCGAGAAAGGTGTCTAGTAGGAGTAGTATTCGCCGCGAATAGCGATCGAGTACCAGCAGTAGTAGAAGTGGTGGAAGGGGAAGAAGAAGCTAGGATAGAGTAACGTCGAGCAAGAACAGGTGGTGTTTGTAACAACTTTGAGCAACAGCGCCGCGAGACAACAGAAGTCGTTGACGAGAACATTTTAAAAGAGAAGAAAGAAAAAAAGCGGGAAAAAAAGAGGAAAAAAAGAAGAAAAAGAAAAGAAAAAAAGACAGAGGGGAAATATCCAGTGGCGTCGGAACGGGGAGATATTGAATCTGAGGGTAAGACGGTACGGTGGACGGATGGATGGGCAGGTCGGGTTATCCGAGGTAAGTTTTTGGATTGGATGAGCTGCTGAGAATGGTGTTATTTCTGATTCGAGGAATTACTTTATTATTAATTAATAATATCAGACTGATCTAGCTCCCTTTTTATCTTCTTTTCAAAGGAGTTAGCTTTAAAGAGCAGAAACAAAATGCGGGGAAGCTGCTATGCTTGTTCGAATGGGAAGTTGAAGACCTGCTTAAAGCGCTTTAAGGCGGGCGGCGGGTGTTGCTGACCTTTTTATATCCCTCGACACGACGACCTCGTCACTGATTCGATTCGATCGGTCCGGCTGCCGGCCACTTTAAAAAAAGATTATTATCAAATCAGAATAAAGAGGGTGGTGTATTGTATATAAAAGAGGTGGGAAGTATAAGCTTGTTATATACTTTTCGCTCTAGCATCAAAACCCCGCGACGGCGGTATTTTTCTATTTTTCTAGATTATTATCGAATGTCGCGCGAGAAAGGGAAACCTGCATACATCCGGATCTTCAATTATCCCCCCATCCCACCATTCCATCCATCCCATCCATCCCATGAATTTCACCATGCATTGCATATAACCCAACATACATATCCAAATGTGTAATAGCATGTATGTAATCCATGTAAAAACCTTCGAGTTTTTTATGGGGGGCGTGTCTAACTAAAACGTTCCGTAGCTAGTGCCGAAGCTGTAATGTTTGTACTTTGTGGTACTGTCAAATCTGCCGCGGGGTACGGCGCAACTCCGTTATCGATTAGCAACCAAGAGGAGCTCTCTGTCTCCACGGCCACGGCCACGGCTTGCCGAGTTGGTTTACTTCGGTAGTGACACAACGTCTCCCGAGAATGCGGGTTCCCTTCCTTTTTGTTTTTTTGATCCCGAACTTAATCGACCAATGTTATATAAGTATTTAAATTATAACTAATTAAATGCAATAGTTGAATATATATGGCTGTATACATGTAATGTAATGGTGGCTAGTGGCGGTGGGGGCGTGGTATGTAAGTACGTATCGATACTCAAGTACGGATGTAAGTACTCGGTACCTTCTACGGGGTACCTCCCACGGCCTAAATTTCTACTTTCGAAAAAAAGGATTTAAATCGAAAATAAAATTCAAAAAAAACGTGGACGAATCAACTGGTCAGCCAGGCTGGGCTGCAGGTACCCAAGACAATTTTAAATTTTTTTTGTCTTTCGAAATTTCTCGGGTGCGAATTTTAAACTGTGACAAATTCCTTAGGAAAAAGCATCTGATCCCGACGGATGAGTCCGACTACGTATTTAAGTATTTATTTATATACGATAGACACACCCCCCCGTAGACATTCAACCGAACTTCACAAAACTATAACAATCATTATACATAAGTGTATATCATATCCGCCAGTATAACATCACGAACCATACCAAATAAGGAAAAACGCCTCATAGATTGATAAAGGAGAAGAAAATGTCGACCCCGGTACAAATACCTTCCGACGAACCTGCAGTACCGGCGATACCGGTTGAAGTCACCGAAACCGATCCCATCCCGGACCAACCAATCCCGGAAAAAAAGTACGGACCGTATCTAGTCTCAGACCGTCGTCCAATCTTCCAGTACTCTGTCGTCCGAAACTTATTCCTGCAATCCCTGCCGGAGTATCTAGTCGACCAAAATGAATTCAACACCCAATACGTATGTTAATTCACAACGGATATAGCTTTTTTATTGGCATATATTGATGGGAATTTGTATAGTTCTCGAAGAATTTCGGATTGATGCTCTACACCGACGACGATCAACCGGACTGGAAAGCCTTCGCCGATAAAGTAAACGAATTAAACGAAAACGCGGAGCCAGATGAATGTTACAAAGTCTTTTACCTCGCGAGACACGGGCAAGGTATAATAATCCCTCTTTTACCCGTACCCTTCCATCCGAACTTAAATAATGCAAATATACATATATAATATATAATATATAATATATACAGAAGAAGGCTAATAGGCAGATTAATTACATCTTTTTGAAAACTAGGCCCGCATAATGAAGCAAGTAAGTAGTTCTATACCGCCCTTTTTGACTATAATAGAAAATATAGCCATATAAATATAGAAGTTTAGACTGACGAGCGAATATAACGGCGTTTAGTTGAGCAGTACACGCAAGCCGTATGGGAAGTATGTTCAACAGATACCTCCCTAGGCACTTTTTCTCTCACTCAATTGACTTCATATTAACCTCGGTGGAATATGTTTCTACATATTATATATATATATAGACAAAAATTGGCATGCAAAAGGAATATAAAGGCCTAAGATTGGTAACTATTCTCTTCTTTTTCTCTACAAAATGGATGGAGTAGAGGTATAGTATACTAGATGATTAATATTGAGAAAATATAAATATATAGGGACCCGACCCAGACCTCACCGATAAGGGCAAAAACGAAGCCCTCTCCATCGGCAACATCTGGAAAACCCAACTACAACATCACTCCCTCTTCGAAGCCGGCGCCTTACCCCAAAAATTCTACGCCTCACCATTCACCCGCGCCCTTCGCACCCTCGAACTAACATGGCAAGACATCGTTCTCGACCTACCGGATGCACCAAGAGTAAAAATTCGAGAAAACCTAAGAGAAACGATCGGATATCATTGGTGTGACCAAAGGGGGGTTATGAAGGAAGTTAAAGAGGTGTTTCCATGGATTGATCTTGAAGATGGAATGCATGATGAAGATAAGATTTGGACTGAAACGAGGGAGGATGAACGTTGTGGGTCGATGGATAATCGGCTCAGAGAGGTTATTGATGATATCTTTATGGAGGATGGTGAGACTTTTATTAGTATTACCGCGCATAGTGGATGCTTGCGGTGTGTCATGAGGGGTAAGTGCACTCCTTCTTCCACTATTCTTCCTTTAGGGTTGGAATCAAGATGGATTGGGCTAATAATGGGGTGTTTATATACACAGTGGTCGGCCATCGAATCTTTGGGCTCTATACTAGTAGGATGATCCCGATTGTGGTTAAGGCCAAGCTGCTCCCAGAGTTCAAGGACAAGGTCAAGCTTCCTGAACGAGTTACAGGCCTTCCTTATAACTACACACCAAAGAATTACGAATCGCTCAAGAGGAAAGAATTCGACGGAACCCCACCACCAACGAACGGTACGAAGAAGGTACAAGTAGACGGTGTTGATAAACACTAGTACTTGACACCGGGGATATTTTGAATAGATCTTTTTTAGCAGTGATAGTTTTTTTTTTTTTTTTTTTTTTTCATTTTGGATTGTATCGGATCGGTAGAGCGCATTTTTATATACACACAAAGCGCGGGGTGGGTTAGATTCGTAATAGAATATATTATATGATGAACTTCTAGAAATACTATAGAGGATTGAAGTAACAAATCTAACTTTGCTTCTCTATCTCCTCCTTCATATCCGGATAAGCATTCAACGCCAATTGACCACCCAAATGGGCATAAAGGATATTCCCTTTAATCTCCCCTTTCCTCGCCATATCCAACATCCCCGCCAGACTCTTCCCTTCATACACCGGATCCGTGATGAACGCATCCATTTGTGCGCCGTACTCCATAGCCTCAAGGGTCTGTTTATCCGGAATACCATAAACACCAGCATGATACCTTTCATCCAGAATAATATCATCCTCAGTAATATCCTCCTCCTTCAACCCGATCTTCACCGCCGTATTCTTCGCGATCCTAAGTGTCTGTGCTTTCGTCTCCGCTGGTTTCGCAGAGGCATCAATACCAATTACCTTCCTATCATTTTCCTCACCACCGTGGATTTTCTGAAGGAGTTTAAATCCAGCTACCATCCCCGCGAACGTGGAACCGGTAACAGCACAGACTATTATAGTATTAAAAAACACACCCATTTCCTTTTCCTGTTGCTTTACTTCAAACGCCCATCTCGCAAACCCCAGTCCTCCGAGCGGATGATCCGATGCTCCGGCGGGTATGTAATAAGGTTTTTCACCGTTAGAACTACATTCTTCGAATACTGATTTTAAAGTTTGTTTATGTTCGATCCCGAAACCAGAGTTATCCAATCGAACGTCCGCTTGCATTAATCTCGATAATTGGATGTTTCCGACTTTAGAATAGATATCGTGAGGGTCTGGGTATGTAACCCAATTCTCTTGGACGAGTTTACATTTTAGTCCCGTGGAGGCTGCGGCGGCGGCGACTTGACGGGTGTGGTTTGATTGGAAGCCGCCGATGGAGATTAGGGTTGTTGAGGAGAGGGAGAGGGCTTCGGAGAGGAGGTATTCGAGTTTTCGGGTTTTGTTGCCGCCGTAGGCGAGTGCGGAGTTAAGGTCTTCGCGTTTGGCGTAGATGGAAATGGGGTTGGAGGTTGTTGTTGTTAGGTCGGTTGAGGTGCGGGGGAGGAGGTGGATTGGGGATGGGGTTGGGAGGGTGAGGGGATGACGGGGGATGGAGGCGAAGGGTTCTGGGAGGGTAACCATTTTGAGATAATATATATCGTGAAGTTATAACTTTATTAGAGAGGATATGATTGGAAAATTGCAATTGAATATGTTGAATTCCAGTCTTTTTTTATTTTATTCTTATTCTTATTGTTACTATTGCAGCTGGGATCCGCCTACCTTTTTATAGATATCTAAAATATAATATTACATCGAACCGCGAAGCTGTAGATTGATATAAAGCGATCAATGTTGATAATCAATCGGTAAGAAATGATCTACTCGATATCGGAACCGCGAAAAGGTACATACGCGGGGAAGGATTAGAGTTGGCCGTCGGGATTGGACGTATCGGCGCCCGCTCGAACTAGCTATAGAGCTAAAGCTAAACCTAGAGCTCGCGTGCCAGGCCCGCGGCTGCTGCCTGGCGACAGCTCCGGAAACTTTAAACCACCTTTTTTCCCGTCCAGTTACATATGTCGTCTTCGGACGATAACTAGGGAACTATAGCGAAAAGGGGATAGGTTATCCTCGAGCCGCTGGTAGCCTCTGCAGCTATCATATGAGGAGCTATCTGTCAACGGGTTGGCGTGTGTATGACATGTAAGTTAGTCAGTTATCACAAAATCATTTTCGTGAACTTGAGGAAGTACTTCTTGGCCGTCTAACTGAACCGGGGTTAATTTACATATATCTGAGACATATGATAGTAGATAATGCTGTCCTGGCGGCTAAAAGTAGTCCTCGAGTACGTCGGTAGAACTCTTGTATGCATGGCGATAATTGTTGTAACCAACGCAAAGCACCCTCCCACTTTAAATTTATATACCACATTATGGGACATTTTGCATTCAACCCTGCACTCGATGAAGATTAATCTTATATATTAATGTGTAGAAGACAATAAGTTATGTTACAGTCCCTGAATATATGTACAAAATGGGGCCGAATGGATTATGGATAATTATCGGCCGGCTCCGACTTCCCTCCTCAGCTCCCACGACCACACGTATCGATCATGAGACAATATAACCAATTCCCAATTGCAATTTAACCACATGGAGAGAAAGATTTAGCGGCGCAGCTTTCTCGATATCCATAATTACAACAGCCGCCGCTTGAATTGCACTGGTAAGCATCATTGCTCTTGCCACCACGACCGAAGGTCTTAACGACACCACATAGTCCGCAGTAAATTCCTGCTCTGGTGCCTTTTGCGCAGCTACAGCCGTTGCTCTTGCAGCTGCGTTTGTCGAAGACGTTGCTGCTGAGGTCGAGTTCGTCGGTGGCCATGCTGACGCCGGAGTTGTCTGCTGGGACGGCGGCGGCCAGGACGGTGGCGATGAGGGGGAGGAGGTAGGCGAGCTTTGAGAACTGCATTTTGTTTGGGATTGGTTTTCTAGATTTGAGGGTTAGTTGATGCGATGGTTAAGAGCATTCGAAGATAGAATACTGACTAACTTTTATATGGAATCCTCTTTTTCTTCGATTGTGGTAGTGATAATGATGCTGAAGGAGAAAAAAGAGGATGACCAGATGGCAGATTCGCGGGTTTATATAATCCTCAGAGCAGCACCTATAGCTCCTCATATTGACCATGTCAGCGAGTACATGAGAGCGCGTACAAGAAGCTGGTCGTTATATCGAAGAAGACAAGAATCCAGGATGTATAGCGTGGATACCATCATCGATGGTCATCAACATCGTTCCTTACGGAAGGTGTACTAACAACAATCGAATTTTTAACCGTAGATCAATGTTAATCATTACATGAAGTATTGTGGCCGCGGGTGCATAGTCTACTCTATCGGGAAGTTTAAAAATTTTCCGAACGGCGAAGAGATATACCTACCCTAGCTTCGCCCAGAGCTAGCCTTGTAAATTAAAAATCCGGGGAATTGGAAAACTGGAGTACGTAAGTCATCTTCAAGGCTTATGCGGATATGCATGATACTTTTGCATTTCGCCAATTGCGGTTGGACTTGAATATATCTGTCTGCCTGTAATAAGAGCCGCCATGGTGCCCTATAGTTCAATTAGTAAAATTCCCCGACAGATTTCTTTGCACAGTTTTTGAATTTTATTACATAATATAGAAGGGCTCTGGGAATAACATAGAAGATAGAAGACCTGCTCTTGTCTCAAACCAGACTTCGCAAAAAAAGACCTGCTCCTGCAGAAACAAAAAGCGGGATGGCCCGCGCGGCGCCCAACTCCGTACTATCCAGACACATATTGGCACGGACTTCAGCTTGCAGCTAAATACTTAGTTAACCAGGCTCCAATTCAGATTATGGAAGCCTATTCGAAACAAAAGAATAATGCATGAAATACCCTTCCAGCCAAGCTTAAACCCAACTGCCATGCATCTATCACTTTAAGTTTCATCATGTTTAATCATCGCAGATAGCAGTTGCTAGAGTGCAGAGCTTTTTCTGGAAGCTATACACTTCATTTCAATGGAAGTTCGGGGTTCTAAATCTGCCTAATAAATAATGCGTATGTATGCATGCTTCAAGAATACAGAAAGATGAAAAAGTTCCTATCGGTTACTCCCGGAGTGCATCTAAGACAGTTCCATAAATCCCGGTTATAAAACTATATGAAAAGTTCCAAGAAGCGGGGTTCGCTTTCATGGCGCTTCCAAGCTGTTAAGGGCAATTATAAAAAAAGTACTAGAATTAATTACAAGGTCAAGTGCCACCTTTCCTTGTTTAGGGACGCATGAGGGTAAAATATCATTCATAGTTAATTTTTACATCTACCTCCCTTTGTGACGTCTGAGAACGAGGCCAAGTTTTACTAATTATTAAATTCACTCAACCAACGGCACGCACCCGGTTCGAATTAATGTGTCGGTTTTCTAGTGCGTGTGTACCTGCGTACGTTGTAGGAACCGGGGACGTCTATTTTTACCTAGTATGGCAAGTTGTCGTTGGGATCCTGCCCCATAACCTTGAATAAAGCCGAGTGCCGAGCCTTGGTGAACCTTTAGTCTCTGGCATGACTTTGAAATGTACCTAATCGATAATAAGAGACTGCTGATCGATAAGGTATTCGATGATAAGTGTAACTTTAGCTACATAGTAACTTTATCTGATATTGAGCGGGCGTTTTTGATAGGAATTTGCAGCTGTTGTTCGACGGTATCACATGTGTTGCATTTTGCAATTTTGGTATGCGCATACTGAATTAAACGACTTATATTGTCGACGTACTGGACGCTCTGCAAGATTATGCCGCGCCGGGCCAGGTAATATTATATCAATTGCGCAAGCGTTCAGTTGACAATCGAAATTGATAAACAAATCTCATCTAGAACGGTTAACTAAGATAGAAAATATCAGATACAGCTTCTACTACAGCTCAGGCTGACGCCTACAAGTTCCATCTATGTGCATCTATCTAAATATGGAAGAAGAAAAGGCCGGGCTGATATTATAGTAGCTAATTTCATACTGGTGAAAAACCTATCCTACAGTTGTAAGTACAACCTAAGCTATTTTAGCCTATTTTAGCTGCTAGTTATAGCTGATTCGAAACCTATGTGCAATCAGGACGCTAACCTAAACAAACTGGTAGATAAGTCATTAATATTGATTGCAGAGTTCCATGTTTTCCGGGGTCTAGGGGTGGGGATGTGGGTAGTATAAGGATTCTATTCTCCTCTAATTCTAATCAAAATGCATCATGATATTACACCCCTCCCCAATAGCCGAAGCCCTAAGATGGTATCTATCTAACGCTGTGAACAAATTGATATTGTATTATTAGGTTTTTTTTTTTCAAGGACACCACGATAAGACTCCATCTAGCATCTCCATTGCGGACATGTAGACATATGCCACCTCAAACGAAATGAAATATCTGCGGGATACATGTTTTGCCCTTGGTAATTACGAAAATAGTCTCAGGCCGATAGTACCTATCTCGGACCCAGTCCCACCCCAAAAAATTACAGTGTGGTATGTATATCTCTAGTTAAAATTAGTACTTAGCTAAACAGTACATATATTGACATAAACATGACCAAACCGATGAGCTGAATGCTACTGCTATTTCCATTAAAAAAAAATTGGATAAGTTTTTCAAACGACTGGACCAATTAACTAGGCGCTATGCTTGGTCTTGTTCCCAAGCATCACAAACAGAGGCATCACTTTGTTTAGGATTTAGACTCCTTTTTAGTCTCGGCAGGGAGCGGCTCATCATCTGGGACGACACCCTTCAACGTGTCGCAATAACTAGAAATTTTCTCTGTCTCTTCCTGCGTCTTTTCCGCTTTCCCAAGTGTCTCCATCAGGTTCTTTGTAAATTCCGCCCGCGATTTCAAGTCGCTCATTAATTTTGTGGCAGTTTCGCCAACGTCCTTGGTGTACTTTTTCAACGCTGAATCGAGAGCCTGATCATGATCAAGTCGAGCCTGTTAGATCTATACATACTTTTTTATACCATGTAGAAACGGAGTGGCTCTGGACTATACTTGCCTTCGGGTAGTCATCTAGGAAATGAACGGCTCGAAGATCCTTATCATTTCGATGAACTTCCAGACCACTGTCCTCGATCTTGCGACTGAAAAGAGTAAAGTATGTCATACTCTTATCTGTCATACTATGTTTACACACCCAAGCATCGATGACATTGTACATCGTCGCCATATTTTTTCCTAAATTCTCTATCGCTTCCGTATACCTTTCATCCGAAACATGTTTCTCCACTACTTCCGTCCCGCAGTCATAGAACGGTGACTTCCCCGTCCCGCTCGAAATCGCGGTTATCAAACCAACAATATATCTATCCCAAAAGCCTTTTTCGCGACAGTAATGTTCTATATCAGGATTTTGCTGGGCGTTTTCGAAGTCGTCAAGACTCTCGAGATTTGTAGCGAAAGCATCTAAAATTATGGCTAGAAGCTATAGGCAATTAAGTAAAGAACATTAATTCGAGAAATCTTAGTAAAGGTGAGGCAGAAGGACTTCTATTAAAAATAACACGTACTGTGTCTCTTCTACGACACTTGGATCCGCGCCTGTACTTTTTAATAGTCTTCTGAGAAGGACTCTTAAATAATCGATAAGCTCGCAAGTACTCCATAGCTTTCTCGTACGAACGCACGGGTGAAGAGCAAGGCTTTTGGTCAACAGTCGTGGCTTCAGACTGATGGTCTCGTATCCAGTCACCGGGGGTTTCGAATGGGAGCCTGAATCCGCTTTCGCCTCCGTCACCTTCCGCTGGATAAGCCGGCCACGGTTTTAGGATTTTTAGAGCTGCTATAATCCCATCGTTCGATTGCAGCTCTTCCAAGGCGTGCCCATAAAAGGGTGAATTGGCTGCAAGTGCGAAAAACTGGCCCAATGGTGCCATTGCTAGCACGAACACCAGGGAGTGGATAAAACACGACGGGATCATTTTTTGAGGACCGCTATTGAATATTTGAATCGAGAATTAAGTACGGTAACTAGGAACGAGACTAATACGGTAATAAAATACTTGTGACGTTTTGCGTCGTACAGCTCGGGGCAACCTAGCAATAGGGAAGTTTGTGCTGATTGTTTGCAAGATATATCGAATAATCCTATGGAATATTTGATGGATATATATACCTAGATCTGGGAACGAGACCAACCTAGATACTATCGAAGCCAATTTCTCTCCTGTTGGTGTGCTTCGACCCTATAGGCAAGGAGAAATCTTTGAGATTGGATCTACCGGTACTAAGTTAGGCCAACCACTTTACAACACTCTCAAGATCCCGCACACGGGATCTCGCTCAGGAATTCGAGTGCCAGATGGAACTTTTGGTGCCTAAGGCGATGCGCGATGTATGTACTGTATCAATACGTATAATATCATGATAATCATCAATAAGGCAGAGGGTTGAAAATGTTTTTGTCCGATCTAACAGAAACTCTTGTCACAAGATGACTGAGAGCGCATGCATGATCATAGACTCCCTCCTACCAAAGCTGTATGAACATTAGTACCATATAGGTTTATCGATATATATATTGCGATGGAAACTCGTATTCTAGGGCGAGGAAGCCACTCTGGAGCTCTATAGACGTCGGTGGTGGAAATAAACATGTATGCATATGTGTGGGCCATGGAATTCATTCTTAAATTCAAACAATCAATTGTTGGTACAACCCACGCAACAGAGATATACTCCCAAGCTAAGTACTCCGAAGGATTCATTTTTGAATGAACCATGTCGATGTTATCAACAAATATGGTTCAGATTAGCAAAGGTGGTATCACAATGCCGGCCTCTTCCCCCTGTCAAGGGATATCCCGTGACATTAGGTTATATATATTCGAGCCTGCAATCAATATTATTGGTCCAGGGTGTTTTGGTAACACACGGGTTTTAGATCTAGATCTGACCTGGATCTAGGCAACAACCTCATTTTTTTTTTGACTTCGCTTTCCCCACCAATTGCAAGGCCGCGAGGAATTTCTTAGATAGCGGCTCATGCCTCACATCGACCCAGACACCAACTCCTATCGCAAAACCGCTACATAGGCAGTTAATTATCTACTCGCAATCAATATTCTTTCAATTAATTAAATATTAAATATAGGTTAGGCTGTTTCTAGAGAAATGATTATTTTTTGGCCAACTTAGTTAACATATTGCATAATGCGTTGTTTTTGTTGAGAATCGATTGGCTGAATTGGGGCGAGCAGTCTTGACACTAAACCAGCTTATGGTTAGGTCGAGATCTGCCATTTTCGAGGCGGATTTTTATGTGATTCCGTGAGTCTGGTCCAAACTATAACCTAAAAGGTCGGTCACGGTGTGAACATAATACCATGGAGGTAACACAAGAAGGGTCGCTGAGAACAGCAGGTATGCATATGCACCCTGAATAATATACTCGTATTTCCCCAATGCAAGGGGCGTACAGGGTGATTGGATATTTGTACCTGCTCAGCTAGCGCATTGACGATCCAGGCACAGTGTGCATGATTAGGGATTTTTAAGACCGGATATTCTATCATAATAATATGATGTCATAAATTACATACTTTGAACCAATTAAGGACAAAAAAATACCTCACACAAAAGATTCGCACACTCCATAGAGCTCTTGGTTAAAAGGATGTTGATACCAAGTATATGGCTTCTCAGACCAGTACGCAAGGGATATCATTGATTACCATTAACTTCGCTCTTTTGGTTCTAAAAAGGTAATAGAGTGTTTCCAATCCCACGAGAGTTTTAAGAAGTTATGGCTGCTAGTTTAACTGGGATAGTTATATATTTTGAGACCGAAACAGAGAAGCGTTCTAGAGAGCAATTGTACAAATGACGGAACCGGTAACAGAAACTAGTACTGGTCCTCTAGAAATATTCACAACAGAGATGTCGGTGGATATGTAAATCAGAATTGTATATATTAATCAAAATAAATCAAAATAAATAAATTGAGCAAGATCAGACTGTCTATTCCGGTAACATAAGATACCTCACTAATAAATGAAAATATACAAATGTTTATAGCTGCTAACGAGGCCTCCCTCGGTGAAGTCTGGGAACGAGATCGTGCTAAAATTTACCCAACCATCATGCATCAGCCATCGATTTGTGAATAACTACGTTCATACAAAGAAAACTACGGCGAATATCATCCCGGAAACCTTCCCGACAAATGAGGATGAAGACCAATCAACAGACCCTAGTCATTCGGAAGTTGCATCAGCCTTCAACATTGCAATGTAATCCTTATATATAGACATCAGGTCCTGAGAAAGCTCTGAAGGCTGGATTCCAGGTTCCACTCTAGCTAAATTTAAACCATACGATCGTATATGACACAGGCCCTTCAGTTTCTACTTCTCACAAACCGTTCTAATCTCTCTCGTGCACATTCGAGATCTCTCACCCGCCTATACCGCTCTACCGTGTTCGTTCTTTGACGCCTTACCCTTTTCCTCTAGTCCATCGTCCAATTCTTTCCGGCCTGGTTGGCTTCAGAAGGTAGTAGTATTAGATTAATCTAAAATTAGCCCTTGCACATGTACACTTTACTAATTCTTAGTATTGTTTTGCTGTTAGAACGAAAGAGGCTTTGAGAAGTATGCATCGTGAAAGTAGAGCCTAGGCGCCTTGGTAGCTTTACATCCATTTACATTTAATACCTGAGAATGTATTAAAACTTATGCTGAACACTTCTTCATACTCTATAGATCTACAGGTTGTGGTCGAAGCATATGGGAGTTAGTTAGGGTAGCCAGATAAATTTAAACTAATGAATGGATAGATGGATATCAGATTCAACAAAATGAAAGGAAGCGATGAGGCCAACGATATTGATCACATAGGTAATAAGGGATACATAACTTCCAGATTACGGGCCTATAAGCAGCACTTGCCAACAACCCAATTTGATGCCGACATGTCTTAAATCGTTTAGCTCGTTTGATTCTATTGTTATATTTTTTGAGAATTTTTAACCCTTTTCCCCTCGAGTTTCGATTCTAGGGCCGTAGAGGGCTATAGGATCCTTTCGTCCTAGCTAGTCAGTTGACGACCGGCACTCCATGAATTGACAGATCCGATCTTCCGTTCATTGACAATAGAACCGTTTTATTTATCTTTCTTTTGGCTCCGTATACATATAGATACCCGAAGGCAGCCTCGGCACTAAACCCGAACGGTTCGAGACGCAGTCGGATTTAAGCACAGGTATTCACTTGAAAGTAAACCATTGATTAGGTCATCTATTAGTCAGCAGTCTTATTGTGGGCTAAAATACAACATCTCAACACTAGTTATGCTATAGAGTCCAAAGAGCTGCCAATAACCTAGGCAATCATGCGCATATAAAGTATCATATAAGAATCTTTTTAAAAGAGTGTGAATGTTTTTTTTTTTTTTGCAATATAAACAGAGAGATATACTAAAAAAAGGATCAAACTATAACCAAGCGAGTGACTAAGCTACAAAATAACATTCTATACTAATCCGTCCGATGCCACCGATCCTGCATTCTGTTCTCCCACCGAATTCAACCGTATCCAGCTCATAAACTAGGACTTAGCATATCCTATTTCAATACTACATCCTTGGCGCTCAGGCACGAGCTGTCCATTTAGGGATGGCAGTTTAAGCTGCAGTAGTTCAAAGTAGCTCTGCACGAAGCCCAGAACCAAGCAGTACCACAGCGCGTACACCCGCCAGATGAATAAATCGAAGCAAACCTACATATTTCACATACATATGGTCAGTAAAATAGCCTTACCAATACTAACTCTTTTCAAGGTTAAAGATCTGGATGGTACGTGAAACAAACTTACTTGGACCAAAGGTTTCTACCAGTCGCAACCCCTGCGTTTGCGGCAGACACATAGTCCGCCGGGTTGGAACAAGTGTAGATGGCAAGACAGCTGTGAAGGCCGATTCCATCATAACGCTCGGAATATCTTGTCTCGCGTCTGATTACTTCGTCGGGGCCGACGAGGAAGCGGCTAAATGCTCGGCGACAAGCGTCTGCAGATACTCCGGCGCAGTTACTGGAACCTTTACAGTCCCAGCTATCCCTTTTTTCGAGGCTGGTTCTGACTTCGAGGGCAGGATTTGGAGACTCCGCTCCAAGTTGGAGGTCAGTGGATGGTTGAGCTGTTGGGAGGCATAGTGCTCCTGGCATGAACACTTGGAGGATGGAGAGGAGGACGAAAACTTGGGAAAGGGCAAAGAATTGCATTTTGTAATCTAAGTTTGGTTTTCTTTCGAATTGAAGATATCAAAGTTAAATTTAAAATAAGAAGAATTTCAAATTCTAGATCTTTGGAACTGGGGATCTCTGTATAGCTGATGAAGTTGAGAATAATATCTTTTTCGGTGGGATTTTTCCATCAATTTATACTTTTATGCATGGTCTCCTCTCAAGTCGTTACAGATGCCTTTGAGATAGGAGTTTATCAGCTACATTCCTAGAAGCTTTCAAATGGCCTACTAGCCTCGGCTTTTCTCAATACACTTGCCCCCAATGTCATCTGCATATCAAATCATCTACACATTCGCACTTGAGGTCTCAAAACCTTGTACTGGCTAAAATTTTTGAAAGTTCGCGCTCCTAGACTAGGGCGCAGAAAACGAATAAGTCAAACCCGCTCCACAAAGTCCTCTCGTAAGCATCACATAATTACCAAATTTTTCTCAGTATCATGATATTTCGAAAAGGGAATGCCCTGGATGGTTGTAGTTTAAAACGTAATTTATATGCACCTCTCTCAAATGCAACCTTAGGAAAATATGTAATCACAAAATTCCCCTGCGGGGTCCATTTTATAGTAGAGAGTGCGAATAGCGTTTAGAGCTCTTAGCCTGCAATTTTCAACCCATTATCCCTGTCCCTGACGCGCTTGGCAATCAATATATAATATCGAGAGCCTAATATATGTATGTTCCCCGCCAACGTGTTGATTATCATGTAGAATGTACCTTCGGCGGGCTGGAGATTATAGGCGAGTATCTTGGTGTAAAGTACGTATATGGGGAACTGGAAAAGTGAGCCGGTGGGGCAATGCAAGAATAACTGCGACTAGGCAGAGGCGAACGTCCGAAACGCGTTATGTACTGTTACACACTACACTGTCAAATACTGCGCCAGGAAGTATCGATATCGATCGCAGAGAACGAAGGGAGCGATCCCGGGTAATTTTGTATAACACAAAATATATATATCGAATAATATACTTAACTAAGTTGCTTATTTACATAAAACGGGTGAGCTCGGGAAGGACAGAAGACGGAGATGTGCGAAGAGGCCTAAAGACTACAGCCTTACAGGTGTCGACATGTCCCGACGTCCCTGGCCAGGACTATTTGTGAGATTTCCTGCATCGAGCTTTGGATCGGATATTTTGATACCCTACATGCTACAGAAAAGAAATTCTAAAGAACACTAGTTTATAAGCTTTGTTTTCCAAATAGAATTGTCCTTTGATTTTCGAATTGATGTATCCATGAGATCGCTAGACTTCCGAAAGCAACAGAATATATATAGATTAAGTCCAAAACGCACGAAGTGATGCCTCCGGACTCTTTGTACCATCTGCGAACGAACGAGATGAATTAAATCCAACACGACGTCGACGACGCAAACTATGAGTTCCAGTTCAAACCTAGAGCAGAAACCGGGCCATGCTACTTGCCGACACAAATGAAAACGGACGCGGGACGAACAACACCACCTGGCAATGCTCGACCCGACCTGAGAACTAACTTCAGTCTATAGCCTCTAGCTAAAGCTTGATCGACCGCAGTCTCCAGCATGGTCTCGAGGCCGATCTCGAGGTTAGTCTCCGGATCAGACGCCATCGTGTCGTGTGGTTATGGAAGACTAAACTTTCTTATGTACATTATCAAGTAAACCGAGTACTCTTGATATATTCATCCCATTTTTTACGACGTTGAATCTCGTCTTTTATCTTTCTCATGTGAATCTCGTCCTTTACAAGGCTCATGAAAGACTCGAAACCAACCTGTTTCGTAAGCCAGATCTGGGAACCCAACGTGGTATCCGCACCTTTATCTATCAACAACTTCACGACGGCCTCGTGTCCATTGCTTGCAGTGGATAGTAGTGGCGTCCAATCACGGTTGTCTCTTGCCTCTAGATCTGCACCCTTATCTATCAACAACTTCACCACAGCCTCGTGGCCATTTCCCGCAGCTAACGATAGCGGTGTCTGATCCCTTTTGTTCTTCGCCTCAATATCAGCTCCCTTACTTACTAATACCTTCACCACAGCCTCATGTCCATTGCTCGCAGCTGATAATAGCGGTGTCCAATTGTCTTCATCTTTAGCTTCTAAGTCCGCACCTTCATCTACCAGGAGCTTAGCCATATCTTCATACTTAGCCCAAACGGCAGCACGACCTAGGGGTGTTAAACTCCATTGATTTTTAGCCTCTAGATTTGCGCCCTTGTCTATCAATATCTTCGCTATCACAACATCACCTTTTTCAACTGCATGGTGAAGCGGTGCCTATTGCTTATTTCAATATCATTGAAAACTATATCTTAGACCAAGAATTATGAGAACTTACTCCCTAAAGAGATTGAAGTAATATTAGTAATTATATCAGGATAAAAAAAAATGAAAATTTGGCAGAGCATGGATTACTTACAAACTGTGATTTCATAGTAAAATAGGATAAATAAGCTCCAGTTGTTGTAGATAGACCTGTACTTAATGTGGTCGGGTACACTTACAGACTGCAATCCAGTGACAAAGTATAGTGTGATTAGTCTCTGGTTCAGTACAAATACAAGTTCCATATTTATATGATGGAATACACTTACTCGGCCTCCTGGCTATCATGGTAATGTGAGGTCAGACTTCATCCGCTATTTTTAAAATCTACACGCGTATATCAAATTACTCACAATTTTATAAGAATAGTCCATGTCCACACCGCAGGCAAGCAAACGAGACACTATGGTCGCATTCCCGCTTTCTATTGCCCCTGACAATGGCCTCCATCCATCTTGTATCCCTTCTACATCCGGTTGAGCACCATTTTTGAGCAACAATTCAACGATTGTAGAGCTGCCCTTTTCGGCGGCTCGTAATAACGGTGTCTACCCTTAAGTTAATGCAAAACTTTAGTTCGGAATCCATATTTCTAGAAAGCCTTACTCTCTAGAATTTTTCCAAATTATCGTGCACAATTAGTATAATTAATTCCAATAAATAGAGCTTTGGGTGCTCGCTTACTTCCTATGGCGGCGACCCGATAAATCAATCTTTAGTGTCAAAAAAAAGCTTCCAGAACGTTAACTGCTACGAATGCACGCCATATACTTACACCCTGTATGACATTTTAAAACAACGAAAGAGTCAGCTTCCATCTCTCGATTCAATGGACGACCATAAATTTCATTTGAGAGCACTCACTTTCTATAATTTTAAAATATTATGGAATTAGGTCAATTCAATATTCACCTTCCCATCCAACTAATCAAATAGAATCAATGCTGGTTGTACTTACATTCTGCAATCACAAAACAAGAGTCAGCCTTCAGTTTGCACAAATAGCTTTGATGATACCAAACATATCTATGTAGCAACCCGAAAATAACTTACAGTCCCAAAAGTATAGTTGACTTCCACTCCAATCACAAGTAAATCTTCGACTATCGTCTCATTTTCTGCTTCAATGGCCATCATTAATGGTTTCGAGCCAGCTCCGTCTGATTTATTTGGCAGGGCATTCTGCGCAAGAAGAAGTTTTACAATTGCAGCATGGCCGTTTTCAATCGCCCGCGATAATGGCGTCAATTTTTTTGTTCAGCAAAATACTGCAACGATTTGAAACAAAATTTATATTTGAGGAGCAAACTTACTCTCCACCGGATAACCTGCACCCGAAACCCACCCCGTGTCTCTAGTCGCGCCTGGAGCATATAAAAATCAGTAATCGATCTCATACGTATTATATATACGCATGTACATACGCGCTTGAATGGACCCACTCAATATTAGATTCGGTTAACTTACAATGTTATAGTCATAGTTTACTTCTATTTTAGCGGCAAGTAGATGTTTAACTGTTGCGGCGTTTCCGACTTCTATAGCTTGCGATAATGGTTTCCAACCACGCCTATCTTCTACTTCGGGGCGGGTGCCGTTCGCAAGAAGCAGTTCCACAATGGCATCATCGCCTCCTTCAATCGCTTTCGATAACGGTGTCTACAATTTTTCGTTGGGGTTAATAGAATTGTATCTGTATATCAAGAAATTTGAACTCATATATTCCTATAAGTTTCGAATGTGATGGAGTCAGCTTTCAATCCACTATATATGCAGAGGTACTTATTCAAACAAATAAAGGAGTTACATAAAATTACACTATTTACCCACATAATTCAAACGACCCAGTCAGTCGTAGGCCACGAATTCATGATAAATAAATTTAACAAAAGAAGATTATATATACTCACTCTCCGGAAATAAAACCCGCCATTATAACAAAATTGGACTTAAGTCCAGAATTATTTGGTAGTTATCTACTTACCATCGGCCGCTATAATTTTGATGAAATCAGTTTATCGATATATTACGTACCAAAACGTTAAAATTTTTTTAAAAAAAAAAGCCTAGGCTCCTTTGCGAAACTCAGAAACATGGCCACTTACGTACTATAGTTGGAATACAAAAACGAGTCAAATTTCATGATCAATTCCATACAGCTAGATGCAAATAGTCAAAGGTACTTACATTCTGTGATCATGACAACAGTTAGTCACAAAATAGGATGCAATCAGACTTCGGCTTTGCACTATCGACTTGTTAAGGTATATATGGTAGGATAGACTAACATATGGTACTGGTGAGAAATTATTCCAGGGCTAGGCATAAGACAAAAAAAAGTATTATAATATTAGCCTTCGGTGCGTCATTTATATTCATAAAGTGTGGTAGGTGAGTCTCCGGGTCTGGTTGACAAAACAATGTGGTGGCATACGTATACTTACGGGCTACCGTTTCAAGAACCAGCAGAAATCAACTTTTTGTCCTATTTATATGAAGCTATTCGAGGATAATTTCATGCACTCACTCTCTACGTTGTATTGTAATTATTGACGAGGTCAGGCTCCCTGTAGCATTTTCAATAGATTAGATTGACTTACGTGGTAATAAACATATTCTAAACCTGCCCCCAAAGAAAGTAAACATCGCACTATCGCCGTGCTTCTTCTTTCGATAGCTTCTGATAATGGCCTCCGTCCGGCGTTATCCTCCACGTTGATTTGGGCGCCGTTTTTAAGAAGCAGCTTAACCATCTCTATGTTCTCGGTCTCTGCAGCATATGACAACGGGGTCCGGCCCTCGCCATCTTGGATATCCAGATTCTTTTTCTCTGCAAGTTTCTTCATAATTTCCTTTAAATCAAAATAAGCAGCGAGGTGTATTCCACAGACTGGTTGCTTGCCTATGGACGAGATTTGACTAGCTGCCGAGCTCTTCGAGTCGCTCTCAAGGAATTTCAGAGCAAGCTCTAATGCGTTTCCTTGGACTTCTCTAGTGTGAAATGCCCAATTTCGAGCCGCATAGTCAAAGAATGGGTTCTGTTTTTGGCGAGGTACTAGATCCAACCAATATGAGCAGTATCCTCCATCAAAAACATCATACGAGAGATAAGTCAGACAAGTTGCTGCGATGATATCCTTTTGTATGTTTGGGAAATTCTTCCAATAGTTTCGTTGAAAATATTCTTGGGTGGTATAATGCACCAGTCGAATTATGCCGCTTTCTCCGTCGATAGTGGCCAAACCTGCGCAAGAGGACACTATGTCTTTGGCTGTGTATAGGCTCCTCGTGTCCAAACTTGATGTACCGGATTTCACTGCCAAGGCATGCCTCAGCTCCTCCGTGGTAAGTGGTCTCCTCGCGAAGACAATCCAGAGAAGCACTCTCTCCCCTAATTCACGGAAGCCTGGTAGCTGGGACTCGATTCTCTTCACTGCAGCATCGTATGCCTCGTCCAATCCTTTTTCTCCTGCTCGCATATTTTTTAATGCGGTATCAATTGCGTTCTCTGTGAGTTTATCCGCGAGGGAGTTGATGTATAGCTGAGCAAGTAGGAACCTTGACAATCTGTGAGTCGTAAGTGAAAAAAGTTCGGCATTGGGTGTTACCTACATGCCGCGAGCTAAGTATGAGATACGATCTTTGATTTTATTCTGCAGTTCGTAATTCTCCGTGACGATGTCAGGTAATTTTGACATTTGGTTCCGTAGGTATATTTCCAGGTCTTCATTTTGGGCCCGAATTTCGATCCTTGTCTTGATTAGGGCTTCCGAGATGGCACCGGGTCGAAAGGTCACCATAAGTCGTATGTCGGATACAGTTTGTAACTCGAATACTTTAGACAATAGTGATTTCCGAATATCATTATCCCTACACTCATCTAGAGCGTCGATAACGATAAATATTCGGGAATAGCATTTGATAATGGATGTGATTTCTTTGGATATTTCATCAAGTGAAAGTCGCGGTTTTTCACCTTTCCGGTGGCTTTTATAAAACCTCTGAATAGATTCGGGGATAACAGGCCGCCCTAGCACCAACTGCACAAGTATCGATGCAAGTATATCATCGAGACTCTGCTGTTCCCGTTCGTTGTAGATGCAGTATATAAATGCAACACCCGTCCGAACATTTCTAGCTGCATCTTGATCCCGAACAGCTTTTAAGTTATCACTGACAATCGACGCAATCATGGTTTTCCCAGCTCCAGGAATCCCGGGACAAAATAAAGTCTTCTCTTTGCCTTTCAACCATTCTTTGAATTGGGGTGTCTCTAGAAACCATTCTCCGGTTCCTTTTTGGCGTCTACGAAGAAAATCGCTCTGTCGTGTGAAAGGATCGATCGGACTAAGCCAGCGGAAAATTTCCCTGTGCTGGCCCTCTAAACCAGGTTGAGAATACGGGTTTAGACAGGCGTATATATTTATTGGAGTCAGGAGCTTTCTAGTGTATACACTGACATACCTTGCTGCATTGAGGCCACGCCCCCGATAGCATCGCTCACTGCATCCATCTTTTTATCGACTGGCATTTTGTTAGTATGCATCCAAAATTTATTCTCGCACCTTCAGAACTAACTCTGCTCGATCATTTCTCCTATCCTCTTCTCAGCCTCAACCCTAGTCGGTGTGATTTGAGATAAAAGATCTTTCGCATACGCAGCAGCCGTCATTGCTGCGTACCCTTGCCACTCCTTGTTTTTGTGGGAGTCCGAGTAGTCACAGATACCTCGAATAACCAGACATGGAAAGTGATTCATCAGCCCGGCGGCTTCCATTTCGAAGCATAGGATGTCCTCCTCCTCAGCAAGCTGATCTCTCTCCGAAGCGTCCTTCATGAGGCTATTGCCTGATGCGATTCTGCCGTAATGAATCATTGGGTCATCCTCGTCTTCAGTCCGTGGTGGTCGCGATATCAAGCCTGATATATCACAGGCCGTTAAACAACTTTCATTGTTATTTAAAGGATGAGTGACGTCGGACCGATACAACGTATCGCTAGTTGAACTAAGGCGTTTATATCTCTTCAATTTTGGCTTATGTCCAAGGGCTTTGGCAACGGCATCTCCTAGCTGATGACCACTTTCCTCATACTTAGCCTGGAGCTGACATACAGCTGCTCGCAGGAGTGCTGGTGGCTGATTTAATGACCCCGTGAGTTGAAACTTCTGACCTTGTATCTTCTTACCAAAGTCGTACTGAAGTACGCAGCTATTCCCATTTTTAGTAGTGCTAACCACAACATCACCTAGACGGATATCATGTTTCGGGGTAGGTGCACCACCACCAATACCAACCATCAAACCGATCCTCACGTTAGGGAAACTATGTTGCATATCAGAAGCGACACGTGCTGCAGAGGATAGGCCGTATTCTCCATCGGGCAAGACGGCAATTACAACATTATGGCCTCCCATTCTACCTAAGGTGTATACATTATTGTCGCCGACGGAAACGTGCTCTGGCGCATCGTGTGCTTCATCCAGGAACAGCCTTGCAGCGACATATTCCGTTTTTAAAGCACAAATCCAGCCGACGGTATAATCCCGAGGATTGGACATACTAGTGAAGAACCCCACAGCCTAAAGAGCATTAAGGATAGATATATAGATACTGCTGGTGAAACGTTAAGAGGCTGATGTTGTTGGATAAGATCAAGGTATCTGTACCTTTTGAGAAGTAAAATTTAAAACTCCGACCCCAAAAAGCGAAAGGATCCAGAGCTGAGGTAGAAAATCACAGGTCCATTAATTCAATCTTTATACGCCATCTTTACCCCGCATAGCCACATTTGTTGCATTGGCAATTGCGAGGCTATCAGATTTCGCAGTGCATTATCTTGCGCTTGCAGATTTGTGCGTTCACTTGCCGCACAGTCGAATTATGGGTCCTTTGCTTTGCCTCCTATTAAATTAGGGAAAGGGTTGTCGCGAGAGCCCAGCACTTCGCTATCAAGCTATCACAACCGTGTCTCTCTTATAACTAGAGAAATCCCTTGACATTACAAGCTAACTAGCTATCGCACGGAATAACCGCCAAATGCAATGCTGCGTCATCAACTACTATAGTATTTATCATGGCTGTATACTGACATGCTAACTAGCTGACCTGGGAAGTACCAGTTAGTGTGTGGCGGTGGTGGTTGGTGTCGTGTGTAATGAAGCCAGGAACCGGACTAGCCGGACGGAGCACAGCCCCGGCATGAGATGGTTCCAGAACAAGAAGACTCATACTGTACAGATACATCCCATTCCTAACATCTACGGTGTCTTCTGTGGTACCGTTTCCATATTAATCATTCTGATCTTGAAAATTATTTTTACTTTAAGCTTAAGCTCTTCAAACCCAGACAGGGGGCCGGCCAAGAAAAAAGAGTCAGCCAGATCCGAGTTCTTTGGGCGGGCGGCCACAGCTACCTATTAAAGTCTACATATAAAAAATCTCTCTCCTTCGCTCCCTTCCTTTCCTTCTTCCCTTTCTCCTTCTTTCTCCCCCACAAAATCATCACCAGAAAGGACACTCCACCTCCACTCCACTCACTACCCTCCACCTACCACCATCGAAAGAAAGTATTTACTACTCGAATACTAAAACAATAAAACAACATGTCTGACTGGGATACCTCTACCATCCGTATCGGCGTCGGCTCCCGCTCCGGTGGCGGTCCCCGTGAGAAAGTCGCCCGTACACAGTCCGAGATCAATGCTGCCAGACGTGCTGGTGCCGTTGTCTCCACCGACAAGAAGTTCTCTGGTGGCTCGAACAAGTCGAATACTCCCGAGGGTCAGCATCTTACCAAGGTATGTCCATGTCACTAATTGCGGAAAGTTCACTTTTGGCCCTTTGATGCAATTGTCCTATTTTAGCCTTCCAACAACAACACTAACGCACACCCCAAAAATAGGTTGACCGCGAGGACGATGTCGGCAAAATCGCAAAGGTGTCCACAGATGTCGGCAAAGCTATGGCAGCCGCCCGTCAAGCCAAAGAACCCAAGATGTCCCAGAAGGACCTCGCCACCAAGATCAACGAGAAGCCATCCGTTATCAATGACTATGAAAGCGGAAAGGCGCAGCCTTCTCAGCAGGTTCTTTCAAAGCTCGAGCGTGCGCTTGGAGTTAAGCTGCGTGGCAAGGATATCGGTTCTCCGCTTGGACCAAAGAAGAATGGAGAGTCGTCGAAGTAAAGGGACAGAGTTTAAGAAGTTAATTCTGTGAGGCATAGATTTTCCGATTCTTTTCTTCCTCGGCTCTCTTTCCCTTTTACAACTTTGATATGTCAGTCCGATGAATAATAATAATAATGAATGAATGAAAGAACGACAAAAAAGAGAGGGTGCCTTGTTTGTTCCCCTCGGATTTTGCCTCCTTCCCGTTTATGGAACGATTTGAAGTTTACATGTTGTTTTAATACTCGGAGTCTTTGGTCCCCCCTTTTTTTATTTCATACCACGGACGATATTTTGAAGAAAAAATGGAAGGGAGAAATGGAGAAGGAAGAGGCATCTCTGCCTTCGACGTCTGTTCCATTCAGTCCTTGCTTTTTTCGTTCCTGCAATTTTAGCGATTCCTCCAATACCTACCTACTTCTTGTAGGTATCCCTCGATACCTCTTTTTTTATAGGTGCGGAGAACCTACTTTATATAGACATAGACTTATGTATTTATCACAATCAGTTTATGAATATTTATACCATGTTATCGATCAAAATCGAGAATCAAAAATCTTTTGAGTTTTCATTGACCTCGAATCCAAGTTTTCATTAGCAATTTGTTGGTGTAGCGCGAAAAGTGCGGCGGCGTGACTAGGCGCATTGATCCACAAGGTTTGAGCTTCCTTTGTTCTTCCCCCGCGACATCCAACCAGACTCCTCCCCATCCGTCAACCTCACCACGCGTCATTCATCAACCTTCAACACCCAATATCAATTCGATAATGCTCGAAGGCTTTCGACCACCTCTCCTACCTATTATATTCTCCTTTCCATCGTTTTTATCCGCCAGAAATCAATCAAGATGGCAGACGACATGATGGACATTGACAGCCCAAATCTTGTTGCCGAAGCTCTCGAAGACCTCCCTCTCGGAACTCAAGCTACAGTCAAAGCAGCTCCATTTCCAAAAGCTGTGCTCGAAAAGCTAATATACTCTCTCGAGGAAGGAATGGGTAATCTATAAACACCCTATTCAATATACAGATACCCTTCAGCTAGCTAGAAGCTAATATACATATAAAACAAACAGACTCCAAAGCCCTCGACTTCCTCGCCCACGTCTCCTACACCGGCATATCAACCCCTTTAAAACCCTACGAAGACAAAAAGGAAATCCTAATCCCTCCTGCGGACGTCTTCTCCGTAATCACAAATATATCCCTTCACCCGAAATATACCACCCGCCAAATCGGAAACCTCGAAACAGACGTTGCTATAAAAGCTTCAAAATATCTAAGAACCTTAACCCGTATCGCAGGGGCCACAAACTGCGACCTTCAAACCGCTTGGCAATTCAAACGTTCAAAGACCACTTCCTCAGGAAGACTAGAAGACCCAACCACCCGTCGAACCAGGAACCGTAACGTCGTCAAAACCGGCGCAGTAGGTCGAAAGGGTCGTCAAAAGGTCGGTCAACAAGACATTGATGTAACACCGTTCGCAAACCTCGATATAGCGAATGAAGAAAGCGTATTCAAAAGATGTGACGATATCTGGTCTGTTGTAGGATGGGCACTCGTTTGTTCATGCGTATATAAGAAAAGATGGGACGTCTGGAGAGACTTTTTAGAATTGCTGATTGAGCTTTTAACAAATGACTTTCAAGAAAGGATTGATGCAGCCGAGGAAGATCCACGAGCTGTGGATTTACAAGGAAGCTTGATCACAGCTGTTGGATTTCTACCGGACCTAGGAGGAGGAGCAGGATACAAACGTATTGCTCGAGCTATATTTGCAAATGGATCCGAAAAATCACGAAACGAATGGGTACCAGTATTTCCCAAGGAAACCAAGAAGCCACCAAAAAAGGAGGAAAGCAAATGGGCATCAAAATCAATTCTCGACTCTTCAAAACCAAGAGTAGACAGCAACGAAAACATCTTATCGAATTTAGGGGCCAATATGGTCGACGAATACCATAAATTCCGAAATAATGTTAACGACAATTCGGAAGCTTATAAGCAATTTCGAGACAAACTGGCTACAAACGACCTTCTAGGCGGCGAGGACTCAGAAGAAGAAGAACCTGGGACTGGACCGGCGAAGAAAGATGATAAATCAAAACTGGAGACACAAGAAGAAGCACTAGCAACATGGGGCGGTGTGGAGGCAATTATCATTCGGCTGAAGTTCATGTCACTGGTAAGTGAAATAGGTGCGACTTACGAGCGAGCCTTATTTTACCAAAATGAAAAGGAGATGGAGGTCCTTGCCGAACAAAAGAAGCAGAAACAAAAGAACAAAAAGCCTACAGCAAAAGGAAAAAATGGGAAGAACTTACCAGAGGCAGCGGTCCCCTCCAAAAAAGAAGACCGTGAAGTCTCCGAACAACCAGAGAATATAATCATCACCACTACCCCAACAAAACGGGGGCTCGTCAAGCTACGAACCCCACAGAATTTCAAACAGCGGGTTGGAGGAGAAGAAGGGGAGCTTACCGGCGAGACCACTACACCAACAAAGCAGTCTACGCCTCTCCTTCTTTCCCTCCCTCCCACCAAAAATGTGTTACCATCACCATCGTTGTCACCACATTCCGACGAACAAAATCATTTATCATTATTCAAATCGTCACCAGTGTCAGAAGGTTACTACGAAACGGCTCCAACAAGCCTATGCGAAACTACCTTCTTCTCAACAGTTGACAAATTATCTTCCCCATTCCCTTCCTTACGTATCCTTCCAGAGTCATCATCTCCTACCTCCTCCCCTTCTCCACAACCCCTCCAAAACTTCCCATTTACCTTCTCCTTCCCCCAGCTCCAAACCCCTTTACCACCAATCCCACCCCCTCCGCAATCCCTTCAAGACTTCCAAGTTACCTCCTCCTCCTCTCCCCTCTCCTCCCTCCCCTCCGAAACCCCCACTCCACCACCCTTCCTCTCCCTCCTCCAAACCCCATCACAAAACCAACAACCTCAAAAACAACCATCTAACCCCCCACTCCAGCTAACCTACACCTTCGCCCACGACATCCCCACCCTCTCCTGTTTCTACACCGAATTCACCGACACCCTCCGCCTCCTCCCAATCCCCCAACTCCTCCCATTCATCTCAACCTCCTACTACCCTTGTCGCACAAACCCTTCATTCCGAGGAACCCTCCTCACCACCATCCTCCAAAATAGTATGATATTCCAACCTCGAGGCGGATGGTCCGAAAACACAGATTCCATATCCGATGATATATTATTACGCCATTATTTCCCACACGCCGCTAGGGGGAATGATATAGAATCTCAAGTTAGGATGGGGAATGTACTCGAAGCACTTACTAGACTTTTCCACGTTACTTGTAAGTCTAGTGGAGGGTGTGGATTGATGTGGAGTGTTGAGATGGAAGAGGCGGTTGAAGAAGGGATTAGAGCTAGGAGGGAGAAAGCTACTACGGCGTTTAGGAAGAAGAAGAAACCGACGGAGGCGGATAAAGAGTTGATGAAGATGTTGGGGATGGCGGAAGGGAGGATGAGGATGTTGGTTAGGATTGCGAAGATGATGACTTCGGAGGGGTGGTGAAAAGGGCTCCTTTATAGACACGGTGGCGGGATATTGTTTTTCTCTTTTTTTTTGGTTCTGGCCGGTGGGAGGGGGTTTAGTATAATGCATGTTTCTGGCGTTCGATTTCTTTTTATATATCTTTACTACGTTTTTAAGGCGATGGAGCATTGGGACAGGAGTATATTACTATAACGCTCGGGATCTAGATATAGATAGACATAAACATCAACCGCACTGTAATGTTACTATAGCATTACATACATACTACATACATAAATTAACAAAAAAAAGGAAGAAGAACTGTATATTATATAACACCACAATCAATACACACACCCTCCCTTCCTCCTCACAAAAAAACAGAGAGAAGGGGAGGGTGGGGGCTACTTTCATGATTCAATTTAGTCTCTCTCTCTCCTCTCCAAAAAAAAATTAGTATACAAAAAAAGTTGAGGGTAGCTTGCAAGGTTGATTTTTTCTTTCTTTTCGTTCTTTCATTCTTTCTCCGGTACAATAAGTTAAGTTAAGTTAGTTAAGAGGATTTTTTGTCCAAATATATAGAAAAGTAAAATGTGTATATCCCGACCCAGCCGTTAACAATAAGAAACAAAAAAAAAGTTGAGTATTACAAGGAAAGCAGAGAACCAGCAAAAAAAGTCGAAGAATATAGAGGTTTATAGTGATCATTAATAAACCCCCTTCTTCGTCATTCATAAATATAAAAGGGAAAGGGGGTATGTATAAAAAAAAAGGGCAACTTGGTAGTAAATAAGAGAAAAGGAAAAGGAAAAAAAGATATTAAAAGAAAAAGAGAGAGAAAAACTCCCCTAACACCTTCACAGATGATAGTATCCGCCCACCCTTTGTAGCCGGAATGGAAAGAAAAGGAAAGAGAGGAAGAAAGAAATAAAGTTATTGCCAAACACTGTTACGGCGGCAATTTACAGCTGTCGTTAAGAACCAGAGGGAAAGAAAGAAAGAAAAGTAAGAAATGCATGCTATCAAAGCAAACAAAACTGGACATAACCAATCAATATTAAAAGCAGTCCGAGCGAAAAAGAGAAAAACACCCTTGCTCATGAGATAAAAGTCTATAAAATCTGACATCGAAAAAAAAAGATGAAAGAAATATGAGAAAAAAAAGATTAAATGAAACGCCATTGTAAAAAAATGGTGATGGTTTTCATCACTCTCTATCTTCATCATCAGCTTTCCCTTTCAAGAGCATTTGCCTAAAATCTGCATTCGTCTTCGGTTTCGTATCCCCTTCTTTCTTCTCTTCATCCTCATCCTTCCGCGCCGAAGAACGGAAACCCAATCCCATACGGGTCTTTCCGCCTCTAACAGCGACGCCGGGCCGATGAACCCTGACAGGAGCAAGGCTAGTCGCCGCAGTAGTCGACTTCTTGTCCTCCTTCTTCTTCGCAAAGGGGTTCAGCCCAGGCTTCGCCTTTTGCTCTGCACCAGTCTTAAGCATAGCCTGACGACTACCGAAAGAAATAGCACGTCCGTCGATTTCATGCCCATCCAGAGCCAACATGGCTTTACCAGCATCCTTGACCTCATCGAACTCAACAATGGCGGCTTGGTGGTTCAGCTGCATCTGCACTTTGTGCAAAGAGCCGTACTTCTCAAACACCGCTCGGATCTTGCTATCATTGACGGTATCCGCAATGTTTAGAACATAGAGCGTCTTCTGTCTGATAGCATCAGTGTCCGGCGCTTCCGGCAGCTCCGAAGCAGTAGTCGACATCGGCGACCCCGCAACCTCCGGCGAACCGGCAGCGCCATTCGGGAATTTCGCTTGTGTCTTCCCAGAAGACTTCTTGTTCGCTGGTGCCCCACCTTGTGGTTCACTGATAACCACAAGTAGCTTGCGGGACTTGAATTTCTGTTCATGTAACTCGAGGGAGGCATTTGCGGACTCGGTAGTTTCAAAATCAAGAAATCCGTATCCAGAATGGACGCCCCTACCCTTGCTGATCAGCCGGATGGACTTTACGGTACCATACTTGCTGAAGAGCTCCCTGATATCATCTTCGGTTGCTGCGTAGTCGATATTACGAACGAAAACCTCGCGACCCTCGTAACTACATCCATAGTTAGCAGTAATCCATCGTAAAAGTGAATGAGGGTATACATACACAGCACCGGATCTCTCCTGTTTCACGTTGGGATCAGAGAGCTTGGAAACGAGCTTGAACCCTTCAACATCCTTCCCATTCATCTCGGTTGCCTTCTCCGCATCTTCAGATGCATCAAATTGAACATAGCAGAACCTGCGGTGATTGTTGTACTTGAGGCTTGGAAACCTAACCTCCAAGATGGGCCCACACTCTTTAAACAACTCACGAATCCAATTTTCGTCTGCAGTAGGAGGGAAGTTAGTGACATATACTGTCGTGTTGAATCCTAGCTGGACAGTAATCTCTCGTCCGTTTAGTCTCTTCTTGTCGCGGGTTTGGGCAGCTAGAACATCCGCCGCATTCTGAAACTCAATGCTCGCAGTGGCAGAGTTGTCGTCGGCCTCAATCATGGTGAAAGCATTGATCGTTCCACACTAGATAAAACAAAATTAGCTAGGTCCCATACCAGCAACAAAAGTGATAACTTACGTCTTTGAAGAACTTCCTAACGGTAAGCTCATCAACATCAGGAGGAAGATTCTTCGCAAAAACAGTCAACTTCTCCCTATCCCGAGTATTCTTCTTTTCCTTCTCAGCAGAGGACTCGCCGTTCTGATCAGCCTCCGCTGCCTCGGTTTCCTCAGATACAGGAGGGATGGATCCGACATCTATGTCTTCGCTAGCTCTAGCCTTCTTATGGGGTAGCTCATCGTCCTCCTCGACGTTGGTGCTTCTCCGACGTTTGCCCTTCAAATCAAACCCTACAGGTATGGCGACTGCTTGGGCTTGGGCGACTTGTTCAGCCTCCAAGGCCTCTTGCTGACGCCTCCGAGCAACCCGTTTCCGAAGCCGCCGGATCTCCATCATAGCGCCCTCAATAGCAGCCCCTTCCCCATGTTCTTCTATCTGGTTTTGATAGACATCAATGATCTTTTCCGGCCAGTCCAGCGTTTCCCAGTAGGTCACGGCCCTCTTCAGGACCGCAACAGCACCAGAGTTGCCGAGGTTCCGGAAAGCCCATCCGTAATAACGAAGCCAAAATTCGTATTCGCCAGAGCGACCCATATCCTTATCTGTCTCGAGATCTTTCCACACCTTCTCGGCTTCAGGTAAATCATCTATTTCCGTAAGGAATGCCACCAAAAGCCGGGCGATACGGTAATCCTTGTCCACGCCCTTGGGACCGAATTCAGAAACAGCAGACCGAAGACCAAGTTGCGCACTATCGAAATCAGTATCGTCGATACCCTTGGCGACACCCCTCCGTTTGAGAACCCCACACCAAGCCAGATTAACCTTGAAGTTCTCCTCCTTATCCTCCATTAACCGTGATGTCGTTGCTTGGTGCTTAATTCGCTCGATCGATTCGAGAGGTTGCTGCCGAACGTCGAAGGCCAGAATTCGATGACTCCATAGTACACCAGACCACTGGCAATGAGCTGTAGCGAGCTCCAAGAGCGGTAAAACATCGGGATCGGATCCCTTCTTTTCCAGCATGAAGCAGATATATTCTTCCCATGCGGCGCTATCCGTAGGATATCGTAGAACGCATCGCTGATAAAGCGCCTTACCCAAGTCCGGGTTATTCTGGCTACTCTCCCACTCCAGGTATTCAGACCAAGCCTGTCCTTCTTCATCCTGGCCGTAACTGTTGCGAAGACGATACTCAAATCTCTGTCGCTTTTCGAGAGCTTCCTTCGCCTTCTGGTAGACCTTGTTCCCAGCCTGCATGATAGATTCATAGTCGGAAGACGGTAAATATGTCGAAACAAAACTACTATACGCAGAGAATGTCGAGTCGATGTCCTGGTGAGGAATCTGCAGACGGTCGAGATAGAGTCGCTGGATCTTCTCAATTTTGGATTGCGAGCCACTGGGGAACCCATTGATGTTAGTAGTTACACCAAGAGGGGTGCATCGGGTAGACTACTCACGGCGGCATCGCCTTCAGCTGAAGAATCTGAAGTTCACAATACTTATTCCAGACCTCATGACTCTATTAGAAGAAAAGTTAGCAACCACCCACTCATCAAAAATCCAGAATTTCACCCACCCTTGGAACATTATACATGGTATCCCCAACCGCTTTCGAAAGGACCAAGTTCACAAGCTCGAAATTGAACGTCTCCGCCCACCCCTCATCATCTGCACCATCTGTATCAGCTCTCCGCTGGGCTTCCCTCCACGTTCGCAAAATGAACTTGACGTAACCCTTCCATAGGGTCACACTCCCCGCCTCATGAGCCACACTTTTCGCCCACAACTCCATAACCCCAACTTTGCCCAAAATATCATCCGCATGAATCGCCTCATCGTGCAACCAATCCACCCACATCTCCTCAGTCAACGGATAAATGCTCAGCATCCTTACACGTTCCTCGTTCAGCCGTTCCTTAAAATCATAGTTTTCGCTAAACTTCGACGCCACAAATCCACGCCTCAGCAGGGCGATACATTCCACGCTATCGTTATACGACGGTGGCGCATCCACTATTTCTGTTTCCTCCCTCAGATGCGCACGATCCAATTTCTCAATCAAATCGGCCAATCTCTCAACCTCGGCTTCTCCCAATGGTTGCGTTGCCTCATCATCTTCGTCCATCTCCATGTCCTCGTCCTCGTCATCGAAGAATAACTCGGGGCTCGCGTCCTTCGGCGAGGGTGTAGGTTCCGGAACAGCCATTTCCACGCTAGCACTGGATTTTGTTCGAGAAACACGTCTGGATGACGATCCTTGGTCGGCTCTTACACGTTCTTCGTCCATAGTTACCATAGAAGCCGTAGATCCAGTTCTTGAAATCGGTCCACGATCACTGCTAAATGATGGTATTCTGCCTTGTGTCGCCTGTGGTGGTGGCGGCGGAGGAGGTGGGTGTGGTGAAGATACGGCCGCTGCAGGCGGTGTTGATGTCGAGATCTGAGTAGTAGCTAACGGAGAAGGTGCAAAGGTCGGATTATCGATATATCCTAGGGAATGGTGTCGTGCTGGAGCTGGAGGAGAAACAACTTTCTCAGTTACAGTTGGCAATGACTCCCTTCGAACATCTGGATGAGATGTATAGTATTGCTGCTGGGACTGGGATTTCCTCGAGTGAAGTGCCGAGGAAGAATGGGATCGATTCTCGCTTAAAGACGGTCGATGAAGTTGCTGCTGCTGCTGCTGCTGCTGCAGTGCTTGATATGAATGTTGATGCTGATGCTGGGTTTGTGGCTCCTGATGTGGGGTGTGGGAATGAGAGTATAGTGGAGCAGGAATGGGAGAGGTGTGGGATTGAGGGGCAGGAATGTGATAGTAAGGCTGTTCCTGTTGTTGCTGCTGGTGCTGCTGATAATAATGATGTTGCTGCTGTTGCTGCTGTTGCTGCTGTTGCTGCTGTTGCTGCTGTTGCTGCTGTTGCTGATGCTGCTGATGCTGCTGATGCTGCTGATGATGGGAATTGTGATGATGGTGAGAATTGTGATGATGGGGATTGTGGTGAGGATGGTGATAGGGATGGTGATAGGAAGAAGAGGATGGTGATGGTGATGGTTGAGATTCCCGGCGCGTGATGGAAGGATGGCCGTAGTTCTGGTGGCCGGCTAGGGATGGGCCAGCGCCAGTGCCAGTGCTAGTGCTTTGACCGGGCACGGGCGAGGAATTTGTCGGAGATGCTGTTCCCGGGGTTGGCGTGGTAGTCGGGGATAAGAGAGCGCTGATATCCATCTTGAAGGCCCACTCGACAGAGGATGAAAATATGAAAAGAAAGAAGGAAAGGAAGAAGGAGGAGGAAGGAGGAGAGGAGAGGAGAGGAGGGTTCTAGATGCTGCCTCTGTTCTGTTCTGTTCTGTCTGTTCTGTGATATGTAACTGCAGTTAGTGAGTAAGTCAAGGCAAGTCAGAAGTCAGTCTTTTCCTTCAAAGCACCAGCAGCAACCACTACATTTACAATTACAACCACAACCTCCACCAGCAGGAAGCATGCAACCTAGCCAGTTTCCTTCCTGTCAGTCCTTCTAAAGAACAAGAATAGGAACCCTGGTCTCTTGAAAAGAGAAAAGGAAAGAAAGAAAAAAACGGACAACGGCTAAGACAAAACGAGGGCGATGACAACAGACAAGCCGAAAAAAGAAATTTCTGAACCAGATCGCGAAGGAACCGTCGAGATCGGGACGTAGCTTCCGAGAAGGTCGCATTTACCTTGCATCCAATTGCATGCTCTGATACATCGAACAAAAGATTTATAAACTCAGTATCAAAAGTATAATAATCAATGATGCTTCTTCAGCTCCAGTCCCCACAACAAATTGGGCAGAAAACCCCGCGAACCGAAATGAGGGATGATGGGAAAGAGAAGAGTTGAGAGAGCTTGAATGGAAAAATTGCTTGCCGTGAACGCGGTCGCTAATTTCACTCGGGGTGGGATCTTCACGCCCGCCTACTCGATTCCGCCGTTCTAAAGTGCGCCTCTTTCGTTCATTCTAGCCTTTTGGCTCTTCATGCAGCCTCTTTTTTGTCCCTCATAGACTATTCGGTTCGCCTACATGATAAGGAATTCTAATAGTCCTTTCCGACGGGGCCATGAGATCGAAAATCGGGCTCCCTTAGCTTTTTGGGGGGACCGATCGAAGAAAAGGGCTTAAGTTTAGGCCGCATTTGCATTCTAGAACACGGCCCAGGCGCCTTCAGATTGCAGCAGAGATGTCTGGCGGGGAACCAATGGACGTTCACGGACAGGAACCAACCCAACAGCTCGGGACCGTTGGCCGGGAACAACAGATTCCCGCGAGCTTAAACTGACATTCTGTCTCTGATTCCAATTATTGTTTGAGAGAAGGGAAAAAAACTTCTTCTCTTGTTGAATTGAAGACGTCAACTTTTCTCAAAGGAATTAAAATAAAAAAAGAGGAGAAAAGGAATTGAGGACGGTAGACGGGCTTTCGCCGACTGGCATCACAGCTTCTGATCAGGTGGTTGTGGCCATGCATGGCAGGGGAGGGGGGAAATCGTGCATGCATCGTGGTTGTGATTCGACAGGAAATCGCCGTTGTAGCAATACAAATCACTTACTTTATGAGAGATAAAAGGACGTATATCGACGTCAGTAGATCGGTATTATATCCCCACACCGTCGGCGTATACTCGATCGATTCCAAGTGATGAACAAAAAAAAAAAAAGAATTGCGAGAAGGATCGAACAAATAAAAAAAAAGAGACCACGAAAGAGAATCAATCCGTCGTCGTCGATTCGTCGATTCGTCGCCAAGTCGGTAGCCCGGACGTCGGTATGTCAGGCAGGTACTTCTTTTTTCCGCATGTAACACCACCTGCTTGAGCGGATTATATTCGTAACTTCGTCGTACAAAGTACCACTTCGTGTTTTCGTGAAATGTCGCCAGGCGCTGACGGACAGAACGATGATAATAATAAAAAGGGTATTAAGAAGGGGAGAAAAAAAAGTCGCAAGAATATCGGAATCGGATCGAAATCACAAAATAGAAAGAGAGAGAAAAAGGCGCTGCAAGCGTCTCAGAACGGTGATATAGCGGGAGCGGGAAAGGCACGCCTATATAAGAGCAGAGTGGTGAGCCCCAAAAGAAGCGAATATTGGAATGGATCCCGCTGCAGGTCAAAAAAAAGGACGAAAGGGAAAAGTGACGAGGTTGCATCTGCATTGGCAGCTCGCGCCAATTGGTGGTGACAGTGCTAGCCTTAAGAACCCTTTAGGATGGTATGATATAATTGCACATGGCAGGGCTCCACCGAGAGTTATATAGTGAGCTAAGTACTTACGATCGTGCGATTCTTCTTTTTGGGATATATTTTGAAGCAACGGGTCTTCGAGAATATTAAATGCGAGATTATAGTGTGATGATAATAACGGGATCCCTAGCCACAGAAGAAGCACCAGCATTATGGTTAATATCTCAGCCTAACATGAACATGACCTTCAACTTCATTATCCAATATGAATTTGAAATGCATGCGCACCCCATCAACGAAATGAGGCTAGTATAGTCGCAAAAAAGAAAAACGGAATGCCTAACTAACCTGTGGGTAAGTACTTTCTTGGTAAAGTACTATCGCTGTCAAATCTCTCGAAATTTCAGGTAAACGTAAAGGCGGTCCCGTGCGCAAAGCTATCGGTATGCAGAAGCGACAGCCTAGCTTTAGTCTAACTTCAGAATCCCGCTCAACAGGATCCAGCGAATTCGAACTCCGGTATTCGGGTCCAAAACGTGCTTGATGGCTTTCGCTTGTCAGTTTTAGCCATGAAATTTGGGAGAACGTGCGCGGCGCAAAAAAAAGTAGCAAGAGGTAGCC